GGCTAAATCGTCTTAGAATTTTACGCAGATTAAGAATTAATATACCTTGTTGTGTCTGAAATTATTATTTCGATGAGTTATAAACGGAATGACGAATTAATATACCCTCCATACTATGTATGGTGGGCGGGTATAAAAACATCCACGACTAAAATCATATTTTTTTTTTATTTCATCCTTATGTATTTAACAACATGGGGAAACATAAAACCCCATAGCAACTATTTGATGTTTTTTTTTAACTTCTGATATTCCTTAAAAATCCACTAGTTTGTCTCTGAGAAAAAAATATTTTGGAAAATTCTCTCCTGAATTTAAATTTCAAAATAATCCTAAATATTGTTTTTACAAAATCCACTATAACGGCTCCCAAAGTTCAACAAACAATCCAATAAAATTCACACTATGTAACAACGATAGTTTTGATAAGGCAATAAAAATTAGACTTGCAAATTGTAAAATTAAATAAAAATACAATGATGACTAAAAGCCCACACATACAATAAATCACAATCAAGTTTTTCTTGCAAATACATAATTTTATAAAATCCCCAAAAATTTATAATCTCGAAAAAAAAATCGACCGAATATTGTCATAAAAATCTGTTAAATGTCTGAAACCATTTCAAATGAGAGTGAGAGTAAATGTGTAACATCATCATCGACCGGTCTGCTCTCCCGTATTTGAACTCACAACAACATGCCTATCGTTGTTGTTATTTTTATTCAATAAACGTGAAATTTTCATTCTACCAAAACATTCAATGACATCATCGCTTGAGGCTTGGTAACGCCGCGCGACGCTGTTGCTGTTGTTGTCGTTGTTGCTGACTGAATTCGTCATAGGAGGCATCGTGATCACCACACAACCAAACACCACCAGTCGTCATCATTACTAATGGCAACAACAAATAACAACAACATGATCATCATCAATTATGTGGCTGATCAAACGATCGGAACACTTAAAACCCCTCAAAACCAAAAAAAAAAATTTGCAACATTGATATCGAAAATATTTTTGGAAATATTTCGTGATAATTTGTTGTTGCTATTTCTTTTTTTGTAATTTTTTTGTATTGTTTATTTCCTCGTTTTGGGATATTAACAATAAATCACATACCTACAACGAAATAGAGCAGCAGAGTCGTATAATCCCCACAAAAAAAGAACACGCCAAACACTTGATCGTTGAACATGATGCCCCCCATTTGAATGTCGGTTCTCGATTCTCCTTTGGTTTTTGGGAGTGAACCAACCACACGACCAACAAATAAGCTATCTGTGGCCTTGAAAGTTATTAAGATATTATTTCAAGATTTGCTGGATATGCTTTATTTCCTCTTACATTTGTTGAATGAAAGGCGAGGGGATTTGTTGTTCTATATCTGCGTTTTATGTTGTTACGATCTACCATGACATCTGACATATCGTCTTCAACGTAATAGTTCAAGGATTAACTTATTGAGCCTTTAACAAATACAGGGCGAGATAAAAAAAAACTGCAACAAAGTCAAACGCCATAACTTCTAATTTTTTTTTTTAATTTTATTGAATGAACGCAAAAAATATCGGAAAAAGAATAAAATTTTAGAATAAGTTTAGATTTGTTCGAATTGGTCACCTTTGGCACGAATAATGGCCTTCAAACGGCCAATGAAACCGTCACACGATGCCCGAATGTTGCTCTGCGATATTTTGGCCCATTCCCGACGAAGCGCTTGCTTGAGGTAATCGACAATTTGGTATTTTTTAGTGCCAACCTTGCTTTCCAAAATACTCCAGACACAATAGTCCAACGGATTGGTATTTTGGTGGTCACTGTGCGCTTACAAACTGCTGGACGATGAATGTTTTCTCATCGGAGAAAACCAAATTCGGCAGTTCACCACTTTCGGCCAAGCGAAGCAACTCTTTAGCTCTTTTGAGTCTATTTTCTTTCTGTTGCGGTGTAAGTTCTTGCACTTTTTGGAATTTCAATGGCTTTAACCCGAGCTCATGTTTTCAGTATTTGCCGAATGGAATATTGCGATATGTTCAGCTCACAAGCCATTTTCGGCCTCTGCGACGCGATCAAGTCGCTTCTATACTTTTCGAACCATTTCTGCTGATGTTGCTGTGTTCATCCGTCCACTTCCATGACGTCGGGCTACGCTACCGTGATACTGGTAACGAGCTATGATACGAGACACAAAAGATCTATTCACATTTAAAAGCTGGAGTGCTCTAACGATAGTCACTTGTAGTTTTTCAGCCAAATATATCACGCTTGAATTCCGTCACCATTAACTTTTTTCTATAAAATTCTCACCAAAATGTTTTTGTACGCTTGTAAACAATATAATGGGCTGTCACTAGAATAATTTTAACAACTGTCAGACGATTAGCTTACATATGACAGCGGTCCGACGTTTGTTACAGTTTTTTCATATCACCCTGTATATTCTTACCCAGCTCAATTTAATTTTTCGAGTAATTTAGCTTAATTTGAAACTTTCCATTCATTATTTTCGACCGGCAAATTGCTTGGCTTGGCTTAGAAGCCTTAAGGTGAGAGTACATAAAACTCTTTTTGATCGGCTTAAGTCCTTGATTGACTTCTTCGTAAAGGAATAAAGGAGTTTTTAGTTGACTTAGTTCGATTTTAGCCCTACGCTTCTTTATTCTTTTTCGAAGCAGCCAGCCAGTCAAAAAAGCATTTTATGTATTCTCACCTTTAGCTCTGGATTTTGCTTAGTTCCCGTCAATCAAAAATCTCCAAAAGTTAGTATAAAACAATTGGCTAAGCACAAGTCTGTGGTCAGCCAGACACAGGCCTTCTCACAGTGGTCTGAGCACCGAGTGAATACAAAGCGTCTACCAGTACATCCACACGAATATGAGTACCAATTCACCTGCACACATTTGGTTGCGATCACCTCCTTGGTTAAAAGGAGAAAAGTTTTTTATTTCATTTTTTTATTCAACTCTAAATTCTTATTTTGGCAAATTTGACGTTCGTCCTGAGGCGAGTCCTGGAATGGTACTGTGTAGCGATTGGGGAGGTGACGAATATTCGGGGCTCTGGCTCTCACCGTCTTGGGAAACTCGCTTGTTCGAATCGTGCTATTTAACCGTGGGGTACGCGTTCGCCCCTGACTGTCACGGGAGGGTAGACTACTCGTAATAGACTACGCGAGAGTATAACACCCTTGCCTGCCTTCCCAGAGCGCATTTCTATTACTCACTCTTCTGCGAGGCAACCTGGGGGACTTCTATAGATTGGAACCCTGTGGCTGAGTGGCTTACAGAAACTGTCTCTTGTAGCTAAGTGGTCGAGAGTATTACTTGTTGTAAAAACGGTGTCCTGATTGGGATCTCGTACCAAGGTCTTATTAACTCACGCACTCGATTGTGTTACCGATCATCACATGATTGATCCCCGCTTACCGTGGGTCACTCCTTTTATAGGGATCGGTTTCAGGACGGTGTGCTTTCACATACCTTGACTCTGTGTGTTGTTGCTACAGGTGGTTCTTAGTCCCTCTGTGTAAACATTTGTTTACTCCTTCGCGGCACTTGACAACACCTGACCGAGGCATGTTGTTGGTACCTATTTCTTCGCGATACCCTCGCATAAAAAAGTTGTTTACACCTTTGCGGTGCTTCAAGATAATCGGGAGGTATCGTTATATGGGGGCTATAGAAAAACGTTGACCTGCATACCCAAGTTCTTGTCATAGACTGTAGTAGCCATTGCGAACTTCAAATACGAAATTTTAAACAATTCCGCTCTTTTATGTCCCTAGAATCATTAAAATACCGAATATCGGGAGGTTCCGTTATATGGACGCTATAAGAAAACGACCATTTACGAACTTAACCTGCCTCCTGGCAAAAATATATGTGTGAAAAATTTTAGCCTCTTAATCAATTCGTTGGAATGAAAGCGAACAGACAGACTATAGAAATAATCGCTAATTCTACTTAGAATTTTACGCTGATCAAGAATATATACTTTGTTGGGTCGGACATTTTTTTAGGAGTTACAAATCGAATGACAAAGTTCATAGAATGTTGGAGGGTGTAAAAATGGACTCGATATAATCCGAAACAAATTTCCAACACAGTCCCCAATTCTTTGCCTCAAGGGGACTTGAGTGATGCTGCGAATATTTTCAACGGAGGATAAATCATTAGATTTCATATAAATTGACTATAGACAGACATCCAAGTGAACAACCAAGTTGGGCATTCAAATAAGGTAGTCTGTTTCCTTGAAAAAACTCGACCAAAATCCTGCAATCGATTTCTAACAACCTCGTGAGCATGCTAATGAAATCAAATGCCAATTTGAGGCAATATATTTGGTATTTTATTCACTTAATCCATTTTAGATCTGTAGTCAAGTGTCCACCTTTTCAAATGCCGAACGGAACTTCCAAGTTGCATTTCCGTTGTCACTATAATTTGCCGCAACACATTTCCATACACAGGGAGAATTCTAAGGACCTAATGCAACTGAGAAGCGGTCCTTGTCTGATAAGACGTCCCAAGAGGACTTATAACTGGTACATTTTTCGAAGCACGCAAGAAGTGCCATTGGCTAATGCGGTGGCTAAAAACTGACTCGATATATTCAGGCAGAACTATCCAGATGCTTTATACATTCTTCAGTTATGTATTCCATTTTCGGAAACTCTTAAGAAGCAATATAGAAACATAACTATCAATCTATTGCCCCGACTTTTCTTTACTCATGCATCATTAAAACATAATCTGAATTATCGACAACGACAACTTCCACTTGAGTTTTGTTTCCGCTTCATATTCTATTGTCTCCAAAAAATGTTGGCTAACTCCATTACCCCTCTACTTGACTGAATATTCAGAAAAAAACTTTGCATGGGCTTGTTTAGAAGGCGCGCAAAATTGTGCACGCTGAACTTGACGACTATCAAAACTCCAAATACGAGAGAGAAATACGAAGAGAAAAAAAATACAAAACAAAACTGGTTTACCTTCACTTGATGGCAAAAAACAAACTGAGCGCGTGACCTCTGCAAGAGTTGTTGCTGTTGTTGTTCAAGTTGCTTTATTGTAATTTGAAACAAAAACACACAATTTTTTTGCAATATTATTTTTTCTTCAAAGGCAATTTGAAATTTTATTTATTATTCTCTCAAAGATAAACAATATTTTTTTCATTCAATTCAATTTTATTTTACTTTATTTCTTTCTTTTCCACACTCAAAAGTAAACTCACACACAATAATTATTAAAAACCCACACGCGTGATACCGCAGCTCAATTGAATTTCATCTAATAATCACTTCGTTTCATACAACAAAATTGTATATTTTTTTATTTAAAAACTTAAAATACACGACGACGACGCCAATGTTATTGCGAACGTTGTATGAGCTTTACGTTCTATCGTTCACGAAACTTTTATCACAACTGTTGTCGTCTGCCTGAATTTTTGCCATTGTCGTGCCAGCCGCCAAACAAAATAAGCAAATTCATGAATGGGGGAGAAAATCAACAGAGTGCTCGCTCTCTCTCCCGCTCTATTGCTCTCTTCATTGGTGTTAACAACAAAGCTTGGCATGTGTTCACTCTGTTTTGTTTGGGGTTTCATTTTGTGCTCCATCTGTTTGTGGCTATTCATTATTGTTGAATGGAAGGGGTATTGGCAGCCGTTAAAAGCTTTGTTGTTTGAAAAACAGTGTGGCAAACTTGGCGCTTTTGTTTAACCTCTACAAATAAATGATGGATGTTATTGCGTTTGCAAAATAATTGTAGAATTTATTAAAAGAGTTAAGAAAGCACTAAATTCGTTGCGGGAATTATAATAAGGAACTCATGTAGATAAGTGAAGGTAGAAGGAATTTTATGTAGAAGGCCTACAGTGATTCACACTGAAAGTAAATCTCTTGACCCGACAGGTGTATCTTTTTTATACCCTCAGCCATATGGCTAGAGAGGGTATATATCATTCGATACGCCCAAAACGTGCCTCATCCAAATAACGGTTTTAGACCATAGGTCTCTTTGGACCAAATCCGTTTCAGGACATTTGTCTGGCTGGTGCGCACGATAACTCTCGAAGGGAGTATCCGATTTCCTTCAGACTTGGCACTTTTCAATATTTCCATCAGCACAAGATTTGTTATAAAGATGGTGGAGATCGGACCATTTCTTCTGTCACCTCCTCCACATAGGGTTCAAGATTTCGAAAAAAAAAACGCTTAATGCAAAAGCGAAATAAGCATCCAACTCACTTCAAATTTCACACACACAAACATTTTTGGATCAGCGTAAAGTTTTAAGACGATCTAGCGATGTCCGCCTGTCTATCTGTTGCAATCACGCTATCTTTCGAACGAATTGAGATAGAAGACTTTGCATACATGCATAGTTTACCAGTAGGCAGATTAAGTTCGAAAATGGACTATGTCGGTCCCCGTTTTTGTATAGCCCCCATATAACGGTACCTCCCGATATTCGGTATTTTTCATGATTTCAGCAACATTGTTCACTGGAATTGTTTCAAATTTGGTATTTAAAGTTCGTAATGGGTGCTACAGCCTATGATACACATTTTTGGATACAGGTCCACGTCTTCGTATAGGCCCCATATAACGTCAACTCCTGATATTCAGTATTTTGATTATTTCAGCAACATTATTTACCGGAATCGTTTCAAATTTCGCATTGGGAGATCTTAATGGTTACTACAACCTATGGAAAATTTTTCGTATGCAGGTCCACTTCTTCGTATAGCCCCTATGCTTCCCGATATTCGGTATTTTCATGATTTTAGCGACATAATTTACCGGAATTATTTCAAATTTGGTATTTAAAGTTCGTAATGGGTATTACAACCTATAACAAAAAAAAAACGCGTATGCAGGTCCGCGTCTTTGTGTAAAGCTCCCATATAACGATACCTCCTTACATTCGGTATTTTGATGATATTACGTACATTATTCACTGGAATTGTTTCAAATTTCGTAGTGGAAGTTCGTAATGGGTACTACAATGTATGACAACAAGTAAAACGGTGTCAGCTGGTTTTGTCGGCAGATGTATACTCTCAGCCAATGTTCGATGGTTTAAAAATATATTTTGACTTTTGTTATGATTATTCAAATTGTTGACCCTCTATAGAATAGGTTCCGAATAAATGAGTCAAAATTGTCCATTTTGTATCGGATCTAAATGAATATGATATAAATATTGTAACGTGTCAGGTTTGGAGTTCCTCACACGCGTAATATGCATTCCACAACAATGATCTTTGGTACCAGATATCAGATGCAGCTCTCAAATAAGTGTATCATTTTTTTTTTTTTTTTCAAAATCAATCTATATATATCTTCAACCGATTTTGGGTTAATTGTGCACTAAATGGCCAATATCAGTCCAAACGACATGAATTTTGGCACATCCGACCGAATTCAGTCTAGAAACAAGTACATTAACTTAAGTGAAAATCGGTTCAGATATAGCCATAGCTTTCATATATATGTTTCATCCAATTTGGTGTTTAGATCAGTCACATTCGCTATATACATTCGACAAAAATAATATTTGTAAATAGATATCAGATACAGCCCAGAAATACCTCTTCCAAATTTTATCAACATCGGTTCAGTTTTGGATATAGCTCCCATATATATCTTCAAACGATTTCGGGTTAATTGTGCCCTAAATGACCAATATCAGTCCAAACGACATGAATTTTGGCACATCCGACTGGATTCAGTCTAGAAGCAAGTACATCAAATTTGGTGAAAATCAGTTCAGACATAGCTATAGCTCCCATTTATATGTTTCATCCGATTTGGTCCCTCACATTCGTAATATGCATTCGACAACAATTATATTTGGTACCAGATATCTTAAGAGCTCAGAAATACCTTTGCAAATTTTATCAAGATCGGCTAATATAATATTTCTAATATAAGTCTTCTCGAAGTGATATCATGCACTCTATTGCAATGTTATTTGGTATAAAAGGTTAAAATATCTCCGTAAAATTTAGTGAAAATCGATTCAGAATTGGAAAGGCCCCCCTCTGAAACCAAACTATAACTGTTCTATGTTGGTATGATTTACTTTAAATAAATTCTTTTGTTACGGGATCTTTAGTACGTATGCATAGTGGTGTAGGGTATGATATAGTCCGCCCCGCCCGACTTTTGACTTTTCCTTACTGGTTTTCTTCTCCGGTATTTGCTTCGGTAAGGCCTAAACCTGAAAAAAATGCTGTCGTGGTTTTTTGTTATTTTGTAAAAAATAATTAAAGATTTATGCAACAATGTTTTGAAAACTATCACCGTTTCCGAAATAATAAAATAAATACTAAAATACGAATAGAAAAGCACGGTGTTAGCATCACCGAAAATTTGAAAGCTTTTATAATAACTTGCGTATTTTCCGGTTACTCTCGTCTCTAGTTTTATTTGTTTATTCAGTTTGTTTTGGTCCTATCCTTCGTATCTATGTTTACATGTCGTATTTGTTGCCATACACACTCACACACAGAAATTTATTACATGAATGCACGAGACGGCTATCTAACAGATGTAAATTAGACAGTACTGCTTAGAAGAGGGGGGCAAACAAAACATCAACGTTTGGGTAAATAGCACAGTTCGTAACAAAATCCAACGCTAACATATATTTTAAAATATTTAAAGCAATGATGGGACTACATAAAGTTTGAAAGTTAAATAGTAGATTTTGAAAAATATTTTTGAAAAGAAGGATAATTGAGAATTAGAATTTTTTTTCAAGGATTATTCTTCCATAAATATATTTTGGGAGGATTTTCAAATATTTTTTTCAAAGACTATCAAAGGAAGTATAGTCGTGGATTTTTTCAAATATTGTTTGGAAGTATATTCGTAGATTTTTTTAAATATTTTTTCAAGGAATTTCAAAGGGAGGCTAAAAGTAGATTTGCAAATATATATATTTTTATGTATTATTATTTTTCAAATATTTTTTTTGTGGATAAAAAATTAAGTGCTTCTAAATCCAGGATTTTTTACATATGTTTCAAGGACTATCAAAACCATAATCTTGGATTTTTCAAATTTTTTTTTTCAAGGACTATTAAAGGAATGATAGTGGTGGATTTTTAAAATATTTTTTGGAGTAATAATCGGGGAATTTTCAATGTTTTTTGAAAAAATAATGGAGAAATTTTCTAAAAAAAAAAAAATTAAGAACAATCAAAGTTACAATCGTGGACTTTAAAAAATAAAAATATTTTTTAAAGGGCTATCAAAGTCATAATCATTATTAATTTTTTTATATTTTTTGAAAGGACTATTATGGATTTTCTAAACAAATAAAACAATTAAAATACTAATTTTGGATTTAAAAAAAAAAAAAAAACAATTTTTGAATGAATTTTTAGAATATTTTTAAGGATTGTCAACAATTGTTGATGTTTTTAAATATTTTTTGTAGGTTTGGATTCCCAAAAAATGTAAGGACTTTCTAAACCAGGATTTTGTATATAATGGTGGGTTTAAAAATATATTTTTCAAAGACTAATACTGGATTTTCCAAATATTATTTTTCAAGAAAGGATAATGGTGAATTTTTTAAATATTTTTTGGAAGTAATAATCGCGGGGTTTTTTAATGTTTTTTGGAAGAATAATCGAGAAATTTTCAAAAAAATCAGGGACAATCAAAATTACAGTCTTCAATTTTTTTTTCAAGGACTATCAAAGCCGTAAACATGGATTTTTCAAATATTTTTATCAAGGGAATGATAATGGTGGAATTTTAAATATTTTTTTGAAGTAATAATCGTGCAGGTTTTTAATGTTTTTTGGAAGAATAATCAGGAATTTTCCAAAAAAAAAAAAAAAAAATCAGGGACTATCAAAATCACAATCTTAAATTTTTTTTCAAGGACTATCAAAGCTATAATCATGGATTTTTCAAATATTTTTTTAAAGGACTATCAAGGAAGGGTAATGGCGAATTTTTAAATATTTTTTGTTTTGACTTTTAAGAATATTTTTTAAAAGTCTATTAAAGCCATAATTATTTTGAATTCGTTAAATATTTTTGGAAGGATAATCGAGGACTTTCAAAACAAAATAGTTCATTTTTTAAATACCTTTTTAAGGACTATTATATTTTAATATTGATTTTATTTATTTATTTATTTTTTTTTTTTTTTTTTTTGGGATAAATATTTGGTTTTAAATATTTTTTTATTTTTTTTTTTTTTTTGGATTTTTAAAAATTTATATTTTTTAAGGGGCTATAAAAGCCAAAATCGGAAATTTTTAAAAAAAAATTTTTGAAGAAAAAGCCTCATTTGTTCACATAGTTACTGCTATTTTATTGTCCACACCTGTTTTCCCCCTGTTGATTTAACCTCTGCACTTTGGTTTGGTATAACTTTGTTCAGCTGAAGCTTTGTTATTCTGCGTCACAATAACGACGTCATTTCTTTGAGTACAACAACAGAATAACAAAAGCAACAACAATGCCGTTACAATAAATTGAATTTTTTTATTCAGTTCTACAGCAACAATAACAACTGAATGAGGGATGTTTACAATGTCGTATTTCAGAAGACGGTTACAACAAATGGAAATTACATTCCGCATATATATGTAATCTGAGGCCAGTTGAAAGAAACAGGGGATGAAAGAGTGAGAGGCGGCAAGGGGTAGAGTTAGAGTTGTGTTTTGTAATTTTTCGACATCTGTCTTATGGCTGAAATGTTGATGGAATTTTAAACAAGGATTATGGTTTTATTGCTCAAACTTGCATTTTGATATGGAAATTGAGAATTCGATGCAATAAAATTTATAATTTCGAAATATTATGAATTTTTGGAAAGTAAAGAAGTAATGTTTAAATCGTTTTTTTTTCTTAGATCATATCCAAAAATATCATCCTCCTAGTAGCAAATAATCCCCTTCCCCCCATCTGATTAAAATATGAGCTCCCATTTATTTATGAGATTTTATGGAAGCAAAGTAAATACGTGTGGACATTGCTGCAGAAAACTGAAGCTCAGCTTACCCGTGCTCGGTACTTTTTTTCTTATCAGCAAAAAAAAAAAACAACGAAACAATCAAAATATTCTCTTAAAAGCTTCGCCAATTAATCTTCAATGACAAAAATTGGCATTTATCAGCATTCATATGTTTATTAGGGATATCCGAAAATCTACGACAATACCACTTTTGCCACTTGTAGCTGATGACTATTCAATTATTGATGATTATTCAAATTGTTGACCCTCTATGTAGTAGGTTCCGAAGGAATGGGTCTATATTGTCTATTTCGTTTTGGGTCAAAATATGAGATAAATATTGCGACGAGCCAGGATTGGACTATAAATGGTCGGATCTGTACCATCTTTATAACAGATCTTGTGTTGATAATAATATTGAGAACTGAATGGAATCAGATGTTAATTTTATGAGCTTCGTTGATATTCAAAATTTTAACCCTTTGTGGGGGAGGTACCAGAAGGAGTGGGCCGATATCTCACATCTTCACAGCAGATCTTGTGCTAGTAGAAATAATGGGATGTGTGAAATATGAAGAGAACCCGATGCTTATTTCGGATTTAATAATCGTGTTGATTATTCGAAACTTTGACCCTTTGTTTTGGAGGCACCAGAAGGAATGGTCCGATCTCTACCATCTTTGTAACAGATCTTGTGTTGATAATAATATTGAGTTTTGTCAAGCCTGAATGGAATCGGATGTTAATTTCGCTTTTTATGAGCTTCGTTGATATTCAAAATTTTAACCCTTTGTGGGGGAGGTACCAGAAGAAGTGGACCGATATCTCCCATCTTCACAGCAGATCTTGTCTTAGTAAAAATAATGGGATATGTGAATGTGAAGAGTACCGGATGCTTATTTCGGATTTAATAATCGTTTTGGTTATTCAAAACTTTGACCCTTGTGGGGGAGGTACCAGAAAGAATGGTCCTATTTCCACCATCTTTATAACAGATCTTGTATTGATGAAAATATTGAGATACACTAAGTCTGAATGAAATTGGATGTTAATTTCGCGTTTTATGAGCTTCGTTGATATTCAAAATTTGTGGGGGGAGGTACCAGAAGGAGTGGACCGATATCTTCCATCTTCACTGCAGATCTTGTGTTGATAGAAACATTCAGATATGACAAGTCTGAATAAAATCGGATATTAATTTCGCGTTTTATGAGCTTCGTTGATATTAAAAATTTTAACCCTTTGTGGGGGAGGTACCAGAAGGAGTGGACCGATATCTCCCTTAATCACAGCAGATCTTGTGTTATTAAAAATAATGGGATGTGTAAAATGTGAAGAGAGCCGGATGCTTATTTCGGATTTTAAAATCGTTTTGGTTATTCGAAACTTTGACCCTCTGGGGGTGGGGGACGTATACCAAAAAGAATGGTCCGATTTCCACCATCTTTATAACAGATCTTGTATTGATGGAAATATTGAGATGTGCCAAGTTTGAATAAAATCGGATATTAATTTCGCGTCTTATGAGCTTAATGGATATTCATATATATATTTTGACTCTTTGTGAGGGGAGGTACGAGAAGCAGTTGACCGATATATCCCACCTTCACACCAGACCTTGGGTTAATCAAAATTATGATATGTGTGTAATTTGAAGACAATCGGACTCTTACATTACATTTTATAAGAGTTGTAATTATTCAAAATTTTGACCCTTTGTGGGGGAGGTACTTGATGGAGTGGACCGATATTGTCCATTTTAACACCTGACCTAGCATAGATGCAAATATTAAGATTTGCAATATTGGAGAAAAAACTAAAAATATATATATATATTTTTTTTTTTTTTTTGAAAATGTTGACCTTATGTGGAAGAGGGAGTGGACCGATAGTTACCATCTCCGAACTCGATCTAAGTTTGATAATAATATCACGATGTAACAAGTTTGGATCCAACGGATACTGCCTTCGAGAGTTATCTTGCGCACCAGCCAGGCAGACAGATGGATGGAAGTCGCTAGATCGACTCCTGAAACGGATTTGGTCCGAAGAGATCTAGGGTCTAAAACTTTTTTTCGATGAGGCACATTTTGGTCCTATCAAATGTATATACCCCATCTAGCCATATAGCTGAGGGTATAAAAATCTACGTTTGTGAATAGTCCTTAAAATAATATTTCTGAAAAGACCAAGGCATGGATATATTGTCCATTTTTATACCCTCCACCTTGGAAAGGAGGGTATATTAACTTTGTCATTCCGTTTGTAACATCCTTAAATATTCGTCTTAGACCCCATAAAGTATATATATATATTCATAATCAGCATAAAATTCTAAGTCGATTTAACGATGTCCGTCTGTCTGTCTGTCCGTCTGTCTGTCTGTTGAAATCACGATACAGCCCACATTATTTGACGTAGAGCGCCAAAATTTAGCACAGCTATTTGCATCGTGTCTAGGATGGTTGGTATTGAAAATGAGATATATCGGCCCACGTTCTGGTATTGTCGCCATATAACGGTACCTCCCGATATTCGGTAATTTGATGATTTTTGCAACATTTTTTCACGGATTTGTCTGAAAATTGGTATTTGTTGGTCATAATGGGTTCCAGCTCCGGTGGCGGATCACTGCATGTATGGGTCCATGATTTGGTATAGCCCCCATATAACGGTACCTCCCGATAGTCGGTAATTTGATGATTTTTGCCACATTTTTTCACAGATTTGTCTGAAAATTGGTATTTGTGGGTCATAATGGGTAATGTAATTAAAGGTCCACGTTTTGGTGTAGCCCCCACATAACGGTACCTCCCGATATTCGGTATTTTAATGGTTTTTGCCACATTTCTTCTAATGTTTCTTTTACCCTAAGGTGGAGGGTATTAAAAGTTTGGCCCGGCCGAACTTACAGCTTTTTTACTTGTTTTTTTTTTTTTAATTTCAAACTTTGCTCAAAAAACTCCCTCCACCCTAATATATATGTTAAACAAAAACATTTATTCTCGATTTATGGAAATATCATTTACCTCTCAGTTTAATTTTGTCTTTCCAAAAAAGATGAGAGCTCTCGGGATATTGGTAATTTTTGCGGTGCTACAAAATTGGATTTTCGTCGAGACTATTCCAGTAGAAAAATGGTTTCAGCTGGAGGGAGGAAATCAAACCGTTTTCATAGAAAGGGAATATAAAGTAATTTTCTAAAAAGGAAAATTTTAAATAAAATTTGAATAAATTTCAATTCCATTTTCCCACCCAAGTACAATTGGTTTCAAGCTCGCAACGAATGCTTGCAGAAAAATATGACCCTTATAGCAATAGATTCCTCAGAGAAGAGTGCATTGCTGACCTCTCTGCTGAAGCGGGTGTTTGGTATGATGAATTTTCAAAGTCGAAAATTAATAAATTAATTAAAATGAATTGTGTTTTATTTTTAGAAAAACCCCATAACCTATGGATCGGTGGCGATGACTTGGGCCAACAGGATGTCTTTGTCTGGTCTTCGACGGGTAAACGTTTCGAATTCACCAATTGGAGCAAGGGAAATCCCAGTCACAATCACGGCCTGGAACACTGTGTCAATTTGTGGGAACATTCCGATTTTGAGTGGAACGATGCGCCGTGCAGTGAATCGAAGGGATTTATTTGTGAGGAAAATCTTCATTTGCTGGCTGCCAAACAGGAATTGCAACATATGAAAAATATGCTCTACGAGGTCTATGAAAGATGTAGTGGATAGGAGAAAATTCAAAAAATATCTACAGGGGTATATATTCAATAAAATCCATTTCAAGAATTTTCAATTGATCAAATGTATTTTTTTAAGGACTATCGAAACCAAAATATATTTAAAAATGGATTTTTAAATATATTTATCAAGGACTAATCATGATTTTTTTAAAAATATTTTTCAAGGGCTGTCAATACCATTATCCTTCTTTTAATACATTTTTTCAAAGACAAAGACACCGGCCTGCTCCATTTGGCAGCTTCTTCTTCCTGCAAACTTGAGCTTCCTTAACCACCTGTTAATACGGACGTCGTAGATTGATCCTTTTTAATCTTCATCCCGCTGGCGTACACTTCATCCTTACTTCTTTCGTGTTTTGTCACCACTTGGATTATTCTGTCTTTAGTTCTTTTAAGTCTTCAGGACTTGATTCTGTACCTTCCACAAGTACTTCAACTTTAGTATTGGGGTCTTCTACTCCAACACTGTCGTCTTTGTTGGTATTTTCGACTGTTTTCACAGACATCCTATCACTGCTTGACGGACCTTCTCCGAAAGCAGTTTTACTTCCTACCCCAAAAATTTACGTTAATATTTGTTTGAACTCGTACTGCATGTGCTCTTTCCTCAGGAGCCACCAATTCAATCTTGAGTTCTTGCACTTGATTTTTCTAAGACATTCATATCATCCTTCAATTTAAGTCTATTTGAAAAGCAGCATCATTTCTTATAGGTTAACACTGGTAACCACAAACTTGAGGTTTCTTCAGAATCTATTTATTCCGGCGTGGTAGATGGTCATCCTTTTTAGTCTTCATCTTTCTGGCGTACTTACTGCATACTTACCGTTTCAGCAGCCACCAACTCGGACTTGAGTTTCTGCAATTGATTTTGTATTTATATTCATTCACATCATCCTGTAATGCTAAGTCTCGTTGAAAATTGGCCTTCAATAACTGCAACACTTTTAATGTCAATATTGGCAACCACCGCATCCTTCAGGCAACATTCTATCTTTATGTTCAGTGCTCGTAAGGTGAGAACACATAAACAACTTTTATGACTGGCTTCTTTCATACAAAACAAAGCAGTTTTAGGTTGACTTAGTTCCATTTTGGACCCTACGCTCCTTGGTTCTATTACGATGGCTTCAGCTCCATCTTACAGACTATCATTCCAGCGTTGCCAATGCACACAATTTCCTGCCACTCCGGCCTGCCGATTGCTTTATACTACTCCATTTGGCAGTTTCTTCCTCCAAACTTGAACTTCCTTCAGTATCTGTTAATTCCGACGTCGTATATATCCATTTCTTTTTAGTTTCCATCTCGTCGTCCACGTGGATATAATGTTTTGCTTCATTTGCTACTTGGATTCTTTGGTGCTTGACCGTAGTCCAATCAAGTCTTCAGGACTTGATTCTGTTTCTTTCCCAAATACTTCGACTTCAGTAATAGGGTCTTTTACTCCAACACTTTCGTTTTTGCTAGTATTTTCGACTATTTTCGGTTTGCTCTCAGCTGCTTGACGGGCCTTCTCCGAAGAAGCAAATATATTAGAAAGCAATTTAAGTCCTTGAAGGAGGACTTTACGTTGAGATTTGTTTGAACTCTTACTGCATGTGTTCCCTCCTCAGCAGCCAACAATTCGGACTTGAGTTTCTGCACTTGATTTTGTCTAACCCGGCTTCAAGTTCAGCAATGGGGGTCTTCTACTTAAACTCTTCGTCTTCGCTGGTATTTTCGACCATTTTATAAGCCAACATCCCCAACAGTTTTATATTCTACTCCAAAGACTTAACGTTGAGATTTGTTTGAACTCTTACTGCTTTTGTTTCCTCTTAAGCAGCCTCCAATTCGGACTTCAGTTCTTGCACTTGATTTAGTATGACACGGCATTTATATTCATCCACATCATCCTTCAATTTTAAGTCTCGTTGAAAATTGACGTCTAATAACTGCAACATTTCTTTAAGGTCAACATTGGCATATACAGCAACCTTCAGGCTACATTCAAGCTTTATGTGCGTTACTCGTAGTTCCACCTTTTCACGCTATGTTTCCTCTAATTACTGGACACTTGACACAGCTTTTTTCATAGCAGAAGCCACATTTAAACTTTTTATATTCTTATTTCCATGTTCAACCGTCATCCGTTCATGAGGAACGGGCTACAACTATAGCTGGAATTGTTTCCATAGAGAGAAAATTTATGAGCCAATAACAATTATGCGGAGTCTGATAAAAACTTCAGCAAAGAAGACTGTGGTGGAGGCGCACACTTACCGAGGGGACTTCATATCTGAGATCTGCAGACAGAAGGGGTGAGGCTATAATTCCATATCCCCAGAAAGACGAATCGATGAAATGACCGCCACTGACGAAGTTCGAGAAAAGACTCAACCACGTGCAGGAGTCGGCCAAAGCTTGCAATGTTGCGCACAATATGACGGATTATGGAAAAATTCTTTTTCTGACATCAGCTGAGAGAAAGTTCCATGCTAAAAATTGCGAATTTGCTGCTTCTGTCTGTAACACAGAACAGACGAAAGATGTCTCAGCAACGGACGGTGCCAAATTTGAAATGTCTGGCATCATAAAGTCCTGCCGCAACGAGGCTTTGGCGAGAGAGACAATCGAGTTTTTGAATCATGAACGGATGACGATGACAAAAAGATATCTCAGCAACGGACGGTGCCAAATTTGCAATGTCTGGCATCATAAGGTCCTGCTGCAAAGAGGCTTTAACGAGAGAGACAAGCGAGTTTTTGAATCATGAGCGGATGACGATTGAGATGGTAAAAAGTATATAAAAAGTTTAAAAGAGGCTAGAGAAATAGCCGTATCTAATAAATAAGCCCAGTTATTAAAGGAAGAAAAGACGGAAATGGCGGAACTACGAGCAACGAACATGTATCTTAAGACCACTCAACGAAAAAAGAGAATCCCAGTTTAACAGCCCACTGCGTGATTTTCCCAAAAAAAAAACAATTTTCAATTTTACCCTACAGTGCCAGTAATTGATTTATTAAATCTCTTTTCATTCCAAAACCCTATGACTCATAGCTAAATATGGATTCTCTTCGCAGATGAAACCCATTTTGTTCATACACTGGGTGTCATTCCATTCGTAATCGGTTCTCTCCCAAATATGGACACAGTGTTCCTTGTCGTTGTAGTTGTCCGGATTGCCAACATTCCAGTTGGCAAAATCAAAGCTTTTTCCAGTCAAAGGCCAAACGAAACGTCCTTCTTCGGCCATGTCATGGCCACCGAGGAAGAGATTAAATTTCACTACAGGGAGACACAAAGAAAACTAAAAAAATAAATCTTCCAAACGTCAAACCACAACATCAGACATACATTTTTTGGTCCTCAACAATGAGGTTAGGGCAGCGCTTTTGGCAGCCGAGTCCACAGTTATCAGGGTTAAATTCCTTAGGGCACATTCATTCCAGGACTGGAACCAATTGTGCTGGAAAATGCAAAAGAAAATTAAAGTTCTCATTTTTAAAAATATTAATGACTTTTTACCTTCTGTTCAGTGTCGATAAAAATTGTCCCGAAATTTTCCAATTTGTGATATTTATCCTGAGCCACAGCCTGAATTTCGGAAAATAGAAAAACTGCTAGCAGAATTCCACACAGTTTTAGATTTGAGTAACGTTTTGCCTCCATGATAGCCGTTTTGGTTGTGGAATTCAATTTGCAAAACTTATTTTCAATGGGAGCTCGTTTTATTGCTCTCAGCTTCAACGGCCTACTGATAAGAGGCCCGGTTAAGGGGAAGCACAAAAAAATCTCTGAGAGTCGTTTTTTGATAAGAATTTCTAATAGATTGTCTTTAAAATTTTAAAAAATATTGGGAAATTCCTAAGGGAAGACAAATATCACTGAATGCAACTTGGAATTAATCGGCTGCATATATTTAGAAATCCATATTGGAGGATAAAATTGACACGACGGAATAAAATTATTCACATTATTAGAGAAATTGAAAGAGAAAACAAATCTCCGCATAAATATTGAAGAATTTCCCTTAACGTCAAAGGAAATTATGTCAGAAGTAGATCTATGTTAAGAGTAGATCTAAAGCTATAGATGTAATTGTTCCCACAGAGAGTAAAATTATCAGATAATAAAATGATGCTGAGTGAGAAAGAGACTTCACCGGAGAAAACTGTGTTGGCGGTGAACACACATTTACCGCACTTTATATCTGAGATCTTCATAGAGAAGGGGTGACGCTATAAGTTGTTGTATTCTTAAGAGGACGAATCGATCAAATGGCCTCCACTCACGAAGTTCGAGAAAGCAATCAACCATTTGCAGAAGTCGTGCAATGTCTGCATTGAAGTTGGGCACAAGATGACGAAATGCAGAAAATTCTATTCTGTGACACTAGCTGAAAGGAAGATCCATGCTAAACAAAATTGCGAATTTGTTGGTTCTGTCTAGAACACAAGACAGACGAAATATGTCTCAGCAGCGGACGGTGCCAAATGTGTAATTTAAGGCTTTAGCGAGAGTGAATGGCGAGGCCTTGAGTCATAAACGGATGTCGCTTAAAGATGGAAATAAGAATATTGAAGGTTTAAACGTGGCTATGCCACCAGCTGTGTCTAATACATATGCCCAGTTTTTAGAGAAAGCAAAGCAATAAAATGCGGAACTACGAGTAACGAACGTAAAGTTTGAATGTTGCCTGAAGTATGTGGCTGCAGATGCCAAGGTTGACCTTTAAAAAAAGTTACAGTCAATTTTCAACGAAATTTAGCATTAAAGGTTGATGTGAATGAATATAAATGCCGTATCATACAAAATCAAGTGCAGGAACTCAAGTCCGAATTGGTGGCTGCAAAGGAGAGAACACATGCAGTAAGATTTCAAACAAATCTCAACGTAAACTCTTTGGAGGAGGAAGTAAAACTGCTTTCGGAGAGGTTGGCTTCTTCGGAAAGGCCCGTCTATCAGCTGAGAGCAAACGCTTTAAGTTGGCTGCAAAATTAGTCGAAAATACTAGCAAAGACGAAAGTGTTGGAGTAGAAGACCACATTACTGAAATTGAAGTATTTGGGGAAGAAACAGAATCAAGTTCTGAAGACTAGAATGGACTACGGTCTGAAGCATTGAAGAATCCAAGTAGCAAATGAAGCAAAATGTCATATTTACGTGGAAACAAAACACGACGGAAGTCAAGGATGAACTGCACGCCAGGGAGATGAAGACTAAAAATGGGTAACTTAGCTGCGAAAATACCAGCAAAGATCAAAGCGTTGTTGGAGTAAAAGACCCCATTACTGAAGTTGAAGTACTTCGGAAAGAAACAGAAGTAAGGCTGGAAATACATAAAGCGCATATTTGGCTGGCTTAAGTCATCGGCTGGCTTCTTCGGAAATGAACAAAGGAGCCTAGGGCCAAAATCGAACTAGGTCAACCTAAAACTCCTTTGTTCATTTACAAAGAAGCCAGCCGAAGTACTTCAACTTCAGTAATGGGATCTTTTACTCCAACCCTTTGATCTTTGCTGGTATTTTCGCAGCTAAGTTACCCATTTTTAGTCTTCATCTCCCTTGCGTGCAGTTCATCCTTGACATCCAAATAAGCCCTTTATGTCTTAAAGACTTGAATGGACTAAGGTCAAGCACTGAAGAATTTAAGTAGCAAATGAAACAAAATGTCATATTCACGTGGAAAGGGAACACGACAGATGTCAAGGATTAACTGTACGCCAGCGTGATGAAGATGAAGGAAGCTCAAGTTTTCAGGAAGAATAACCTGCCAAATGGAGTAGTACAAGCAAAAGGCAGACCGGAGTGGCAGGAAATTGTGTACATTTGCAAAGCTGGAACAACAGTCGGCTAGGTTGTGCTTAAAGGTCAAAATACTTTTTTGACTGGCTTAAGTCATTGGCTGGGAAAATAACAAAGGAGCTTTAGGTTAGTTCAATTTCAGCCCCATAATTTATAATTGTTAAACCTACGATCCTTTGTTAAGAAGACAGCCGATGACTTAAGCCAGTCAAAAGCCTTTTAGGTTCTCTCACCTTCAGTCAGCGGCTGACTTATTCGTAAGAGAACAAAGGAGCTTGCGGTGAACAAGTATAAATCATGGTCCAAAAATGAACTAAGTCAACCTAAAACCTTAAGTTTTTTTAGGAAGAAGTCAACCGAAGGCTTAAGCCAGTCAAAAAAAGCCCTTTATGTGGTTCTTCGCCTTACGCTTGAAAGTTGTGGCTGTGGATGCCAATGTTGACCTTAAAGAAAAAATGCTGTTACTGAACGTTCAGGTCCGACGAGACTTAAAATTGAAGGGTGATGTAAATGAATATAAGTGCGGTGTCTTACAAAATCAAGTTCGAATGGAGGAAAGAACGCATGCAGTATGTACTCAAGCAAACCACAACGTAAGGTCTTTGGGGTGAAAAAACTGAAACTAAAAGAAACTGCTTCCGGAGGATTTGCCTTATTGGTACTAGGCTCCTTTGAGTAGCTGAACTAGAGCGTGAAGTAACAAAATCAGGTCCTGAAGGCTTGAATGGACTACGGTAAAGCACTGAAGCATCAAAGTAGCAAATTAAGCAAAATGTCATATCACGTTGATACGGAACACAACGGAAGTCAAGGATAAATTTTAACACATCTTTGTTCTTTTAACACTCTGTTCTTCTAGGAAGAAGCTAGCCGATATCTTAAGCTAGTCGAAAAAGCTTTTTACGAGCAACGACTATAAAGCTTTAATGTCGCCTGAAGGTTGTGGCTGTGGATGCCAATGGTGAACTTAAAGAGATTATGCTGTAATTGAATATTCAGGTTCAACGAGGCTTAAAATACAACGATTCTGTAAATTGATATTAATGCTATGTCTTACAAAATTAAGTGCAAGAACTCAAGTCCGAATTGGGGAAAGTAAGTACTCAAGCAAATCACACCTTAAAGTCTTTGGGAGAGAAAATGCAACTACATTCGGAGGATTTGCCTTATTAGGAGAAGGCCCCTTAGAGTAGCTCAACAAGGGCGTGATAAGTTGGCTGCGAAAATAGTCAAAAATACCAGCAAATCTGAAAGAGTCGGAATAGAATACCGTCATTACTGAAGTTGAGGTACTGGGGAAGAAACAGAATCAAGTCCTGACGACTTATAAGGACTACGACCAAGCACTGAATAATTCGAGTTGTTGAGTTGAAGTTGGATAAATTTTCACCCTCTGTTCTTTCAGGAAGAAGTTAGCCGATGATTAGGCCAGTCAAAAAAAAACATTTATGTGTTCTCATCTTACAAACAACAACCATAAAGCTTGAACGTGAAGGTTATGGCTGTGGATGACGATGTTGACCTTAAAGAAATTATGCTGCTCTATAACAGGTTCAGGTTCAACGCGACTTAAAATTAAAGGATGATGTAAATGAATATAAATATCGTGTCTTAAAAAATCAAGGGCAAGAATTCAAGTCCGAACTGAGGAAAGAACAGCGTAGTCGTTGGAGGAGGAACTGAAACTACTTTCGGATTTGGTTTTTTTTCGGAGAAGACCCGTAGAGTAGCTGAACCAGAGCGTGATAAGTTGCCTGCAAAAAATCCACATTGCTAAAGTTGAAGTACTTGGGTAAGGAAAAGAATTGATTCTATATCCCAACGAAGCGATAGTGGATACAAAAATCGGAGATAAGAACCAATTTTCAATGCATTAAAATTTGGTAAAGGTAAATTACAGAAAATGCAGAGATGGATATGCTTATTTAAAATGAGTACCTTCTTAATTTTAATATCAAGTGGCTTTAATTATCTGCGTTGGGAGATACAAATTTATTTTTATTTGAGCCACTGTATCCGACTTTATTACAATATTTTTTATAGAACTATCTTGTGGCTTTATGGTCGTTACATCAGAGAATTTATGAGCTAATGTCTCGAGCTACGCAATTATATAAATGAGGTTAGAGGATTTGTCATTGTGGTTTCTTTAATTAATCATTCGAGTTCAAAGTTATTTAACAAGAATCGCAATAATTCTCAATATGTATAGATCTATTAGACATTCAGCAATCATGGCGCGTAGTATTCGTATCGTATTTTTGTTGCTTCTGCAAGTCCTACTGCCATTGACCCAGGCCTTTCAAAGAGAGTATCTCATTGATTTAAATGGAATAAATACGATTTACATTGACAGTGAACAAAAAGTAAGTTCCAGGAAGTAGATATGAAAATTCTATACCAAAAAAATATTCCTCAGATTATTAGGGATTCATCGTTTCCCTAGGAAAAAAATCTCCTCAGATATCTGGGGAGTGGCAGTGAGTTGAGGGAAAAAATTGATCAGTTCCTAAGATTTTTTTAAATTGAACAATTATCTGAATTCCATTTTGTATTTCATATTTCCAGTACAATTGGTTCCAAGCCGAAAGGGAGTGCATTCTCCGCAAGATGTCACTTATTTCGATAAACAGCGCCGAGAAGAATGCCATTTTGGATGGAATTTTAAAGAAAGAATTTCGTAAGTACAACGTATCTTGAGAAATTATAGTTCCATTTTTTTTTAATTTTTTTTCCTCAGAACTTTTTCCCTATCTCTGGATTGGCGGCAATGACTTGGGTAGTGAAAATGAATTCGTTTGGACCGCCAGTGCCAGGGGTTTCAATTTCACCAACTGGAGAGTTGGGGCACCAGACAATCTCTACAACAAGGAGCACTGTGTCCACATAACTCACAATAGGGATTGGAATGACATTGATTGTACCTATAAACTTGGATTTATATGTGAAAATTAAATAAATAAAGAAATGGAATGGAAACTTTTCCACATGAAACATTGGAACCTGAGGCGTGATTTTTTCTATAGAAAAAAATGCCTCAACGGACCTGAGGCGTCGCTTTTTTTCTATAGAAAAAAATGCCTCAACGGACCTGAGGCGTCGCTTTTTTTCTATAGAAAAAAATGCCTCAACGGACCTGAGGCGTCGCTTTTTTTCTATAAAAAAAAATGCCTCAACGGACCTGAGGCGTCGCTTTTTTTCTATAGAAAAAAATACCTCAACGGATCTGAGGCGTGGATTCTTTCTATAGAAAAAAATGCCTCAACGGACCTGAGGCGTGGAATTTTTTCTATAGAAAAAAATGCCTCAAAGGACCTGAGGCGTGGATTTTTTCCTATAGAAAAAATGCCTCAAAGGACCTGATGCGTGGAATTTTTTATATAGAAAAAATGCCTCAAAGGACCTGAGGCGTGGAATTTTTTCTATGGAAAAAAACTACCTCAATGGACCTGAGGAGTGATATTTTTTCTATGGAAAAAAATGCCTCAACGGACATGAGGCGTGGATTTTTTCTATAAAAAAAATTATTCAACGGACCTGAGGCGTGGATTTTTTTTTCTATAGAAAAAAATGCCTCAACGGACCTGAGGCGTGGAATTTTTTCTATAGAAAAAAATGCCTCAACGGACCTGAGGCGTGGAATTTTTTCTATAGAAAAAAATGCCTCAACGGACCTGAGGCGTGGAATTTTTTCTATAGAAAAAATCAGATCAGATATAGCATCAAATTTTAAAATAAGTTTAGATTTGTTCGACTTGATCACTTTTGGAACGAATTATGGCCTTCAAACGGCCAATGAAACCGTCACACGTTGGCCGAATGTTGCTCTGCGGTATTTTGAACCATTCCCGGCGAAGCACTTGCTTGACGTGATCGACACTTTGGAATTTTGTTAATGCCAACCTTGCTTTCTAAAATACTCCAGACACAATAGTCCAACGGATTGGTATACGGAGATTTTGGTGACCATTGTGCGCTGGAAATGAAACGAGAAACCTCATTTTGTAAACATTCTTGGGAGGCGCGTGCTGAGTGCGATGGTGCTGAGTCCTGTTGGAATGTCCAAGGTCTGCGGCCAAAATGTTTGCGTGCCCAAGGCTTTAATACACCCCCAGAATATTTTCGCGATAATATTCGACATTTATTCTGATGCCACGGTCGATTAATACGAGCGGCGAGCGACCCTCGGCTGTTATGGCGGCCCACACTATCACCATGGCCGGCGCTTGAATTCTGGTGGCCAACCGAAGGTGCACATTTCCGGCTGGAAAGTAAACACGATCATTTTGTTTGTTTAAAAACTGCTGGGCAACGAATGTTTTCTCATCGGAGCGGAGAAAACCAAATTCGACAGTTCACCGCTTTCGGCCAAGCGAAGCAACTCTTTAGCTCTTTTGAGTCAATTTTCTTTCTGTTGCGGCGTAAGTTCTTGCACTTTTTGGAATTTCAATGGCTTTACCCCGAGCTCATTTTTTAATATTTGCCGAATGGAATATTGCGATATGTTCAGTTCACGAGCCATTTTCCGGCCACTGCGACGCGGATTTTGATCAAGTAGCTTCTTTACTTTTCGAACCATTTCTGCTGATGTTGCTGTTTTCTTTCGTCCACTTCCTTGACGTCGGGCTACGCTACCAGAGTCACGGTAACCGGCGATGATACGAGACACAAAAAATTTATTCACATTTAAATGCTGGAGTGCTCTAACGGTAGCCACTTGTGGTTTTCCAGCCTAATATAAAGAAATCACACTATCCCGCTTGAATTCCATCGCGAATAACTTTTTTTCTGGAAAATTCTCACCAAAATGCTTTTGTTCGCTTGATTTTAATATATGTCGGACGAGAGGCTTATAAATGACAGCAGTCTGAAGTTGGTTGCAGTTTTTTCATCTCACCCTGTATATATGGCTGAGGGTATAAAAATCCTCCGTGGACCAGAGTATCGATTTCTCAGAACTTTGTTTGTAATTTTCCCTGGTGGATTTTTTTCCCCGAAACTTAATAATGCCTCGAATAATTCCAGTTTTGGAATTCTCAACGCATACCTCTATATACGTTTCTTTTTTTGATGCCACACACACTCATCTCATCTTCTTCTTAAAGCCAGTTCATTCATACGTACATATGTCACTCTGCATGTATTTATGTTATTTTTTGCCATTTTTGCGGGGATTTTTTTCCTATTCACTCGTTTCTTATCACAAACCAGAAACAAGGTTATAAAAAGATTTCAAATTTGAGAGAAATCAACTCATTTCGAATTCAGAAATCAAACAGAATGGTCAAGCATTTGTGGAGTGCGCTAAGTTTGATTTGCGTGGCGACGCTGATGGCGGAAGCTGCCATCAACGACAAGTGGCACAACTTGGGTGATTTTGGTACAATATTCGTCGAAGAAGAACAAAAGGTAGGCCGTTACTTCTATTCTCTAAAATCCAAATTAAGATTCCAAACTTAATTTCAATTCCATGATTTTGTCTCGTAGTACAATTGGTTTGAGGCCTGGGAGGAATGTGCCATGAGAAATATGACCCTAATAGACATTGATACGGCCGAAAAAAATACAATTGTTGACAAGGTTTTAAGGAATCCTTTTGGTAAGTACATTTATTAATAATCTAATATTAATAATATTTAAAATTATTTTTTTAATTATTTTTAATAAATTCTGTAAATTTTTTGTATTTTTGTGGTGATGTAGAAAAATGCCCCAATTTGTGGCTGGGTGGCAACGATCTCGGTTTGGAGGGCAAATTCGTGTGGTCTTCGACGGGCAAACGTTTTGAATTCTCCAATTGGTCAAAGGGCCAGCCGGACAACTACAAGAGCAACGAACACTGTGTCCACTACTATACCATAACCGATTTCGAATGGAACGATGCTCCATGTACCTCGAAAATGGGTTTTATTTGTGAAGAAAATCGTTTCCTGCGCGAGGCTCGCCGCGACTTGCAAATTAAGAAAAATTTCATTGATCAATTGTTTGCATTGTAGTTTTTTGGAAATTCCAAGCCATATATATGTAAGATAATTATTTTATAATAAATATAAGAAAATATTAAATACTTAGGAAGTGTCAAATGAAAATAATAAATTAATTTAAGAAAAATTAACGGCCGTCAGTATCACTGATTCCTCGGATTTGGGGGAATTTTTTTCTATAGAAAAATTCAAAAATCTTGAACCCTATGTGGGGGAGGTTCCAGTAGAAATGGTCCGATCTCTACCATCTTTATAACAGATCTTGTGTTGGAGGAAATATTGAGATGTACCAAGTCAGAATGTAATCGGATCATAATTTCGCGTTTTATGAGCTTCATGGACATTCAAAATGTTGACCCTTTGTGGGGGAGGTACAAGAAGTAATGAACCGATATATTCCATCTTCACACCAGACCTTGGGTTAATAAAACTATTGTGATGTGTATAATTTGAAGAGTATCGGATGCTTATTTCGGATTTTCTAATCCTTTTGATTATTCAAAATGTTGACCCTTTGTGTGGGAGGTACTAGATGGAATGGTCCGATCTTTACCATATTTATAACAGATCTTGTGTTGATGAAAATAATGAGATGTACCAAGTCTGAATGGCATCGGATGTTAATTTTATAATTGTTTTGTTTATTCAAAATGTTGACCCTTTGTGGGGGAGGTACTAGAAGGAGGGGACCCACATATCAAATTTTCACGCCAGACCTTGGGTTAATAAAAATATTGTGATGTGTGTACTTTCAAGAGTGTCGGATGCTTATATCGGATTTTATAATCGTTTTGGTTGCTCAAAACTTTGACCCTTTGTGTGGGAGGTACTAGAAGGTCGGACCATTCCTCTTTACCATCTTTATAACGGATCTTGTGTTGAGAGATATATTGAGATGTGCCAAGTCTGAATGAAATTGGATGTTAATTTCGCGTTTTATGAACTTCATGAATATTCAAAATTTTCACCCTTTGTGGGGGAGGTACCAGAATTAGTGGACTGATATATTCTATCTTCACAACAGACCTAACCCAAATATTGTGGTGTGTGTAATTTGAAGACAAGCGGACACTGACATCACATTTTATAAGAGTTGTAATTATTCAAAATTTTGACCCTTTGTGGGGGAGATACTTGATAAAGTTGACCGATATTGTCCATTTTCATACCTGACCTAGCACTGACGTAAATATTAGGATATTCAAAGTTGGAGGAAAATCGAAGTATCTTTCCTCTTTCTGTGCAGTAAACTATTTTCTTTGAAAATGTTGGCATTTCGTGGGAGAGGTACCGGAAGGAGTGGACCGATATTGCCCATCTACGAACCTGATTCAAGTTTGACAATAGTACTACGATGTATTAAGTTTGGACCAATTCAGATACTCCCTTCGAGAGTTATCGTGCGCACCAGCCAGACAGACGGACGGATGGACGGACATCGCTAGATCGACTCAAAATGTCATGAAACGGATTTGGTCCAAGGAACCTATGTTCTAAAACCGTTATTTCGCTTAGGCACGCCATATAGCTAACTATCACTTTTCAGATCCACTGAGGATTTTTTTTCTAAAGAAAAAAAACTCTCCTCACGTCCACTGAGGATTATTTGTCTGTAGAAAAAAATCATTGGACAGGTTCACTGAGAAATTTCTTTCTATAGAAAAAAAATGCCAAAGGTATTGAGACATTGGGCGCCACTTTGTATCGATTCTGGGTCACAATAGCCTCAACAACTTCTTTCTGGATTTATATTTTAAAGCTATCAACGAGGACTTTTTAAGACGATTTTTAAACGATTTTAAAGATGATTTTCAGAGGTATCAACGAGATATCAACGAGGATTTTAACAGACGATTTTCAGAGTATTTTTAAAGACAAATTTAGATGGTTTTTAGAGATGATTTTCAAAGCTGTCAGTGAGGATTTTTGAAGACGATTTTCAGATCAATTGACATGATCATATTCTAGTGAATCCTTACTCACAATTTGCCCTCCTCCTCCTCCATCTCGAGCTATAACAAAGCTATATCATTGTAAACTGCCTTGGCATTGTATTGCGGATATTTTATGAAACGCTTTATTCTGACATCCCCAACAGAGGTATCACTTAAATTTGAGCCACCAATGCGTACCAGGCTTCGAAATTCCCTGAAAGGAAATCGTTAATAAATTAACATGATACGGCAAATTCCATCCCATACCCTCCGATTTCGGCACAGTGTGCCGCAGTCAGCACAAATTTGGGTGAAATAACTGCTCCTCCACAGCGATACCATGGCTTGCTGTCAAAGTTGGATCTCCAGCCCAGGGCGGCCTACAAGAAAAAATGTGAAACAATTAAATATTTTCAAAAGCACCAAACAAGCCCTTCTATTGGCAAATGATTTAAAGCAGATCGGTTTATTAGAGAAGACTTAAAGAAGATCTTCCAAATACAAATACATAAATACAACTTGCAAAAAAAAAGAAGTAAAAAAGCTTTAAATTCGGCCGGGCCGAACTTTGAATACCTCCACGATTTAGAATGAATTTGGAAATTAAAAAAAAATCCGTTAAAAATTCTTTTAAAATCTTATAAATACCGAATGTACACGATCGATTAGGGACTATACGACAACGTGGACCTGCAACATTTTTCATAAGCAATATTCAAATGCGAAACTGGGAAAAATGGTCAATAATGTAGCTAAAATCATCAATGTACCGAATATAGGGAGATGCCGTTTTATGGAGTCGAAGTCGTAGACCTGCAGAGACAATTTTCTGTCATAGGCTGCAGTATCCATTACGAACTTCAAATACCAAATATGAAACAACTCCAGTAAATAATGTCGCTTAAATCAAAATACCGAATATTGAGAGGTACCAATGTATGGGGGCTATACGAGGACGTGGGCCTGCACAGACAATTTTCTGTCATATGCTGCAATATCCAATGCGAACTTCGAATTCCAAATTTGAAACGATCCCGGTGAATAATGCCGCTAAAATCATCAAAATACCGAATATCGGGAGGTACCGTTATATGGGGGCTACACCATAACGTGGACCTACATGGCCCATTTTCAATACCAAAAGTCCTGCAGACATAATATATAGTTGAGTAAAATTTTATCAACCTTCCTCTTTTCTTTCGGAAGCTAGGGTGATTCACACAGACGGACGGACATCGCTAAATCGACTTACTATGGTGGAGGGTATACAAAGAGGGAGACGAATGGGTAAGACTACATCGAAAAGTCTCCACATTTTGATGTAAATGTACATGGCTGTACCTTCCGATAATCGCTTGTTTGATAATTTGTATTACATTTTTCACCGGAATTATATCAAATTTGGTATTTAGAGTTCGTATTGATAACTACCACCACTGCCAGAAAATTGCCTATATAGGGGTATGTCTTCTTATAACCCCCATATAGTGATATAACCCACCAATATTCGATAATTTGATGATTTTAGCTCTACACTTTTTATCGGAATTATTTCAAATTTGGAATTTGGAGTTCGTATTGTATACTACCTCCATTGACAGAAAATTGCCTGTGCATATCCACGTCTTCGCATAGATCCAATATAACGGTAGTTCTCTATATTCGATACTTTTACCTACATTTTCAACGGAATTATCTAAAACTTGGTATTTGGAGTTCGTAACAGGCATTGCTGGCAGATAATCGGTTATATTGCTCCACGAACTTGCTCCACATTTCCGTAATTAATTTTTGGTGTTGCACAGTGTTATTAATTGTGTTATTGAAGTGGTTGCAACCAGACTCTACCTTCAAATTCAAAGGGCGGAATAAAATCCCCGCAAAAGTTGTTCTTAGTTCATTATTGTTTTTCTGCGAGTCTCGTCCGCAGTTCGATTCAAACCGCGTCTTGAACAACAACGCCTAATTAAATTGACGGAATATTTGTCGTTATTGTCTTCCATCCCCTAACCAGGTTTATTCTACGAATATTCATTATGCAAATGAGGTGGCAGGTATTTTACATTTTCGCTATTGTTTCGCTTAGAAAAAATTGTAAGTTTAGTAAATTCCAAGAAAAAAAATCGTTAAATAAAAAATACATTCCACAATCATAGATGTCACAACAGTCAGGCATCCAACGCCTTCCGACTTTATTTATCCCCATGAAAATTGGGAGGATTGTTTTGTGGACGCCGCATCTCGAGTGGCGGGACAGTGTAAAAATCTTAACGAATGTCCTGCGGTTTTGAGGAAATGGCAAGAGGAGAATGTCTATCCTAAAACATGTTATTTTATGCAAACAGAACAATTCGTTTGTTGTCCGAAGGCAAAGCAGGTAACCCATGACCCCATAAGGGAAACAACAACACTACGATCGCTTGGCAGTACCACAACTGAAACATGGTCACAAAAACTACAGAAGATACAACGTAGGAAATTGGGTAAGAAAAATTAATTTGTTTTACAACCGAATGAGGGACTTGGGGCCTTAAGTCCTCGATCTTCCTCTGTTGATCAGTATTTTCGGCACATCATCCCCTTATAACAATCCTAATCTCATTTTTTGGAATTCTATTGCAGAATGTGATATAGAGCTCAAATTTCGTTCACTTGTTGTCTATGGTACCCCAACGCAGCGGGATGAATTTCCCTTTATGGTAAGGCTGGAGAGTTCATTACTATCTATACCAAGCCCATTGGTTGGTGGAGACTTTTCGATGTAGTCTTACCCATTCGACTCCCTCTTTTTTTACCCTCCACCATAGTATGGAGGGTATATTAGGTTTGTCTTTCCAAGTTACAAACTCCTCGAAATATACATTTTAGACACCACAAGCTACATATATTCTTGATCTGCATAAAATTCAATGTCGATTTAGCGATGTCCGTCCGCCAGTCCGTCTGTGGGAATCACTCTAGCTTCCGAACGAAATAAAGTAGGTTGATAACATTTTACTTAAATATATATTATGTCTGCAGGAATTTTGGTATTGAAAATGGGCCATGTAGGTTCACGTTTTGGTATTGTCCTCACATAACGGTACCTCCCGATATTCGGTATTTTGATGATTTTAGCGGCATTATTTACCGGAATTGTTTCAAATTTGGTGGTTGAAGTCCGTAATAGATGCTACAACCTATGACAGAAAATTGTCTGTGCAGGTCCACGTCTTCGTATAGCCCTCATACAACGGTACCTCCCGATATTCGGTATTTTGATCATTTTAGCGACATTTTTCACCGGAATTGTTTCAAATTTGGTATTTGATGTTCGTAATGGCAGCTACAGCCTATGACAGAAAATTGTCTGTGAAGGTCCACGTCTTCGTATAGCCCCCATATAACCATACCTCCCGATATTCGGTATTTTGATGTTTTTATCGACATTATTCACCGGAATTGTTTCAAATTTGGCATTTGAAGTTCGTAATGAATATTGCAGCCTATGACAGAAAATTGTATGTGCAGGTCCAAGTCTTCGTATAGCCCCATGTAACGGTACCTCCCGATATTCGGTATTTTTGTGATTTTATCGACACTATTCACCGGAATTGTTTCCAATTTGGTATTTGATGTTCGTAATGGCTGCTACAGCCTATGACAGAAAATTGTCTTTGCAGGTCCTCGTCTTCGTATAGGTCCCATATAACCATACCTCCCGGTATTCGGTATTTTGATAATTTTAGCGACATTTTTCACCGGAATTGTTTCAAATTTGGTATTTGAAGTTCGTAATGAATATTGCAGCCTATGACAGAAAATTGTCTGTGCAGGTCCACGTCTTCGTATAGCCCCCATAGAACGGTACCTCCCCATATTCGGTATTTTGATAATTTAAGCTACATTATTCACCGATTTTTTTCAGGTTTCGCATTTGAACATTGCTTATGCAGGTCCACGTCGTCGTATAGTTCCAAATATAACGGCTACATTCGGATTTTAACAGAATTTTTAACGGATTTCTGTTTTTTTTTTTTTTTTTTTTTTGAAAATTGCAAAATTCGATCCAAATGTTGGAGGGTATTCGAAATTCGGCCCGGCCGAACTTAATTTTTTTTGACGAGTTGTAGAAGGTCTGGAGTCTTCTGTAGATAGATATCTATTTTTGGAAGACATTTTTGAGGTCTAATCTAAATAACCGATCTGCTTTAGGTCATCTGCCAATAGAAGGGCTTCTTTAGTGCTTTTGAAGATAGAAGACCTTTGGGTCTTCTGTAAAGCTCTGTAATTGTTTAAAATCTTTATTTACTCCCAGGCCACCCTGGGCTGGACCTCAAACTTCGACAACAAGCCATGGTATCGCTGTGGAGGAGCAGTTATTTCACCAAAATTTGTTCTAACTGCGGCACACTGTGCCGAAATCGGAGGGTATGAAATCGAATTTCCCTGTCAAGCTAATTTATTAAACAATAATCAATTTTCTTTTAGGGAATTTCCAAGCCTGGTACGCATTGGTGGTTCAAATTTAAGTGATAGCTCTGTTCGGGATGTCAGAATAAAGCGCTTCATAAAACATCCCCAATACAATGCGCAGACAGTTTACAATGATATAGCTTTGATAGAGCTCGAGATGGAGGTGAAGGAGCAGGGCAAATTGTGAGTAAGGATCCAAAAGGTTAGGATCAGGGTTATTGAAAATCGTTTCTAAAAACCCTCTAAACTTGACTTTGAAAATCCTCTGAAAATCATATTTTAATATCCTCGATGATACCTCAAAAATCCTCTTTAAAATTGTTCGTTGATAGCTATGAAAATCATATTTAAAAATCGTCTAAATCTTCTCTAAAAATTCTCTAAGATTTTTTTTTAAAAACCTCGTTGATAGCTTTGAAATATTAGTCCATAAAAGCCATACAAAGTGGCGCCCAATGTTTCAGTACCTTTGGCACAAAATTAATGACTTCTTTGTCATGTTTCTCTCTCTCTCTCTCTCTCGTTTTAGCATTGAAACTCCCTGCTTGTGGTCCCAGGAGAATTTGACTACAGATAATGTCACAGTTGTGGGTTATGGTCATACGCAGTTCGGAGGCATTGCTTCCAACCGGCTGCTAAAGGCGAATCTCAAAGTTGTACCATACAATGTTTGTCAGCAGTATTATGGCCAAAATGGCGACGACACACCGTCCGGAATACGCTCTGCAATGCATCTATGTGCTGGAGATCCGGAAGGGTTACGCGACACCTGTCAGGGTGATTCAGGTGGTCCACTGATAATGGAAGATGTTCGAGAGGGTTTTAGAAGTCAATATATTGTTGGAATTACGTCCTTCGGCCTGGGATGTGCCGGTGAACCGCCATCGATTTATACCCGAGTCTCATCATATTTGAAATGGATCGAGGATATTGTATATACATTGGAAGTTACATAGATGTGGCGGCAAATAAATGTGTATAAATAATTATAAAATAGAACTAACCGTAACATCGAGATTTTTTTTCTGTATGTCTTCCTCTGTGTAAATCGCTCTAGCTTCTGAACGAAATAAATTAGGTTGATGAAATTTTGTTGAGATGCATTTGAGGTACGTAGAATTTTTGGTACGGAACATTGAGATGATAATGGAAATATTGAGTTGTTGCAAGTCTGAATGTAATCGAATGATAATTTCGCGTTTTATGAGCTTCATGGATATTCAAAATTTTGAACCTTTGTGGGGGGGAGGTACCAGAAGGAATGGGCCGACATAGCCCTTCTTCACAGCAGTATTAGTAGGTTGTTATAGTATGAAGTGAACCGGGTGCCTATTTTGGATTTTATGATCGTTTTGGTTATTCAAAACTTTTACCCTTTGTGGGGAGGTACCAGAAGGAATGGTCCGATGTCTACCATTTTTATAACAGATCTTGTGTTTATGGAAATATTGAGATGTACCTTATGGAATCGGATGTTAATTTCGTGTTCTATGAGCTTCATGGATATCCTAAATTTTGAACCCTTTGTGGGGGAGTTGCCAGAAGGAGTGGACCTACATATTCCATCTTCATACCACACCGTGGGTTATTAAAAACATTGTAAGATGTGTAATTTGAAGACAATCGGACTTTTACATCACATTTTATAAGAGCTATAATTATTCAAATTTTTGACCCTTTGTGTGGGAGGTACTAGATGGAGTGGACCGATATTGTCCACTGTCGCACCTGACATAGCACTAATGAAAATATTAGAATTTGAAAAGTTGGAGCAAAATCGAATGGAGCAATTATCTAATTATGTGCAGTAAATTAAAAAAAAATACATTTTGTGATGGAGGTACTAGAAGAGTGGTCCGATATTGCCCACCTCTAAACTCGATTTATCTTGGACAATCATATTACGATGTACCAAGTTTGGATCAATTGGGATACTCCCATCTATAGTTATAGTGCGCACCAGCCAGACAGTCAGACGGACGACGGACATCGCTAGATCGACTCCGAATGTCCTGAAAGGTCTAAAGACACCTAGGGTCTAAAACCGTTATTTCGACGAGGCACGTTTTGGCCATATCAAATGATATAAATCGCCTCTAGCCATATGGCTGAGGGTATAAATTTTAACGTAGACAGTTTTATAAATCCTCTGCAAATCGTCCATAAAAAATTGTCTAAAAATTATCTTTAAAATCTTCTGAAAATTTACTATAAAAATTCTCTGATTTTTTTCTGTAAAAATTTACATTGAATCGTCCATAAAAAAATTCTTTAGAAATCGACTTGAAAAATCCTCTAAAACTTGTATTTAAAATCCTCTAAAAATCTTCTGAAAAACGCCTTTAAAAATCCTCTGAAAATGGGCTTAAAATCCACAGAGATTCGGCTTCAAAAATCCTCTGAAAATCATCGAAGAAATCCTTGGAAAATCGACTTGAAATTTCATCTTTAAAAAACCGGTTAAAGTTGTATTCAAAATCCATTTTAGATAACCGTCTCAAAAATCCTCTAAAGAAGTTTTTTTAAAAATTTTCTAAAAAGCGCATTTAAAAATCCTATAAAAATAGCCTTTTACATCCTAAAAAAATCATTCCAAAAAATTCATGTTAATCGATCTGAAAATCTTTTTTAATATTCCTCTGAAAATCGTCTTTAAGAATCCTCGTTGAAAGCTTTGAAAATTTTCGTAAAAGTCCCCTGAAAATTGTTTTTAAAAAATTTCGTTAATGGCTCTTAAAATCTTAGTTAAATGTCCTCTAAAATCGTCTTAAAAATCATTTTAAAATTGCCTTTAAAAATCCTCCAAAAATCTCCTTATAAATCCACATTGATAGCACTTAAAATCTTCTAAAAATCCTATGAAAATCGTTTTTAAAAATCCTCGTTGATGGCTCAGAAAATCGAATTTAAAAATCCTCTAAAAATCGTCTTTGAAAAGCCTCTAAAATCGTCTTTAAAAATGTTTGTTTGTAGTTCTGACATCGCCATTAAAAATCTCTAAAATCCTCTTTTAAAATCCTAAAAATCGTCTTTAAAACCCTATTTTATATCTCTAAAAAACTTCTTTAAACATTTCCTAAAAATCGTCTTTAAACATCAAACTTGAAAGATCTGAAAACCGTATTTCAAAATCCTCTAAAAAGCGCCTTTAAGAATCCTCTGAATATCGTTTCTGAAATCCTCGTTGATAGCTCTTAAGACCGTCTTTAAAATTTGTCTAAAAATTGTCTTTAAAATTTATCTAAAAATAATCTTTAAAAATCCTCATAAAAAATGTTTTTATAAATTCAAGTTGAGAGTTTTGAAAGTCGTATTTAAATCCTCTAAAATCTTCTTTAAATATTCCCTGAAAATCGTCTTTAAAAATACTCGTTGATAGCTCCAAAAATCGCCTTTAAAAATCCTCTGAAAATCGTCTTTAAAAATCCTCGAAAATAGTTTTTAAGAATCCTCTAAAAATCGTATTTTAAGACCATCCAAAACCGTCTTCAAAAATCTTCGTTTATGGCTCTAAAATCGTCTTTAAAAATTCTCTAAAGTGGTCTTTGAAAGTTCTCTGAAATTCTCTTTAAAAGCCCCCTGAAAATCGCTTTTGAAAATTCCTTATTATTCCAAGTTGATATCTCCGAAAATAGTCTTTTATAATTCTCTAAAATCATCTTTTAAAATCCTCTAAAACGTTTTAAGGAATCCTCGTTATGTGCTCGGAAAATCGTCTTCAAAATCCTTTGAAAATCATCTTTGAAATCCTCAAAAATCGGCTTCTGAAAAAATCTTCATTCATAGCTTTTGAAAGTCGTCTTCAAAAATTCTCTAAAATCGTCTGAAAATTGTTTTTGAAATCCACGTGGATATCTCTAAATACCGTATTTAAAAGTCTTATGAAAATCCTGCAAAAATGGTCTAAAAGAAATCCTCTAAAAAGGTTCTTAAAATTGCTCTAAAAGTCGTCCTTAAAATCCTTTGAAAATCATCTTTAAAATCCTCTAAAATCGGTTTCAAAAAAAAAAGCATATTTAAAAATCCTCCAAAATCATTTCCAAAAATTCTCATCGATAGCTCATAAAATCGTCTTTAAGAATCCTCGCCGATAGCTCGAAAAATCTTTTTTAAAAATCCTAGAAAACTCATCTTTAAAATTCCTCAAAAAATTGTCTTTAAAAATCCAAGTTGATAGCTCTGAAAGTCGTATTTAAAAATCCTCTAAAAAGTGTTTTTAAAAATCCTCTAAAAAGCGTCTTTAAAAATCCTCTGAAATCGTCCTTAAAAATCCTCGCCTATAGTTCAGAAAATAGTTTTTATGAATCCCCTGAAAATCGCTTTAAAAAATCCACATTGATCGTCTTTAAAATATTCTAATAAAAATCCTTTAAAGAAATCGTCTTTAAAAATTCTCTAAAAATAAATTTTAAAAATTCTCTTAAAAACCTCTCTGAAAATCGCATTTAAAAGTGCTCTCAAATCATCTTTAAAAATCCAGGTTGATTGCTCCGAAAATCGTCTTTAAAGGCTGTCTAAAATCGTCTTTGAAAATCGTTTTTAAGAATCCTGCTTGACAGCTCTTTAAAAAATCTTAGGAAAATCTCTTTAAAAACCCTGTGAATAGCTTTGAAAATCAATTTTAAAAATCTGCTAAAAATCTTCATTAACATCTACGTTGACAGTTAAATCGTCTTAAATCCTCTAAAAATCTTGCGAAAATCGTTTGAAAAATACTTTAAAATCGTCTTTAAAATCCTTTGAAAATTATCTTTGAAATCTTCTAAAAAATTGGCTTTAAAAATTCTCTAAAAAAATCGTTTATAGCTCTGAGAATCGTCTTTAAACATTCTCTGGAAATCGTCTTTAAAAATTCTCTGAAAATTGTATTCGAAAAGTACTTCGATAAAAATCGAAGATGATACCTTTGAAAATCGTTTTTAAAATTCACGTTGATAGCTCTTAAAATCGGCTTTATAAATCTTGCGAAAATCGTTTTAAAAAATTCTCGAAAAATCCTCTAAAATCGTCTTTAAAAATGTTCGTTTAAAGTTCTAAAAATCTTCTTTAAAAACTCTCTAAAATAGTCCTTAAAAATACTCTAAAAATGTGTTTTAAAATCTCTAAGAATCGTCTTTAAAAATTCCCGATTTTAGCTCTGAAAATCATACTTAAACTCCACGTTGGCAGTTCAAATAATCCCCTTGATTTTTTTCTTAAAAATCTGTACATCTGCAGATTGCTTTGTGTGAAGATCAGTTGGATCAAACCTGTTACAATCTTAGCACGTGTTGATGCACAACGCAAAATATTTTATCTTTGTCATTTCTCAAAATGCCTAAGTATTATTTATTACCTGTCTGGTCATCATCAAATGATTCATTCATCCATACCCGCCCTCTTTTCCTCCTATCCAAAAAAAAACTCGGATACCGAGAATCCCTCCAATTCCATGACAATTTCACTCCTCAGGCCGTGCTAACTTGTTTCGTTGCTCCTCTGACACACATGATCGCAATCCATTGCTACTCTGCTTTTTTTGTTGTTATTTATTTCTCATCATCTCCTCATCTTCTTCTTTTTGTTATTATTGTCATATGGCAGAAAAAAAATCCAGTTTCCAGTTAACGGCGTAGCAAAACAAAACCGAATAAAAACATGCCAAAGAAAAAGTTGGTTTAATGACCAGAACGGATGGTTTGCAGGCCAGTTCCACAGTTCGTTTCAAACCGCCTTAAAGACAACATTACTTAGCTTGGTTGACGGCAGCTCTTTTGCTTCTCTTTCGCACTCCCTCCTAACTCAATATGCAAATTATTGGATCCAGTTTATACATTTTTGCAATAGTTTTGCTCAGGGAAAATTGTAAGTTTTTTTCTTAAAAAATAAAGAAATCGCTCCCCATTAAATCCGATTTTAATTTTTAGCTGCCACCCCAGCCATACGTCCCCAATCACAGCGTGGCATCATCTATCCCCAAGACAACTGGGATGATTGTTTCGTTGATGAGGCATCCCGAATTGCGGGCCGATGCAAATTGGTTGACGAATGTCCCGAAGTTTTAAAGAAATGGCAAAAAGAGAAAATCTATCCGAAAACCTGTTATTTCATCAAAAAAGAACAATTTGTTTGCTGTCCCCTGGCGATGGGCGTAACCACAATGGAAGCAATAACAGTAAGAACAACCCGGGGCACTACATCGGGACCAAGTCTATTGGAATTGACTGGGTTGAGGCGTAGTGATTTGGGTAAGAGGAAAAAATATTTTGCAATTGAAGGGAACTCAAATATTGTCACTTGTTTTAATAATTCTTCGAAATTGTGATAAGAAAAGATTCTGAAATCATAATATTTCCAAGAAGACTCAAATGAATTTCTCACAAGACTTTCAGAGCTATGATCGTAAATTTATACACAAAACTCATATCAGTAGTGGGATTCTCTAGCTCATTTTTTGAGTTACCGACAAAAATCGGTAACTTTCAGGTACAAAATTTTGTTATAAAAACAAATAAAAGTTGACAACATTGGTATCGATCGGTAGGTCTTAGCGACTACTTTCTTTTAGTCGCTAGCATAACGAAAATTTTCGTTAATTACAGAAATTATAAGCATTTGAATTTTACCGATTATTTTCGGCAACTCAGAAAATGAGCTACAGAATTCAACTACAGGTCGGAAGTTTTAAAGACAAGTTTGAAAAATATTTTCCAAAAGCATGGACTTCAATGAAATGGATTTTTAAAATCGTCCATAAAAACGCACATAGAGAATTCTTAAAATTGATAGATCTGGAAATCGTCTTTTAAAATCCTCGTCGATAGCTATGAAAATCGTCTCTAAAGATCTTCGTTGAAATCTCCGAAAATCGCCTTTAAAAATCCTCGGAAAATCGTCTTTAAAAATCTTCGAGGATAAATTTGATAATCGTCTTTAAAAATAGAGATAGGTCTGAAAATAATTTTTAAAAAATCACTAAAAATCGCTTTTAAAAATACCCCTTCATAGCTTTAAAAAAGGCTTTGAAAATCGATGTTGAAACACCCCTCGTACATCTTGTATAGGGAGATCTGTTCAATCAATGGCCCTAAAATCGTCTTTAAGGTCCTTTGGAAATAGTAAATAAAAGTCCTCAGAAAGTCATCTTTAAATTTTAAAACATCCACTGAAAACCTGTTAATGCATCCAACTTGAGATCTGAAAATCTTTTTTAAAAAAATTTCGCTGAAAATCTTTAAAAATCATTCTTAAAAATTCTCTGAAATCGTCTTTGAAAGTCTATTGAAAGCAGTTTCTAAAAGTCCTCTGGAAAAAGACTATAAAAATCGTCATTGATTTTATTTTTATTCCCCCATCCATATGGCTACAGAGGGCATATATCATATGATACGTGCCTCATCGAAATAACGATTTTAGACCCTAGGTCTCTTTGGGCCAAATCCGTTTCAGGACATTTGGAGTCGATCTGGGGATGTCTGTCGGTCCATCTGTCTGGCTGGCTGGTGCGCACGATAACGCTAGAAGGGAGTATCCGATTTGGTCCCAACTTGGTACATCGAGTTCGTAGATGGGCAATATCGGCCCACTCCTTCCGGTACCCTCCCCCCACAAAAGGTCGACATTTTCAAAGAAAATAATTTACTGCACAGAAAGACAAAGGATAGTCCGAATTTCCTCCAACTTTACAAATCCTAATATTTGCATCAGTTCTAGATCGGGTGTGAAAATGGACAATATCGTTCGACTCCAACAAGTACCTCACCCACAAAGGGTCAAAATTTTGAACAATTACAACTCTTATAAAATGTGGTGTAAGTGTACGTCTGTCTTCAAATTTCACACATCCCAATAATTTTCTTAACCCAAGGTCTGGTGTAAAGGTGAAATGGCTCGGTCCACTCCTTCTGGTACCTCCCCCACAAAAGTTCAAAATATTAATTAATGAATATTAATTAATTATCCAATTTCATTTAAACTTTGCACATCTCAATATTTCTATCAGCGCAAGATCTGTTTTAAAGATGGTAAAGATCGGTCCACACCTCCTGGTACCTCCCCCACAAAGGGTCAAAGTTTTGAATAATCAAAACGATTATAAAATTCGAAATAAGCTTTAAGCGCTCTTCATATTTCACACATTCCGTTATTTCTACTTACACAAGATGTAAAGATGGGATATATCGGTCCACTCCTTCCGGCACCTCACCCACAATGGGTTAGAAGTTTGAATATCCATAAAACGTGAAATTAACATCCGATTCCATTCAGGTTTGATGCATCTCAATATTTCCATCATCACGAGATATTTTATAAAGATGGTACATATCGGCGCACCCCTTTTAGTACTACCCCCACAAAGGGTTCAAAGAAAGCGAAATAAGCATCCAACTCTCTTCAAATTTTACACATCCAAATATTTTTGCTAACGCAAGATCTGTTGTGAAGATGATATATATCTGCGAACCTCTTCTGGCACCTCACCCACAAAGGGTCACAATTTCCAATACTAATATCTGTCATAACTTGCGAAGCAACTCAGCGATTTTTTACAACTTGCTATATCTAAATATTTCTCTCATCCAGAAACCTGAGATGAATATGGGAATTTATGATTTCTCATAAAATTGGATATAAATTTTCGATTTTCTTATAATTTTCGCCATACCTATATCATTATCTGTATTAGATGAAGTATGAAAATGCGATACTACGGTCGACTATCTCTGGTACCTCACGTACATTTTAAAATTTTCTAAAAATTATCACCATCACATCAATTTCATATGAAGTAGAGGAAGTAGCCGATATGGTCCAAATCTGGCACGTTATAATATTTATATAAGACTTAGGTCAGAAAGGAGTTGGACAATATTGTCCAACTGCTTCGAAACCTCTCTCATAATGGGTCAACAGTGTGAATTATCATAACTCTAGGCTTTGGGAATACATCTGTCGGCATAACCGACTGATATTATTTAACTCGCTTTTAATTGTGATTTATACGACCTCTTCAACGGGACTTGGCTGTAGATGCATTAACGTTTGGAATATTGATATGTCAATAATTTTGAAATGTTTTTTATACCCTCCACCATAGTATGGAGGGTATATTAAGTTTGTCATTCCGTTTGTAACACCTCGAAATACACATTTTAGACCCCACAAAGTATATATATTCTTGATCAGCATAAAATTCTATGTCGATTTAGCGATGTCCGTTCGTCTGTCCGTCTGTGGAAATCACTCTAGCTTCCGAACGAATTGAAGTAGATTGATAAAATTTTGCTCAAATGTATGTTATGTCTGCAGGATTTTTGGTATTGAAAATGGGCCATGTAGGTCCACGTTTTGGTATAGCCCCCATATAATGGTACCTCCCGATATTCGGTATTTTGATTATTTTAGCGAATTTATTCACCGGAATCGTTTCAAATGTGGTATTTGAAGTTCGTAATGGATACTACAGCCTAAGACAGAAAATTGCCCACCTCTTCGTATAGCCCCCATAAAACGGTACCTCCCGATGTTCGGTATCTTGATTTTATCGACATTATAACCGATTTTTTTCTAAGTTTCGCATTTGAGTTGTTATGGCTTATGACAAATGTTACCTACGCGGGTTCATGTCGTCGTATAGACCCTAATATAATAGCTACATTCGGTATTTTTAAGATTATAAAAAAAAATTTTAACGGATTTTATTGTTTTTGAAAATTGCCAAATTCGTTCCAAATGGTGGAGGGTATTCAAAGTTCGGCCCGGACGAACATACAGCTTTTTTACTTGTTTTTTTTTTTTTTTTTTTTCAAAATAAGTAGATATTTGTATGCTTCTTTAAACTACGCCAACCGGTGATATGCATTTTTTCAAAAAATTCTACAAAGTTGAAAAATCTTTCACTCAAAATTTTCAATTCCAAAATTGCGAGTACCTATATTATTCTACCATAAATGTGGCCAAAGAATACCTCACTATACTACCAAGGTTGCATTTCTATTTTTAAAAAATCAATTACAATAACATATAGAAGAGTATTAATTCACAATTAATATTTTACAGTTGTTTTTAAAATGTAACTACAAATATGGATTGCTTCAAATTGTTCTTTGTTTCTTACCTCTTAGAATGTGACTTAAATACTAAAGTCGAAGCAACCATTGTCAATGGTACACCAGCCAATCCCGATGAATTTCCATTTATGGTAAGATTAAACGATTTTTTGATATTATACCTTTAGAATATCTTTTTTACTTTAAAAGCTCATTGGGCTTCATTTACATTTAAGCTTCGTTTCGTGATGGTTGTTAAAACCAGATACATTTGACAATGAAAACAAACGTCAAATATATCGTGATTGATGATGTATCTCTATAAAGGCCTGCTCAATGTAAACGCAGCCTAAAACGCTGTAAACATAGAAAAAATCCAATGGATTTCAACTGTCAACTTCATTGAGTATGTGTCAAAGTAATATAAGATTTGAAAGAAATTGACATTTGTAATCCACTGGATTTGTTAATGTAAACATGCCTTAAGATAAATGATCTCCCATGGTAGAAGAATATAGGTAGACGCATCGGCACAGCTGCTGGGACAATGAACTGTCAAACCAATTTTGAAATTGAAAATGTTGAATGAAAAATTATATAAATTTGTAAAAATTGTTGGAAAGCACGAATTATAATAACCTCCGAATGACGTCGTATAAGAAAACTTATTAAAATCTACTTATATTTTAAAAAACATTTAAATTTTTTTGACATATCAATGCTCCCAAGCGTTGATGCATCTACCTGTATTCTTCTGCCATGTGATCTCCCATCCCCATATCCAGAACTGATTATTGATAAAATTTACTCTCTTTTTCTTCCTGCAGGCCGCCCTGGGCTGGACCTCCAACTTCGACAACAAGCCATGGTATCGCTGTGGGGGAGCAGTTATTTCACCAAAATTCGTTCTGACTGCGGCACATTGTGCAGAAATCGGAGGGTATGAAATCAAATTTCCTTGTCATGTGAATTTATTAAGCAATAATCAATTTCCTTTCAGGGAATTCCCCAGTCTGGTACGCATTGGTGGTTCAAATTTGACTGATGCCTCGGTACGAGATGTGAAAATAAAACGATTCATAAAACATCCGCAATATAATGCCAAGACAGTTTACAATGATATAGCTTTGATAGAGCTGGAAGAGGAAGCTAAAGAGTAAGTAGCGTTTAAAAAATGAATGACGATATTTTGGTAATTTTGTATTTTGGCAAAATAGGTGCCGTCATTAAGACTAGCTTTCAAAATTATTAATTCTATCAAGAATTGAACGAGGACAAAACAAGTTAAAAAGTATCGATTTTGCCGACAGATGTATACACTCAGCCAGTGTTCGATTATTTAAACATATTTTGACTTCTGTTATGATTATTCAAATTGTTGACCCTTTATGGAGTAGGTTCGCTGTCCTGTTTCGCAAGGTATAACAGATAAAAACATTGAAAAGTATGATCCTTTGTGGGTGAGGTACCAGAAGGGGTTCGCAGATATATATCATCTTCCAACAGATCTTGTCTTTTAGCATTTTGTTTTTTTAAAATCGTGAACCCTTTGAAGGTACCAGTAGTAATCGTCCTATCTTAACCATCTTTATGACAGATCGTGTCTTGATAAAAATATAGAAATGTGCCAAGTCTGAATGGAATCGGATGTTAAATTCGTGCTTCAAGAATATTCAAAATGTTGACCCTTTGTGGGCAAGGTACCAGAAGGAGGGGCCGATATATTGCAGCTTCACACTAGGTTAATAAAAATATGGTGATGTGTGTAATTTGAAGACAATTTTCGCACCCGACCTAGCACTGATGCAAATATTAAGAATTGCAAAATTAGAGCAAAATCGGATTATCCTTTCTCTTTCTGCGCGGTAAAATATTTTTATACCCTCCACCATAGTATGGAGAGTATATTAAGTTTGTCATTCCGTCTGTAACACCTCGAAAATTCTATGTCGATTTAGCGATGTCCGTCCGTCTATCCGTCTGTGGAAATCATTCTAGCTTCCGAACGAAATGAAGGACTTTTGATATTTAAAATGGGCCATGTAGGTCACGTTTTGGTATAGCCCCCATATAAGTCTACCTCCCGATATTCGGTATTTTTATGATTTTAGCGACATTATTCACCGGAATTGTTTCAAATATGGTGTTTGAAGTTCGTAATGGGTACTACAGCCTAAAACAGAAAATTGTCTGTGCAGGTTCCCGTCTTCGTATAGTTACAGTTCGTTATATACGTCTTCGTATATAATGGTACATCCCGATATTCGGTATTTTGACAATTTTAACGACATTTGAATGTTGTAATTGCTTATGACAAAAGTCGCCTATGCAGGTCCACGTCGTCGCATAGACCCTAATATAACGGCTATATTCGGTATTTTTCAGATTTAAAAAAAAATTGAACTGATTTTATTTTTTTGGAAAATTGCCAATTTCATTCCAAATGGTGGAGGGTATTCAAAGATCGGTCCGGCCGAACTTACAGCTTTTTTACTTGTTTTTTTTTTTTTTTTTTTTTTTTTTGAAAATATTGACCTTTTGATAGACCAGAAGGAGTGGACCGATATTGCCCATCTCTGAACTCGATCTAACTTTGCGTATACTCCCATCGAGAGTCATCGTGCGCACCAACCAGACAGACGGACGGACATCGCTAGATCGACTCCGAATGTCCTGAAGCGGAATTGGTCCAAAAAGACCTAGGGTCTAAATCCGTTATTTCGATGAGGCACGTTTTGGCCATATCAAACAATATATACGCTCTCTAGCCATATGGCTGAGGGTATAAAAATTAAATCTAGAAACGAAATGGGTAAATCTCCTAAATATTTTATTTCATTTATTTTCCATTTGTTTTCATTTACCAGCTCAACTTTCAACATTTTCATTCATTCAAAATTAATATTCATATACATTTCTTTTTTATAACTTTTTTTCTCGCCCCTACAGCATCTACGCCCCCTGCTTGTGGTCGGAGGAAACGCTAATTTCCGACAATGTCATTGCCGTGGGTTATGGTCACACCCAATTCGGTGGCATTGCCTCAAATCAGCTACTAAAGACTGATCTGAAAATTGTAACGCACAACGATTGTCAGCAGTATTATGGTACAAACAGTGATGCTGCACCTAGCGGAATCGGGGCCAAAACCCATTTATGTGCCGGAGATCCGGAACGTTTACGTGACACCTGTCAGGGTGATTCGGGTGGACCACTGATATTGGAAAAAATTAATGGACGATTTAAACGTGCATATATTGTTGGAGTAACGTCGTTTGGTTTAGGCTGTGCCGGTGAACCACCATCGATTTACACACGGGTCTCTTCGTATTTGGATTGGATCGAGAGGATTGTGTGGTCAGCGGACATTATATAGAAGTATTCATTCAATGATGTTTTTAGTTTTTAAATAAAGTATTAATATTGTTTTACTTAACCCAGTGTAACTGCTGTTTTATTTTCCGATGCGATTTCCAGCAAATGAAATTAAGTCCTACTAGGTTTTATTCTATAATTCTCGCCCGATTTTAGTTCACACCTTACTTGGCACACATCTGCTTCCTTTACATAGCACGAGGTTTACTTTATGTCTTCATTAAACGACGTTTACCAGTTGTGATTCAAAACTGAACTGGGTTCCTGCTCACTCGTATTTATAGCTCATCATCTATACATGGATGTTCGGTAATCCCAATTATTCTACACGGAATGCCAGCCACATACATTTAATGCACATGCACAAACAAACGAATGCATGTAAACAACAAAGTGAGCAGTTGTTATAAATACGAGTGAGAGAGAACCATTAATGACGTCAAAATAATATCTATAAAACCAGGACTGATATATAACAAGTAACAACATTAAGTTCGTCAGGGCCAACTTTTATTACCCTCCCCCTTTGTTTAAAGAAAACATTATTTTTATAAAAGTATCTGAATTCCAACGTATCCTACTTTAAACTGCAAATACCAGTAAAACCATTTGGAAAATGCTGTTAAACTTTTTCAAAAACCTATAAAGTGGGTTAGGCTGTTATATGCGGGCCATATCAAAACGGTCCAAATTTGGTACATCGTAATATTATTATCAAACTTAGATCGTGTTCGGAGATGTGCAATATCGGTCAATTTCTTCTGGCACATCCCCCACAAATGGCCAACATTTTCAAAAAAAATATATTTTCTGCACAGAAAGAGAAGCGGTAATCCGATATTTCTCCAAGTTTGCAAATTCTAATATTTACGTCAGTTTTAGGTCATTTGCGAAAATGGACAATATCGGTCCACTCCATCAAGTACCTCCCCCACAAAGGGTCAAAATGTTGAATATCCAAGAAGCTCACAAAGCGAAATTAACTTGTCACATCTCAATATTTCTATGAACACGAGATCTGTTTCAAAGATGTTAGAGATGGGACCATTCATTCTGGTAACGCCCCCGCAATGGGTCTAAATTTTGTAAAACCAAAACCAGCATAAAATTCGAAATAAGCATCTGTTTCCCTTCAAATTTCACATATCCCATTATTTCTACTAACATAAGATCTGATGTGAAGATGAGATATATCGGTCCTTTCCTTCTGGTACCTCCCCCACAAAGGGTCAAAGGGTGAATATCCATGAAGTTCATAAGTCGATCTGCAGGTGGCAGATGCTTTCTTCTTTGTATGTTGGGGGAGTTCCTCTTGGTAGTCCAGTAATTCCTCCGCTATCCTATTTTCCACGTCGTGGCTTCTTTTAAGAAATTTAAGTGCCTTCCTCATCATAAAGACGTCTATCTATAGATGTTCCTGTTGGGCGGTCGTCTGTACATTCCATTGTCATCAATTGTTAATCTCATTCCTAAACACTATGACAAGATTCTTTATCCCATATTCTTATTCTTTCCATTTAAGTCGAAGATATATTCTACCGAGAAGCAAAGCAGAGGAACTGGCTCTCTACACACTCGTATTTATAGGTTCTCATGTATGCACGAAATTTCGCCGACAATATTATGATTTTCCAGTTGAGTAGAGCATAATTCACTTACGATGTGAATTATTCGCAGCCACTGAGAAACTGTGTCCAAAAGTTAGTCAACCCGGTGAGTTGTTGGTTTGGTTTGACAGTTCATTGACCCAGCAGCTGTGCCGATACCTGTATTATTCTACCATGAATGGATGTACATTAAGCGAACATCGTATGGGAGAGGAGTTCATTGTATGGGAGAGGAGTTCCTCTCGGTAGTCCAGGGATTGTTCCACTATTCTATTTTCCACGATCGTGGCTTCTTTTAAGGAAGTTAAACGCCTTCCTCATCATGAAGAGATGTTTCTGTTGAGAGGTCGTCTGTATATTCCATTCTCATCAATTGTTGGTCTTATTCCCAAACACTATGTCAAGATCCTTCTTTCAGATATCCTTATTCTTTCCATTTGAGCCGAAGATATATCAACCCAAGCTGCAAAAGAAATGAGCTGGTCTTCTACACACTCGTATTAACTTGGTTTCACAGTTCATTGTCCCAGGAGACGTGGTCGATGCGACTACCTATATTCTTCTGACATGGATGGCAGTACATTAAGCGAATTGTGGATTGGATGGCTGAGGCTTTCTTCGTTTTACTTTGGGGAGTTCCTCTTGGTAGTCCAGGAATTCTTCCACTTTCTATTTTCCACGTTCGTAGCATTTTTCAAGGAATTTAAATGACTTCCTCATCATGAAGACATCTATCCACAAATGTTTCTCTTGGCCGTTCGTCTGCATATTCCATTCTCATCAATTGTTGGTTTCATTCCTGAAGCCAAGATCCTTCTTCCATTTGAGGCGAAGATATATCAGCCCAATCGGCCAAGGAGATGGACTGGCCATCCACACACTCGTATTTATAGGTTCTCATCTATGCATGGAAATGTCGTGCGATGTTGCCGACAATATCATGATTTGTCAGGTGAGTAGGGTGCACGCCGAAGAGAAAGAATAAGAGAATCCTAAGTGAATTATTCGAAGCCACTGAGGAGCTGTGTCCAAAAGTTGGCAAACCCGGTGAGTTGTTGCAAGTCATCAGAATAAGAGGCGAGTTTAGAAAACGGGTCCTTAATCGAGTCGAGTTGGTTGCCAAAGCCACTTGGTGCAGGAGTCTCCCAAACAATCTACTGACAACCGTTTAGGTATCACTTCAGACACCAATACTCGCTGTGCAAATTATATTCCCAGGTGAAATCGGAATAACCCAGTAATTTGTTGCAAATATCAAATTTTAAAAAACAGCAAAAGCTCTGATATCTTTTCGCAAAATATTAAAAACAATCAAAATATCAAAAAAAATCTTTAAACGTTTTGTTTGTTGGGTTGATGCTGTTTGTTGTGGTAATTCCCAACACCTCTGTGAAAGTTTCACATTGCTGTTGACCAAACTCGTTCGATGGCGATATCGAGATATTACACCATTTATGCCTGTTTCCCTTCATTCTTAAAATCCTCTTCTTTACTTCTCAAAATACATGAATTTAAAATCAAAACAGTTCTTCAGTTCACTGCGCGCCATCCTTTTAAACAGTGCGGTATAATTTAGTTGACTGTTGTTCCATTTTCCCTTAACATTCTTTCTTGAATATGCAATTAGTTTGGCAAATTTTATTAATTTTTCCATTGGTTTTGGTTAAACAGAATTGTAAGTTTTATTCATGTCCAACTATTTTCAATAAAAATACTATTTTCAAAATCAACTCCATTAACTTAGATGCCTTAGCTGCAGATAGCCGTTTCCAATCATTAAAACTAGAGTCCAATGGAAATGAGAATGATCGCTCGGCCGAAAACTGCAAAAATGCTGAGAAATGTCCATGGCTTTTGGTGAAAACGATCGGAATAAGGAAAAGAATGAAGCATTGCTTTATTAATAAGCAGGGCATGTCTGTGTGTAATCCGCATAAATCATATGACACAACTATAGAGCCACAAGAAACTACGACCACCCTACGTCCAGTCAAATTGAATACAAAACGTCGAAGTGCATTGGGTAAGAAGGGCAATATTGAAATCTGCCTAAAATAATTTGGTAAACATGTATTTTGGAATACTTGTTTCGTTTAAAATCGTTCATTCACTAGATTCCGCCTCTTTTAGAATGCAAACCAGTTATTGACGCGAAACCGGATATCGTCTTTGGCATACTAGCCAGAAAGGATCAATTTCCATTTATGGTAAGTTTAAGAAAAAAAAAACATAAGTAAGGAAAAGTCAAAAGTCGGGCGGGACCGACTATACAGGGTGAGATTAAAAAATCTGCAAAAAAGTTAAACGCCATAAGTTTAAATTTTTTAAAATGTTATTGATTAAAGCAAAAAATCTCGGAAATAGCATCAAATTTTAGTATAAGTTTGGAGTTGTTCGAATTGGTTACCTTTGGCACGAATTATGGCCTTCAAACAGACAATGAAACCGTCACACGATGCCCGAATGTTGCTCTGCGGTATTTTGGCCCATTTCCGGCGAAGCGCTTGCTTGAGGTGATCGACATTTGAGTATCTTTTAGTGCCAACCTTGCTTCCGAAAATACTACAGACACAATAGTCCAACGGATTGGTATCCAGAGATTTTGGTGGCCATTGTGCGCTGGAAATGAAGCGAGGAACCTCATTTTGTAACCATTCTTGTGTGGCGCGTGCTGAGTCCTTTTGGAATGTCCAAAGTCTGCTACCAAAATGTTTGAGTACCCAAGGCTTTTATACACCCTCCAGAATATTTTTGCGATAATATTCGGCATTTATTTTGATGCCACGGTCGGCTGTTATGGTGGCTCACCCAATCTCCATGACCGGCGCCTGAGTTCTGATGGCCAACCGAAGGTACACATTTTCAACTGACCTCTGTGGCAAGTAAACACGATCATTTTGTTTGTTTACAAACTGCTGGACAACGAATGTTTTCTCATCGGAGAAAACCAATTTCGGCAGTTCACCATCAACACTTTCGGCCAAGCGAAGCAACTCTTTAGCTCTTTTGAGTCTATTTTCTTTCTGTTGCGGTGTAAGTTCTTGCACTTTTTGGAATTTCAATGGCTTTACCCCGAGCTCATTTTTCAATATTTGCCGAATGGAATATTGCGATATGTTCAGCTCACGAGCCATTTTTCGGCCACTGCGATGCGGGTTTCGATCAAGTCGCATCTTTACTTTTGGAACCATTTCTGCTGATGTTGCTGTTTTCTTTCGTCCACTTCCTTGACGTCGAGCTACGCTACTAGTCTCACGGTAACGAGCAATGGTTAGAGAAACAAAAGATTTATTAACATTTAAATTCTGGAGTGCTCTCCCCATAGCCACTTGTGGTTTTCCAGCCAAATATAAAGAAATAACACTAAACCCTCGAATTCTATGACGAATAACTTTTTTCTGGAAAATTCTCCCCAAAATGCTTTTGTTCGCTTGTAAACAATATAATAAACTGTCACTGGAATATTTTTAACAGCTGTCGGACGATTGGCTTAGAAATAACAGCAGCCTGAAGTTTTCATCTCACCCTGTATATATTATCACTGAGCTATGCTATAGGTAGGGTCAGAGTCGGTGTCAAATCTATGATACCTAACATTTTAGTACATTAAGCGTTCATCATCGTATAACACTTCTTCGTCGGGTAATTTAGCAGAGCTGTGGGTGGCAGATGTTTCCTTCTTTGTACGTTGGTGGGTTCCTCTTGGTACTCCAGGAATTGTTCCACTATCCTATTTTCCTCGTTTTGGCTTCCTTCCAGATAGTTAGGCACATTTCTCATCATGAATTCTATAGAGTTAAAGGTGTTCCTGTTGGTCATTCGTTTGTAAATTTGATTCTCATTAATTGTTGGTCTCATTCCTAAACACGATGCCAAGATCCTTCTTTCCCCACATCCTTATTCTTTCCACTTGAGCCGAAGATATATCAGCCCAAGCGGCAATGGAAAAGGCTATTATGTACTGGACAACTTATTTTTGGCCTTTGAAAGCACATAGTCCTCATGACGGACGAAGTCGAATTTGTCGTGCAGGATGATTCCCAGCTATTTTCTCCTAACGGAAGTTCCAATTAGTTAATCACCAACCTTGATCGTAAGGATGTATCTCCGGAAACTCTTTGCTATACCTTTGTAAGCCAAAAATATCCAATTTCCAACGTTGAGATTAAGTTCCCATTTGTTGAAGTAGTTGCGGATCGTATTCATATACGAATTCAATTCGAAAGCAACCTCGTAGCGCCGAAAAAAATTCATCGGTGTACATTAGCAGAAATCCTCCTTCAGGTGGTCCAGGGATGTCGCGAACAAACATGCTGGACAATATGGGTCAGCAGTGATCCCCAATGAACCCCCGCTTTTGCCAGTCGTTGTTCAGATAGTTTATCATCCTACTCTAACTCGAAAGACTCGATCCTGATGGAAGCTTGCAGTAAAGCCACAGGTTTGTCCGCCGAATCCAAACGATTTCCTATTTGTATAAAATGCCATGTTGTCTTACCGTATCAAAGGCTTTTGTGATGTCCAGGCCACTTGCAATTGTTTCCATTTCGGACTTGAAACCATCTGTATATTGAAAAGGCTGCTAGGACATAAGTTGTAGAGTGTTCCGCTTTATATTTGAATTGGCAGTCCTTTAGTGTCCTCTCCTTTTCGATGATCCTGTTGATTCGGGGCAGCAGGAATTGTTCAAGAAGCTTCCCACCGGGCTTAGAAATTACTACCACTAGTATTCTATTCACTATTCCAAGCTATTGGGAAATAGCCGATGTTCAGGCTGTGGTAAAAAATATGGTAAGGAAGAGGATGATGGCTTCAGCAGTCTTCTTTACATTATCGATATCAGCAACATTATCGATGACACAAGACTTCTTCGGTACCCTTCTTTCTATAGTTGCTCCGACCATGTCTGGATCAACAAATCTGCTTTGAATTTGTGGCCGTGATTTCCTATTCCCTCCACTGCCTGGATTCACCGGCCTACTGCAAACTCTTATTTGTAATTCCTCATCAAAAATTTGACGATTTGGAAAAGTAGTTATAATGTCGGTTAGTGGTCACATAACGCGACCAAAAACAAAATACAACCCTGGATTCAATGTAGGGTTGTATAGGTGAGTAAATGACTAATTTAATCAATTGATTACTCTGGTGTTAATGTTTCAAGGGTCTATTTCGTCAGGATTAAATTTTAATAATTTTTTGTTTAAATTTATTGAAATATTTCATTCATCCATCTAGGCCACTATCGGTTGGACATCACATTATGACAAGAAGCCATGGTATCGATGTGGAGGAGCACTTATTTCACCCAGATTTGTACTGACGGCAGCCCATTGTGCAGAAATAGAAGGGTACAAACAAAAGAAATCTACTATTTCCGAATATGTTAATCAGATACCTATATTCCAGAGCGAAGCCAAATGTGGTGCTAATTGGTGGCTCAGATTTAACTGATTCCTCGGTTCGAGATGTGAAAATAAAACGTTTCATACAACATCCCCGGTACAATAGTTCAACGGTGCACAATGATATAGCGTTAATAGAGATCGAAGGGTATGACAGAAAAAAGTGAGTATGATTTGAAAGAGAATTGAATTTCATATCAGGACACTAGAATTTGGCCGTCTTCAAGACGTCCTTCAGTTAACTTATTATATTTATTCGCCGTTCTTATATGATCTGCTTTCGCTCTTATATTGCCACTAATGGACATTTTCCTTTTTCTATTCAGCCCCTCTACCGCCTGCTTGTGGACCGAGGAACGCCTAAGTTCCAACAACGTAATTGCCGTCGGATATGGTCACACGGAATTCGGTGGCAAAGCTTCAGATCAGCTGTTCATGGCAAACTTAAAAATTGCTCCCCATGACATCTGTCGCAAATATTATAAAGAAAATGATAATAGCCATTCGGATCTAATTCGACCTACAATGCATTTATGTGCCGGAGATCCGGAAGGTTTACGTGACACGTGCCAGGGTGATTCGGGTGGTCCGCTGTTATTGGATCAAGGTCCTTACAAACCTCTATATGTTGTTGGTGTTACTTCGTACGGTCTGGGTTGTGCCGGTGAACCGCCATCTATCTATACACGAGTGTCAACGTATATCGATTGGATCGAGAGTATTGTGTGGCCATAGGATACTGTCTCTTTTTTTCAGTTTCAACCAGGCCCCATTTTAACCAAATTCCTTAACATCTTTAAAATATATCATAAAAGTTTCTAACATCCTGTATTTCAATTATTAAGACAATAAAATAAAAGAGATCCTTTAAGAAGTATCAGTCGGTTTTGCCAACAAATGTATACCCTCATCCAATATTCGATTATTTAAATATATTTTGACTTGTGTCATGATTATTCAAATTGTTAACTCTTTATGGAGTAGATTTCGACGGAATGGGCCAATAATGTCCATTTCGTATCGGACCTCAATAAATATGATATAAATATTGCGACGTGCCAGGTTTGGACTCTATCGAATATTTCCTTCACTTTTCATGAGATATGTGATAAAATACAGATAAAAAATTTGGTATGGACAAAATTACAAGAAAATCGAACATTTATATCCAATTTTATGCGAAAGCATTATTTCCATATTCAACTCAGGTTTCTGGTAAGGAGAAATATCTGGTCCGATCTCTTGCCTCTTTATGAGAGACTTTTGTGTTAATGGAAAAATTGCGATGCCCCAAGTTTGAAGGGAATCGGATGTTGATTTCGAGTCTTATGAGCTTCTTGGATATTTAAAATTTTTAGCCTTTGTGGGAGAGGTATCAAAAGCAGTAGACCGATATATCCCGTCTTCTCAGCAGATCTTGTGTTAGTAGAAATAATGGAATGTGTGAAATATAAAGAAAACCTGATGCTTATTTAGGATTTTATAGACGTTTGGGTTATTCAAAATTTTTACCCTTTGTGGGAGAGGTACCAGAAGGATTGGTCCGATCTCTACCGTCTTTATAACAGGTTCCGTGTTGATAGAAATATTCAGATATGCCAAGTTGAAGTGGAATCGGATATTAGTTTCGCGTTTTATGAACTTATGGATATTCAAAATTTCGACCTTTTGTGGGGGAGGTACCAGAAGGTGTGAACCGATATATTCCGTCTTAATACCAGATTTTGGCTTTATAAAATTATTGGGATGTGTGTAATTTGAAGAGAAACGGATAATTACTTTGGATTTTATGATCGTTTTGGTTATTCAAAATGTTGAGCCTTTGTGGAGGAGGTACCAGAAGTAATGGTCCAATCTCTACCATTTTTATACCCTCCACCTTGGATAATCGGTATTTTGATGTTTTTGCCACATTTTTTCACATATTTGTCCAAAAATTGGTATTTGTAGGTCATAATGGGCGGTATTTGGCATTTGTAGGTCGTGTGGCGAAATATTGTATATATGGGTCCACGCTTTGGTATAGCCCCCATATAACGGTACAACCCGGTTTTTGGTATTTTGATGATTTTTGCCACATTTTTCCACGGATTTGTCCAAAAATTGGTATTTGTTGGTCATAATCGGTTCTAGTTCCGGTCGCGAAACATTGCATTAATAGGTTCAGGTTTTGGTATAGCCTTATATAGCGGTACCTGCTGATATTCGATATTTTGATGATTTTTGCCACTTTTTCCCACGAATATGTCTAAAAATTGGTATTTGTGGGTCATAATGGGTTCTAATGTTTCCTTTACCTTAAGGTGGAGGTGGTATTAAAAGATCGGCCCGTCCGAACTTAATGTTTTTTTACTGGTTGTTATTTAAAACATTTACCTTTGTGGGGGAGGTACCAGAATCGGATATTAATTTCGCGTTTTATGAACTTATGGATGTTCTAAATTTCGACCTTTTTCGGGGAGGGTACCAAAAGGTGTAGAGCGATATATTCCGTTGCTTCTCTTTTTGTGCAGAAAATATATATTTTTTGTTGGAAATTTTGACCTTTTGTAGTGGAGGTACCAGAAGGAGTGAATCGACATATTCCGTCTTAACACCAGAACTGGGTTTAATAAAATTATTGGGATGTGTGAAATTTGAAGACAATCGGACTCTTACATCAGATTTTACAAGAGTTGTAAGTAATTAAAATTCCGACTCTTTGTGCGGGAAATACCAGAAGGAGTGGACCGATATTGACCATCTTCAAGTTTTGGGCCAAATCGGATACTCCCTTCTACAGTTATCGTGCGCACCAACCAGCCAGACAGACAGATGGACGGACAGACATCGCTAGATCGACTCCAAATGTTCTGAAACGGATTTTTGGCCGTATCAAATGTTATATACCCTCTGTAACCATATGGCTGAGGGTATAATAATTCGAATTTGATAGGTATGGAAAATTTCATTGAGATTGGTGTTGTATTTTTCCAAAAGTCCTTCGTTTTTATTGCTCTAGTCGAAGGCTCCACTTCCTTAAATTTCCCTATTGAGTTGAAAGGTAGGTAATTATTTGTATTGTTATTGTATAGATGAAGGTAAGAACAAAAGGGAGTTTGCTGTACATTATGGTCGCAAAAACAATTTCTTATTTTATTTTATTGTGTTTTAATAATTTTAGAACTGGAATTTCATTTTTTTAAATAAAGCAACATAAACATTATATGGTGTAATATGCCTGACAAGAACAAAAACAATGTGTGATCAGCTTTATGAAATCTTCAGAATCGTAACGAATAAAACCCAGCGAACCAAAAAGCACAAAATCATCATTCTTATTTCCAATGTTAAAGATATTGTTCAAATCGCGACAAATGTTGGAGACTTGTAATTTTAATATGGAAAATATTTTTTGAAAAAAAAACAAGTAAGCAAAGGCTACAGTCGAGCGGGGCCGACCGTTGAATACCCTACAACACTATAATAAACGATACAGTTTATATAGGCGAGATACTCGAAAGAATTCCACAAGATATTGTGACAAATAATAAAAGAAAATCATCAGGTTTCGTTCTCTAATTTTCGGATAATAGCAACTTAAACTAATTTGCTCATTTCCAATTTATTGGTAGATGTTGCACGTAAATGGTTTTCCTAGATCTGGAACCAATATTTCCCAAAGACCTATAATCTCGAAGAAGTGGCAAAAGATTAACAATTATTATTGCTTTTTGACTGAAACGCATCTATATGAAATACAGCCATTTGACTATATTCTTCAACGAAATCAGCGTTAACGAAATAGTCAGAAGTGTGTCTTTCCTGTATTTCTGAATTCTCCAAAAAGTCACTGGAATGGACATTTTCGTATTTTGTCTATAAAAGTTGGCAAACTCCTTCACACATTGAATATTTTTGGATGACCATCCAAAACTGCTTGGCTTTTGCAATGTCCGGTAACCCCCATAATTACGACCTGCTAACAATTTTGCAGTTTTTTGGTCCATTTCAACCCCTAAATATATGGCGATCATCTCCAAAAAGAATAGGCTTTTATTCTAACCCTCATCTTATCTCCATGCAAAATTTCGTAAGGATCGGGCCATAAATGCGATCTGTATATGATATCCTGATATCCTAACTAGTTACTTTTGTTAGCTGTAGAAATATTACCAAATGTTTAATTCAAAATGAAAATATGCCAAAAATATGACAAAATGGAAAAAATATGAGAAAATTTTACAAAATCAATATTTTCATCTTTAGAGAGATATTTTTATGCGATTTTTTTAGACGTTTTATGTTTCCTGCCAAGAGGCCATTCTGAATTAATGAGAACTGTCGAAATCAGTTCAGCCGTTCTCGACATATAAGAGATTTTTCAAGCATATCTTCTTTGATAAACATATATATCGCACATATTTTCTATATATCCGTTTTGTTGGATGTTAACATCAATGTAAAGATCAGAAGTAACCTTGTCATGGCTTTGTGATTTCGCTGGGATTTAAAATATTCGCGGTTTAATGAAAAATTTTGAATTTTTTCAACAAAAAAGATATGGTCTATTTTACCCGCTAAATATTATCCGATGACCACCCAAATGGGTAGGCTTCTTGCCAGCCCTAAACTCTAGCTACATGCGAAATTCCGCGTCGATTGGTCTATAATTGCGACCTGTAGAGCAAATGCAAAATCAGGAATTTTTTCAGTTTTTGGTCCATTTCAACCCCTAAATATTATGCGATCATCACCAAAAGAAATAGGGTTCTATTCTGACCCTAGCCCCACCTCCATTTTAAATTTCGTGAAGATCGGACCATAATTGCGACCTGTAGAGTGATTACAAATTAACATGGACAGACGGACAGACGGACAGACGGACGGACGGACATACATAGCTAGATCAACTCAGCTCGCCGAGATAGGAAGATCCATATATACTTTCCTATGTGGGAAATCAATATTTCGTGGTGTTACATAATTTTTGGCCCAATCAAACTTATAATACCCCCAACACATAGTGTTGTAGGGTATAAAAAAACAATATCTGCAAATATTTTCAATATCATAAATTCTTTGCTTGCTGGGATGCCACAACAAGTAAAAAATCAGTAAGTTCGGCCGGGACAAACTTTGAATAACCTCCACCATTTAGAATTAATTTGAAAAGAAATCTGTTAAAGTCTTAAAAATTTTAAATTAAATTGGGGTCTGTACGAATACGTGTACCTGCATACGGACCTAAATACGAAACTTCATCAAAATACCGAATATAGAGGGTACCCTTATGTCGGGACTATACGAAGACCTGGACCCGCATAGACAATTTTCTGTCACAGGCTGTAGTAGCTATTAAGAACTTCAAATTTGACGCAATTCCGGCGAATAATGTCGCGGAAGTCCTGGAAAAACGAATATCTGGGGGGAGTGTTATATGGTTGCTATACTAAAACGTAGGCTTATTTAGACAATTCTTTTCCAGAGGGTATCGGGGGACACCATTGTATGGGGGCTACACGTTATCGTGAACCTATACAAACAATTCTCTTTCAGGGGGTAAAGTACTCACAGAAAACTCCTTGTGTAGAATTTCAGACAATTCCATTGAAAAATATGACTAAAATCATCAAAATACCGAATGTCGGGAGGTACAGTTATATGGGGGATATACGATATCGTGGACCTATATAGACAATTCTCTTTCAAGGGGTTAGGTACTCAGTGGGAAATCCAATTCCATTGATAAATGTGGCTAAAATCGTCAACATACCCAATTTGGGGGCATCATTGGGGGCTATACGATATCGTGGACCCATATGTACAATTTTCTTTCAGGGGGTAAAGTACTCACAGAGACTCCTTGTGTAGAATTTCAGACAACTTCATTAAAAATGTGGCTAAAATGATAAAAAAAATACCGAATATCGGGGGAACCGTATATAGTACAACAGGAAAGTCACAACCTAACAACAACTGGGTACATCAATGGTGATAAGCGAGTTCTGACGTTAGATACTGGCGCATCAAAGTCCATCAGATCTGGTAAAGGGAAAAATAACGCAACTTAATGGAGTCAGACTGCGCACAGCAACGGGGGAGCCCGCGGCAGTACACGGCAAGATTACCCTGAGACTAACTATTGCCAATAAATCGGAGAATTACGAGTTTATAGTTGCCGATATCGTAGACGAAGTGATAATAGGCGCAGATTTTATGATTGCCTTTGGTATCAATCTGGATATGAAAGAACGTGTGATGACCTGGTCTAACGTCGAAATTCCGTTAAACGTGGGCTACGATGAAAGTACACCCATTAGACGTCTGACCACGGACCATCCAGAGATAATACCGCCCTGTGCCGAAGCAATAATATGGGTACCAATGAATGGAGATTGTGGAGCCGAGAAGTTGTGGGTGGTGGAACCAGCAGAAAACAGAAACAGTAGCATCCTAATAGCGAATGCCCTGGTGAAAAGCAACAAGGACGGATTAATTCCTGTTAGAGTTTTGAACCTGTCAAACAAGCAAGAGCAAATTTGCCAATTTTCCGATGTTGGACAATGCACACCAGCTGAAGCTGTAGTTAATTTGGAAACTAGCACCGAAAAGCCAGCTGCCATGGAGAAGAAGCACCTCGACGGCTACATAAAAGAGTGGACACACCAATTATCACCTTCCGAGAGGAACAAGGCTAAGCAGCTATTATGGAAATATGCCTCTACCTTTGCGTTGACAAAAGAGCACCAAGGAAGAACATCAGTGGTGAAGCATGAAATCAATACAGCAGACGCGAGACCCATTAAACAGCCTCCAAGAAGTGTTCCCCTGGCAAAAAGAGACGAGGTTCAGAAGCTGATAAGTGAAATGGTAAAGAGTGGTGTAATAGAACCATCGTCAAGTCCATGGTGCTCCCCAGTGGTCTTGGTCAAGAAGAAAGACGGAAGCACCCGATTTTGTGTGGACTACAGAAAGTTGAATGATGTCACCAAGAAAGACAGCTATCCGCTCCCAAGAATCGACGACACATTGGACACATTAGCCGTGACGTCATGGTTCTCCACCCTCGACCTGCAGAGTGGGTACTGGCAAGTAGAGATCGCCGAGAAAGATAAGGAGAAAACAGCGTTTGGCGTAAATGGGGGTCTCTGGCAGTTCAATGTCATGCCATTCGGACTCTGCAACGCCCCGGCTACATTTGAAAGGCTGATGGAGCGTGTGTTAAAAGGGCTGCAGTGGAAGTCGTGCCTCATATACCTGGATGACATCATAGTCATGGGACGCAACTTCGACGAACACATCAAGAACTTAAAGGATGTTCTACAGCAGCTTTCGTCTTCAGGCCTCAAGCTGAACCCAAAGAAGTGCAGTCTCTTCCAACGAGAGGTGAAGTTCCTGGGGCACCACGTGACGCCGGAGGGCATATCGACGGATAAGGAGAAAATTCAAGCCGTCAGAGATTGGCCGCAGCCCCGAAATCTCCATGAGCTGCGAAGCTTTCTGGGTCTCTGCACATACTACCGTCGATTTGTCCAAAATTTTGCCAACATCGCCGCCTGTCTACACCGTTTGACACAAAAAGGCCAGAGGTTTCAGTGGGGCAACGACCAGGAGGAGGCATTCAGAAAGCTCAAAGACATGCTATGCAGAGCCCCCATTTTGGCATACCCTATACCTGGCGGCAAGTTTGTCCTGGACACAGACGCAAGTGCGTGCGGCATCGGTGGCGTCCTTTCCCAGGAAATCGACGGACAGGAAAAAGTCATCGGGTACTACAGCCGGACATTGTCGAAACCTGAGAGGAATTACTGTGTGACGAGGAGAGAGCTGCTTGCTGTTCTTGAGTGCGTTCAACACTTCCACAAATACCTATATGGCCAGCATTTCCTGCTGAGGACCGACCACGCTGCTCTCCAATGGTTGCTGCAGTTTAAGAATCCGGAAGGTCAACTAGCCCGTTGGATCGAGAGGCTCCAGAGTTATGACTTCAGAATCGAGCACAGAAAAGGCGGAAAACACGGTAATGCTGATGCCCTGTCTCGTCGGCCATGCAAAGTAGAATGCAAGCACTGCTCAAAGGCTGAGAATATCGTTGATGTCCAACTATTGCAATTTGAGTCGGGTGAAGATTGGTCGACGGAACAACGAAGAGACCCCATTCTGGGCAAAGTAATTTCGGCCATAGAAACGGGCAAACGACCTAGTCGCAAAAAAAAATTACCTCCGAAAGCCCTCTTTTAAAATCCTATTGGGCCCAGTGGGACAGTCTACTTATAATAGATGGTTGCCTATATCGCAAATGGGAAAGTGAGGACGGTAAATCTCACCGGAACTTGATCGTCGTCCCAGACTCCAAAATAAGAGATGTCTTGTCGGAGTTTCACGATGGGCCAAGTGGAGGACATCTTGGCATAGCAAAAACCGCTGAAAAGGTAAAGCAGAGATTCTACTGGGTCGGCTGTCAAAAATCCATTGCCGACTGGATCGCCAATTGTGAAAGGTGCATAAGAGCTAAAGGTCCAACACGGAAGAGTCGAGGCTACATGCAGCAGTATAATTCAGGAGCCCCTTTTGAAAGAATCGCAATGGATGTAGCTGGACCGTTCCCAAAAAGCGACTCTGGGAACCGGTATGTCTTAGTGGTCATGGATTACTTCAGTAAATGGCCAGAGGTTTATGCTATCCCAAATCAAGAAGCCAGGACAATTGTGGATGTGTTCAGCAAAAATTGGATTTGTCGCTATGGTGTTCCATCTGAGGTTCATTCCGATCAAGGGAGGAATTTTGAATCAGCGATCTTCAAGGAAATGTGTGACTCCTACGGAATCAAGAAAACCAGAACGACGCCCCTACATCCACAATCAGATGGCATGGTGGAAAGATTCAATCGCACCCTGGAAGAACATCTACGGAAAGTGGTGGACAGTGGCCAACGAGACTGGGATGAGCATATTCCCAAGTTTTTACTGGCTTATAGATCGGCCATTCATGATTCCACATCCCGGACCCCAGCCAAAGTTCTGTTCGGAAATGAATTAAAGCTACCTGGCGATTTGATATTCGGTGCTACCCCAAACGACGATGTGAACCAAGATGAAGACAGTCAAAACTCTTTTAGTAAAGTCCACGATGCAGTCCGACATCGAATAAAAATGGTTAGCAACCGCATGAAGGCAAGGTACGATCGAGCGGCAAATACCGATGGGTTTCAAGAAGGGCAACTGGTACTATTGTTCAACCCACAACGAAAGAAAGGACTATGCCCCAAATTACAAACGCACTGGGAAGGACCCTACAAGATTGTCACGAAAATAAATGACGTCGTTTATCGCATCCAGAGGAGCGACAGTCCCAGGTCGAAGATGAAAGTTGTACATTTGGAGCGGCTGACCCCCTACGGAACGGGAACTGTGCCTATTCGGGACGAACAGGCTTAAGCGGGGGGCAATGTTACGAATATAACTTTAGATTTAAGTTAATTTAGATGAATTCCGTTAATTTAAGAATTTGAATTGTAACGTAAATTTCTACTACGCAGTTTATTTGAATAACTTCACAACAACAACTACTGTATAGATTTTTCTACATCCTTCCATTTCCTCTTTCATTTTCTATTTTGTTGCTGACGTACAATTCTTGTTAAACGTCATCATTGATGATCGCTTAATTCCTCTTTCTTTGTTACCCGCTCGCCTGTGTATGTGTTGTTGTTATTGTTCACTCAATGTAAGTTTGTATGTGTTGTTGTTATTGTTCACTCAATGTAAGTTTGTAAGTGTTCGTTGCATTGGTAGATTGTTCGTAATCTAGGCGTTACCAGATCGTCTAGAAACTTCTGTAGCGACAGGCGAGGCTCATATAAATAGGGGAAATGGAAAGGCAGTTAGTCAGTTGTGAATCAGATCGCGAATTGAAACCGTCGAGTAAAGTAAAGTGCAAAGTAAAGTTGTGTGAATAAAATCATTGTAATAATCGTAATCCGAAAGAACTCGCGTTTTATTTGGTACGAGCTGTACTGGGAAATAAAACAACGTCTACACGGGATTAAGTAAAATCCAAGAACGTAACAATATATTCACATTTAAATGTTGGAGTGCTCTAACGATAGCCACTTGTGGTTTTCCAGCCAAATATAAAGAAATCTCACTATCTTGCTTGAATTCGATCACGAATAACTTTTTTTCTGGAAAATTCTCACCAAAATGCTTTTGTATGCTTGTAAACAATATAATAAGCTGTCACTGGAATAATTTTAACAGCTCTCAGACGAGTGGCTTAGAAATGACAGCAGTCTGAAGTTGGTTGCAGTGTTTTTATCTCACCCTGTAAAGTATAGGAAGTTAGTCGATAAAGGCCAAATATGACACTTTGTATTGTTTATATCAATCTTAGGTCAGATACGAATTGGTCAATATTGGCCAACTGCTTCGGAACCTCCCCCCCATAAAGGCTCAAGAGTTTGAATAATCATAACTCAAGGCTGGGGGTATACATCTGTCGGCAAAATCGACTGATACATTTTAACTTGTTGTAGAACATTCCACTATAGACTAAAGAAGCAACTTTGATGAGTTCCGCTGTCTAAATCACCTTCCTTCTACATAATATTTTCGTTCAGTGTATTATTTATATATTTAAACCATGCTTATCAATTAAAGTTTTTTTGCATTACAAATTTCAACTGAAACTTAAGCGTCTCTTATCAAACGAAATAAGCTTCAGATTTTCGCTGCTCTTTTCTCAACATATGCAGCACACAACGGGAATAAAAGTTTAAAAATCCCAGAAACATAGTTCAGTATATTTCAACATCTCCTACAAAATGTATTGGACGCAGTATTTCGAGAACGTTGTATCGATAGCAGTATTTTTTATCTTGGCATTGCAGCAAAGCTCTGCAAGTGCAACGGGAACAGGAATAGCAGCAGCAGCTGCTACAAATGTGACCAATGGGTTTTATATAGAAACAACAAAGGTATGTTTTTTCGTGGACTAAAATGTAGATAAGTATTTGATTAAAAATATTCTGATATTTCGCAGGGTAATTGGTTCCAAGCATTCAATGGATGTTCCATTAAACGCATGAATCTGGTGGTGTTGGATACCAAAGATAAAACCGACAAATTAATAAGGGAGCTCAAGAAAGTTTATGGTAGGTGGGATGGATAAACTACAGATTATTATCAGAAAAGGTTCAATTAAAACTGTATTGACTCTTTGCCTTTTTTGATGATTTTAGCGACATTATTTAACGGAACCGTTCCAAATTTGGTATTTGAAGTTCGTAATGGATACTACATCCTAAGTCAAAAAATGAGCCATGTAGGTCCACGTCTTCCTATAGCACCCATATACCGTACCTCCCCCGATATTCGGTATTTTGATGATTTTAGCGACATTATTTAACGGAACCGTTCCAAATTTGGTATTTGAAGTTCGTAATAGATACTGCAGCAGAAAACAGAAAATGGACCATGTAGGTCCACGTCTTCGTATAGGCCCCATATACCGTACCCCCCGATATTCAGTATTTTGATGATTTTAGCGACATTATTTACCGGGATTTTTTTAAATTTCGCATTTGAAGTTCGTAATAGACACTTCAGCCCATGCCAGAAAATTGTCTGTGCAGGTCCACGTCTTCGTATAGCCCCCATATAACGGTACCCCCTATATTCGGTATTTAGATGATTTTAGCTACATTATAAACAAATTTTTCTTCAAGTTTCGCATTTAAATGTTGTAATAACTTATGACAAAAGTTGCCTATGCAGGTATACGTCGTCGTATAGACATTCGGTATTTTTAAGATTTTAACAGAATTTTTAAAGGATTTCTTTTTATTTTATTTATTTATTTATTTTATTTTTTTTTGGAAATTGCCAAATTTGTACCAAATGGTGGAGGGTATTAAAAGTTTTGGCCCGGCCGAACTTACAGCTTTTTTACTTGTTTTATCTCAGTTTTGAAATAGCCTTATATGGCAAATGAATTCTGCATCTCCACTCCTTTCTAAAAATGTTTTCTCTCTTTCAGGCAACGATCATCCCAACATCTGGATCGGCGGCAATGATAAGGCGAAAAATCGTGAATTTATGTGGATTACTGCCAATAAACCGTTTACCTATACGAAATGGGCTCCTGGCCAGCCGGACAATAAACGAGGCAAAGAACATTGTGCCATGCTGTGGGAGAATCATAACTATCAGTGGAATGATGGAGATTGTTTGTCTAAAATGATTTATGTCTGTGAAGAAAGAAAATAAAATACTTTGGGATTGCAGACAAATAATTAAATAATTAAAAGAAAATGTTTTATGGAACTCTTTTTCATTAATTAAATAACAAAATTATATTTGTGTGTAAATAAAGCAGTTAAAAAGTATAAATCGGTTTTTACGCCCTGCCAATGTTCGATTATTTAAATATATTTTCACTTCTGTTATGATTATTCAAATTGCTGACCCTCTATGGAGTAGGTTCCGAAGGAATGGGCCAAGCGACTTGATCGAAACCCGAACCTGAACATATCGCAATATTCCATTCGGCAAATATTGAAAAATGAGCTCGGGGTAAAGCCATTGAAATTCCAAAAAGTGCACCGCAACAGAAAGAAAATAGACTCAAAAGAGCTAAAGAATCGCTTCGCTTGGTCGAAAGTGGTGAACTACCGAATTTGGTTTTCTCCGCTCCGATGAGAAAACATTCGTTATCCAGCTGTTTGTAAACAAACAAAATGATCGTGTTGTCCTTGCCAAAGAGGTCAGCTGAAAATGTGCACCTTCGGTTGGCCACCAGAATTCAAGCGCCGGCCATGGTGATGGTATGGGCCGCCATAACAGCCGATGGTCGCTCTCCGCTCGTATTAATCGACCGTGGCATCAGAATAAATGCCAAATATTATCGCGAAAATATTCTGGAGGGTGTATTAAAGCCTTGGGTACGCAAACATTTTTGGCCGCTCACCTTGGACATGCCAATAGGGCTCAGCATCATCGCACTCAGCACGCGCCACCCAAGAATGGTGCTTATTAACAACTCATAGATCTAGAGGAAACAGGAACAAAAGTAGTCGCATACGCTGACGATGTCGTCCTATTAATTGCCGGGAAATTCCTGCAAACAATCTCTGACCTCAGGCGGAAGTCTTTGCGCTCAAAAAGGCCACAGACCTGCTGGTCACGAGGAATACTGAGGTCAGCGGTCCGGTGACAATATATATGTCGGTAGTCAAGCGGCACTGAAGGCCTTAAATGCCTTTACTATTAAGTCTAGGGCTGTTTTGAACTGCAGGGAAGGGTTTGTCCATCAAGCTCAATTGGGTTCCTGGTCATTATAAAATCCCAGGTAATGAGACTGCAACTCAATCAACTACAATTGAAGTAGATAACTCGGTTAAACCACCACTGTACCACTTCCTACAGGTCATTCACAGACATTACTCTGATAGAATCCAACAAAAATGGCTGCACGAAATGGGTTGCACCATCTCCAAAAGAATATGGCCCAAACTCTCAGAACAAAGTCGCTACTGTCATTGTCGAAATTTGATCTAAAACTTGTGGTGGGTATAATCACAGGTCACTGTAAGGTGAAGGCAATGACCTCGAAATGGGACAGCGACGACATTGAAGATGAAGAAGAAATCGAGACAGTCGAACACTTGCTCTGCCACTCGTTAATGTGAGACACAGGCTGGTGGGAGAACTAGTGTCACATGATCTTTCTTCTTTTTTCTAACACTGACCCTATAGTAATTCTTCATTTAGCCAGAAGATTCAAGTGGCTAAAGACGACACGGCAAATTCCTCAGCCGTAGATCACACTCTATAACTCTATCTCCTATCTTCGCCTCTTTCTATCAACCACTCCTTCTTCCTTTTTCCTTACTATTCTTCTAGGATTTACACAATGGAGCCATAGGTCTCCGAGTGGAGCGGTTGCCATATGGTGCGCGTCCTTTAATCTAACCTAACCTTCACGTTTTTGTATAGCCCCATATAGCGGTACCTCCCGATATTCGATATTTTGATGATTTTTCCCACGAATATGTCTAAAAATTGGTATTTGTGTGTCAGAATGGGTTCTAATGTTTCCTTTACCCTAAGGTGGAGGATATTAAAAGTTCGGTTCGGTTTTTTGACTTGTTTTATCTCACCCTGTACAAACGGATGACATTTTCAATATACCCTCCTTTCCAAGTTGGAGATTATAAAAATCACCTATTTGAACGAAAGTGAAATTTTCCCACTATGGAGGGTATACGGCGTTCAGACCGTCTCCATATTGTATCTCCAGAATATCTTTTCCACATTTATGATGCTATTGAATTTTGAAAATAAGGAGGAGGGTGTGTGTTTGTCTCACTTAAAGACGTCGTGGTGCCAGACTTAAATTTAAATATACATAGTGGTACCGTTCTCGGAGACCATCTGCCATTGATCCCAGTATTGGTTTAAAATTGGCAGCAAAGTACGCAAAGAACGCCTCCCCGGCATTTGGCACAGTCTCACATTACACGCTGTGTCTATTTAATTGTCCAGCAAAACGTATTCAAAATAACACCAATGTTGTTATGAACTCAATCCTTCTTGAATTTGGAGCTGGATACTTGTTCTAGGAAAATTTGAAATAAAAAATATTTTCTTAAAAAAAAATGAAAATTTCATTTGATTTTCCGCTTTTAAAGTTTTCGAACAAGAATCTGGAGTAGACCCATATTAATAACCAACATCCCCCCCTTAGAAAAAAAAACACCATGGAATTTTATTTGTTTTTTTTTTTTGTTTAGGTTTTTAACTTTTTTTCAAATAACCTATATTGTTTTTTGAAATTAATATAGGTCTTGGTTTTTTCGAAGATTTTATTGATTTTTTTGTGTTTTTTTTTCTTGTTGTTGTTTTTTTGTTTGTTTCAAATATTGTTTGTTCTCTCTCTTTTTTGTTGAGTTCTCATTTTTTTATAACGTATTTTTTTTATATAATATATATTTTTTAAATATCATTTTTTTGTGATTTTTTTTTCTCTTGGTAATAATAATAATAATATAATTAAATATTTACGTTTTCATTTGTTTCATTTAAATATTATATATATATAAGTTGGTTGGTTGGTTGTTGTTTTTTTTTTTTTTTTTGTTTTGTTTCGTTTTCATTAATTCTAAAAATCTTTTAAAATGAAAACAAAAATAAAACACTAAAAACTATTTTAGTTACATAATTAATGAAATAAAAATAATAATAATAGTAGTAGTGGTGGTAGGTAATGGCATTAAAAATTAAATAATAATTAATAAAAAAAATTCACATTTTTTCACAGTTATTTGTTTTTTTTACAAAGTAGAAACAGTTATGATGAGAGGAAATGCGGGAGTGGGATTTGGTGGTGATGGTGTTGTTGGATGGAAAACTGAAATAAATTAATAAAGAAAAAAATTAAAATTATGAGCGATTCCTTGTTTTTTTTTTTTTTTTTTGGAGGGGAAAGAGGGGGCAGACAAAAAGGTTTAATAGTAATAATAATAATAATAATATTTATAAAGTTTAACTATATATTTATCACAATAAGAAAAAACAATTGTGATAATTATTTTTTTGTTGTTTGTTTGTTTGCTGGTTTACATTACGACGATTGGTTGGTTTGTTTTGAGTTCTTTTTTGTTATTCTTATTTCACACTAAATCTGATTTCCTCTTTTTGTTTGAAATTTGTTTCTTATTCTCTTTTTTGTTGGTTTGTTTGTCCATTACAACTAATTAATAATAATTCTTGTTTAATATTAGATATTTATATATAGTAATAATAATATTAATAGTAATAATATAAGTACAAACATTGTTGGGTTTCGATTTATTCTATTTGCTTTTCATCTTTTCTACCAAATAGTTTTCGATTTTCATTTTGTTTTGTGAGAATGTAGTTTGTTTTCTAGCTTAATTCGTATAGATTTTCTGATCTTTTTTTCTTCACTTTTCCCTTAAAAAATAGCTCAAAATTATTTTTTCTTCTTTTTTTGGGTTTGTATTTTAGAAAAATTTTGAAATTTTACACTAGAGATTGTTGTTGTTTTAGTTCATTTTTTCTTTTGAAATTCCTAAAGACGTTATTTAATGTAAAAGTACGACGAATGTTTTTTTTTCTTCGTTAGGTTAGGTTTGAAAAGGGATAGAGGTGTTGCTTTTGTGTGTGAGAGTGAGGGGATGTGTGTAGTTGTAGGCGATTTTTTGTTTGCAAATTACAATATTTTTCTTCTTCTTTACTATTTACTTTGTTTATTTACACAATAACATTTAATATATATTTTTTTTTTTTATAAAAAAAATTAAAGCGGTCCATTTTGAATGTGTTTACATAACAATTGAGAAAAAAAAAATAAATGTCAAGATGCTAAACATCATAAAAAATAAAACAATATATATTCAAATCAACATCGTACAAAATCAGCATCAACTACTAGAGCATTGCAAAGTTTTGAAATTTAAAAAATAAAATGTTTTGAAAATATGCAACAGCAAAACAAAAAAAAAAAAATAAAATAAAGTGAAAATGATAAAATATGCAAACCAACAGAGAACAACAATAGCATGTGAACTAAATGAGAGCAACAGTATTGAAAAAATTACGAAATTCATATTTAAACTAGTAAAGAAAGTCTTTAAGTCGGGCTGTGCCGACTTTATGATACCATACACCACTTTGCATATTTAGTAGAGCTTCACATTACAAATAAAAGTTTTAATGGGGAATTTGTGAGAATTAAAACACACCAACTACGACTATAGTTATAATTTAAAATCCAAAGGAACTAATATATAAGAGGAATATCCTCCTCTGAATCGATTTCTACTAAATCTACCGAGGCATTTGTGCCTTTTCAATTCGGGCTTGTATTAAACATTTGGTGCACAATTAACTAAAATTTGGATAGACATATTGTGGAGCTATATCCAAACCTGAACCGATTTCGGTAAAATTTGGCAAAGGTATTTCTGAGCGGAACTTGATGTATTTCCCCGAAAATCATAACTACCGAGTGCATATTACGGCTGTGGAGGACAAAAGTAAAAAATCGGAGCTATAACTATATCTGAACCGATTTCCATTAAATTTGGCATACTTATTTTCAGGCCTAATTTAGTTGTATGTGCAAAATTCGATCTTATTCGGACTAATATTACACGTTTGGCGCACAATAAAAGGCAAATCGGACTAAGATATATATGGGAGCTATATCTAAATTTTGACCGATTGTCTCCAATTTCAATAGGGTTTGTTCTTGGGCCAAATAAAAGTTTTGTGCAAAATTTCATCTGAATCGGGCAATAAATGCAACTCGTACTTTGTTTACAAAAATACATGGACAGACGGACGGACATGCATAAATAGACTCAGAATGTGATTCTATGCAGATCATCAAAAGGAACTATGGGTCTCTCTCGTTTCCTTTTGCATGTTGTGGTGTAGGGTATACAAATTGAAGTTAAGTTAGTAGACGGTTTTAAATTTGACAGAGTGGAACTTTCTTCTTCCCCCCACCGCCATCATTTGAAATTAATGATAAATCATTTTTTTTTAATCCCCAAAAATTTTGAGACTTGGATAGATTGTCAAAACCTGTACCTGTAAAAATACTAAATTTGACTCCATTCCTTTAAAATTGGGCCCAAATTAGGTCTTCGAAATAACCACAATTGAGGTTATAAGGGAGCTTTCCGAAATCTCGACAAAAGGATATATATATTTTTTTAAAGTCGATTCAAAATATTTTGAAATTTCTTTTCGTATCGATGCAAAAAGTTTTTATACCCTCCACCATTTGGAAGGAACTTGAAAAATTTTAAAAAAATCCGAAAACTGCCCCTTAAATGAAAACCGTTTTATGGGGACTATACGTAGACGTGCACCTGCATACGAACTTTTTGTTATAGGCCAACTTTTTGTTATAGTACCCATTACGAACTTTAAATACAAAATTTCTTACAATTCCGGTGAATAATATCACAAAAATCGGGAGGTACCGTAATATGGGGGCTATACGAAGACGTGGGCCTGCACACGAAATTTTTTGCCATAGGTTGTAGTACCCATCACGAAGTTCAAATACGAAATTTGAAATGATTCCGGTAAATAATGTTGTTGAAATCAATAAAATACCGAATATTGGGATGTACCGTTATATGGGGGCTATACGAAGATGTGCACCTGCATTCGAAATTTTTTTTGCCATAAGCTGTAGTACCCGTTACGAACTTCCAATATAAAATTTGAAACGATTCCGGTGAATAATGTTGCTGAAATCATTAAAATACCGAATATCGGAAGGTACCGTTAGATGGGGGCTTTACGAAAAAGTGGACCGACATTGCGCATTTACGTACTTAACCTGCCTACTGGGAAAATATACATGTATGCAAAATGTTAGCCTTTCTCAATATGTTTGAAAGACAGCGTGATTACAACAGACAGACAGGCACGCATACGAACGCAGATCCAGAATATATATACTTTGTAAGTTCTATCATGTATATTTCGAGGAGTTACAAACGAAATGATAAAGCTGTCCGTCTGTCCATGTTAATTTGTACTCACTCTGCTGGTCGCAATTATGGCCCGATCTTCACGAAATTTAAATTGGAGGTAGGGCTAGAGCCAGAATAGAAGCATATTGCTTCTATGATGATGAGATGATCACATAATATTTAGGGGATGAAATAGACCAAAAGCTGTAAAATTTCCTGATTTTACAGTTGCTCTACAGGTCGCTATTATAGACCAATGGTCACCGGGTAATATTTAGTGGGTGAAATAGACCATAGCATTGGTGTTGAATAAAATTCAAAATTTCCATTAAACCGCAAATCCCGGCGAAATTACAAATAGACGAACAGGTTTAGGATAGAGAGTAGAATGGACCACCACTTTTGTGTGAAAAACAACATTTCCATTCTACAGAAATGCTGAAAATAACTTACAAATCCACAAAAGGCGAACTTCTGGCTTTTATATGCTGATTCCGTTGACGAATATAGCCAAATATCGTAGATAAGCAAATCTAAATTTGTAGATTATCGCAAAATATTTAGAAGTTCAAATGAACCAAAAACAGAACATTTTCCTGATCACACAATTGAAACCAATCGACACTGAATTTTACATGAGAAGAGAGGTAAGGACAGCGAAGAAGTCTAGCATTGTAGTGTTGTAGGGTATCACACTTGGTCGGCCCCGCACGGCTTTAGCCTTTGCTTACATGCCTCAATATGAAAATAAATTTTCTAATATATACAAAACAAGTAAGCAAAGGCTACAGTCGAGCGGGGCCGACCGTTGAATACCCTACAACAAGATATTGTGACAAATTATAAAAGAAAGCCATAAGGTTTTGTTCTCTAATTTTCGAATAATAGCAACTTAAACTAATTTGCTCATTTCCAATTTATTGGTAGATGTTGCACGTAAACGGTCTTCCTAGATCTGGAACCAATATTTCCCAAAGACCTATAATCTCTCGGAAGTGGCAAAAGATTAACATTTATTATTGGTTTTTGACTGAAACGCATCTATATGAGATACAGACATTTGACTATATTCGTTAACGAAATAGTCAGAAGTGCGTTTTTCCTGTATTTGTGAATTCTCCAAAGTCTCTGGAATAGACATTTTCGTATTTTGTCTACAAAAGTTGGCAAACTATTTCACACATTGAATATTTTTGGATGGCCATCCAAAACTGCTTGGTTTTTGCAATGTCCGGTAACCCACTTTCAAATGTGCGTGAGGATCGGGCGATAATTACGACCTGCCGACAATTTTGCAGTTTTTTTTTTGGTCCATTTCAACCCCTAAATATATGGCGATCATCTCCAAAAAGAGTAGGCTTCTATTCTGACTCTCATCTTATCCCCATGCAAAATTTCGTAAGGATCGGGCCATAAATGAGATTTGTATATGATATCCTGATATCCTAACTACTTAGTTTTGTTAGCTGTAGAAATATTACCAAATGTTTAATTCAAAATGAAAATATGCCAAAAATATGACAAAATTGAAAAAAATATGAGAAAATTTTACAAAATCAATATTTTCATCTTTAGAGAGATATTTTTATGCGATTATTTTAGACGTTTTTTCTTTCCTGCCAAGAGGCCATTCTGAATTAATGAGAACTGTCGAAATCAGTTCAGCCGTTCTCGACATATAAGAGATCTTTCAAGCATATCTTCTTTGATAGACATATATATCGCACATAATTTGCTATATATCCGATTTGTTGGATGTTAACATCAATGTAAAGGTCAGAAGTAACCTTGTCATGGCTTTGTGATTTCGCCGGGATTTAAAATATTCGCGGTTTAATGAAAAATGTTGAATTTTTTCAACACAAAATATATGGTCTATTTTACCCGCTAAATATTATCCGATGACCACTCAAATTGGTAGACTTCTTCTCCGCCCTAAACTCTAGCTACATGCTACATTTGGTCCATTTCAACCCCTAAACATTTGGCGATCATCTCAAAAGAAATAGGGTTCTATTCTGGCCCGACCCCGACCTCCATTCCAAATTTCGTGAAGATCGGGCCATAATTGCGAGTGATTACAAATTAACATGGACAGACGGACAGACGGACGGACGGACATACATAGCAAGATCGACTCAGCTCGGCGAGATAGGATGATCCATACATACTTTCCTATGTGGGAAACAAATATTTCGAGGTGTTACATAATTTTTGGGCCAATCAAACTTATAATACCCCCAACACATAGTGTTGTAGGGTATAAAAATGTGAAACGTTTCTAATGTAACACCGAGAACATTATTCAAATCATCAGAATAATGGGGTCAAATTCTCGAAAAAAAAAATCGACCAAAAAGAATTGCTATATGTGAATTTAAGCTATTTGAACGTGAACTTCTTTATAGAAAAATTGGGTTCTGCCACCAACATTCGATATTTAGTAGGTTCTTTCAAATTTCCAATTAAAACAAGATCAAATGTACATATTCTAATTTGTTTCAAACGAAATTTGCTTGACATCGAATGCAAAAATTTGACCCGTAAACTGAATTCTTGGATGCAAAATATTATATAGCGCTTATAAAACAATATTGCCGCTCTTAAACTTGCTACGATTTATAGAAATGAAATAAGATGATATTGTTGGGAAATTAAACACTTACATTTTATGCTTACAGAAGTGTGAATGGCTGCTGTTTGGCGGTACAGTGTATGAGGGGAGAATACATGCGAGCAATAGGCTAGTGGGTGGTGTAGAGAAGCTTAGGCGACATATAACTCCCCTGCTTCGGTGTTATAATAGGTTCTTTGCATTAGAAGTGCTGCTTAGACATATTTTTACAAATAGTTTTATTCTACACATGACTTTACGTTGAATTTCGAATCTACGTTTACATTGGAGGGGAGGATTTATTTACTATTGAATGCGGGGGATCTACAAGGATGACAACGATTTATAAGATGACTTTTTTACTTGGGAGATTTTCATCGGAGTATTGTACCATTTTAAAAAGGTGTTTTCGGGTTCTTGCTGTTGTTCTTGTAGTTATTGTTATTGCTCTTGCTACTCTACTAACAATGATTTGATGATAATATTCTGCTTGTTTGTTGTTGGTTTGCTATTGTTTATTCATTTCGCCTACAATTTCGTTGTTGTTGCTCTTTTTTTTTTCTTTTTTGGTTTTGTTTGTTAATTTTATGCAGTTTGTTTTGTTGTTGTTGTTTAGTTGGTATGTTTAAATGTTTATATCTCTATTTATGTACTATGTATGCTGTTTTCATTTTTTTTTCGGTATGTATAAATATGTATATATTTTTTTGTAGTTAGGTAGTAGCATCTATCTTTTCTTTATGTCATAGTCTTTTTTTAAGGTTTTTAATGAAGAGAAAAACAATGCTAATCAATAGACCATCAAAGAGTTTCAGATATGGGAGGGAGGGAGGTAAGTTAGGAAGTCGGGGGGAAAGTATGGAAATCCATTTTTTAAGGCAAAAAAAAAGTATTAATTCCAAACACATTTATTTAAAATGAATTAAAAAATCTTTTTAAGAAGTGGGACTTTTTCACAACTACTTTTTTCACTATTTCGGTTTGAGGTTATGTTCTTTACTATGAAGCTAATAACAACGATATTGCTTATCATAATCTATGGGAGAGTTCAAGTGTTAGGCGTGTGTGTGGGAAGGGAGCTTATTCCTCCCACTTGGGGGGAAAAAAGATAATTTCCTGGGAGAGTAGGGGATTTATAACAATTATTTAGAAACTAAATGATTTTTTGTTATTTCTCCATTTTTTGTTTGCGTTTTTTTACATATCTTTCTCTCCATATATATTTTTTTACTAAATGCTTTTGTTTGTTGGTTTTTTTCTTATCTATCTGTGACTTTTGTGTTTTGTTTTCAATAGTTGGATAATTCGTTCAATGATCATCTTCTTATACTTAAATATCTTGTTGGTAGTTGGTAATTTATTCTATTGAGAATGGGGTGGCGAGGAGAATTAGGATGCTATGCTGTTTTTGTGTGTTATTTTTTGTTTGTGGTGGATTTACTTCCATTTATTCGATTTGTTGGCTTTCTTCGTTTTCTTCTTACCATTGCCATTATTACTGCTGCTATTGTTGCCATTCTTGCTGTAGTTACTACGACCTTGCTGGTGTTCTGTAAAGAAATCGAGAAAGGGAAAAGTTAAAGTAAAACAAGAAAAAAAACTGTAAGTTCGGCCGGGCCTCTACCATTTGAAACGAATTTGTCAATTTTCAAAAAAATAAAATCCGTTACAAATTCTGTTTAAATCTTAAAAATACCGAATGAAGCCGTTATTATAAGGTTTGTACGATGCCGTATAGACATTTTTTGTATTAAGCCATTACAATATTCAAATGCCAAACTTGACAAAAAATGGGTGAATAATGTGAATAATGTAGCTAAAATCATCAAAATACCGAATATAAGGAGGACCCATTATATGGGGGCCATACCAAAACGTGGACCTGTATTCGAAATATTTTCTGTCTTAGGCTGTACTAACCATTACGAAATTCAAATACCAAATTTTAAACATTTCCGGTGAATAATGTCGCTTAAATCACCAAAAACCAAAACGTGGACCTATATGACCATTTTCAATACCAAAAGTCCTGCAGACATAATACACATTTGAGTAAAATTATATCAACCTATTTCATTTCGCTCGGAAGCTAGAGTGATTTCCACAGGCGGACAGACATTGCTCAGTCCACATAGAATTTTATGCTGATCAAGAATATATATACTTTATGGGGTCTAAAATGTATATTTCGAGGTGTTACAAACGAAATGACAAACTTAATATACGCTCCATACTATGGTGGAGGGTATAATTGAATCTTGGAATTGTATTTTTTTATGGGGGAGATTATAAACCGAACACAGCAGCCCTAAATAATTTTTTTATTAAAAATACTAAGACCTTCAAATATACAATTTTTTGGGACGTTACCGTCATAACCCTGGGAATACTTCCTGTGATGCTCAGTTGATGTCAAGCTTCAAGGAGGGAAATCCACCGCACCGAGGTGGATTGCACCGAGGTGATTCACTTCCAGCAGCAAAACGCCATAGTGGAAGGTGAGCTGGCGGCCAAAATACCTACCAGACTCCCAAACATTCGCGGCGACTCTCGCACAAGGGAGGCAAAAGCCAAGATAAGTTATAAGCAGTGAAGTTACGGAGAGAGAAAAGGCTGTGATCAGAACGAACCTTAAGGCAGTGCGGAAGTTCGAAAAGAACAACCCACTACTGCCAAAGTGTTCTCTTATGAATGAACTATTCACCCCTCTTTCCGACCTCGGGAAGAAGACTAGTCCACCCGTGGGCAAACCTTCTGATGAGGGTCCTGTGGAGGTCAGTAACATTAAGGCTAATGGACAGCCTGCACAGTTGTACCAGCAACGGAATAAAGCGGTATCTTCATAAAGGGCCTTCTTAGGGCCACACAGGGCAAAAAAAGGGAATCTGAGACAATCGATGCCTCGTTGGTTCCGAAGGACACCGAACTCCATACTCGTTAAAGGATAAAGAGGGGCAGTCCATTGAGGAACCCCATCCCGAAGCCAATAAACTGTCGATGGGTCAATACCCTCTACCACCATCTGCGTCGCCAACCAATGCCGTCAGGAAAAAGCTTGTGACAGAAGCCTCTAAGCCTGGAAAGGGCAAAAATTAACCCATTAAACAACAAAACCTCAAGCCAAAGCGGCAGAGAGGTAGTTCTCCCACAGATCATCTACCCAGATAACCTCCGTGTAGCGGTCATAGACAAAGCTGAGCCGAAAAGCAAAATCAGTGAACATCGATGGCCGCTCATCCAAGACCGTGTGAGGAAGATAGTCTTTCTAGGAGAGGAGGATCCAGAAGGCGGCAGTTCGACAAAGGAGTAAAGGACATCTGCTGTGAAATCAAGAAGTCCAAGAACTACCTCGTCACCAGTAGCTGTCTTCCGCGGTCTTTGGGAAGGAAGTGAGCTGGTGGCTGCGTCACTGAAGGAAATCCCCTGTAGGAAGGTGTTGTCAACATGGGTGCCACCGTGGATCCGGCACGCGTGCTAACAATATTGGGAAAGAAAAATTCTAAACTTCGGACGGACAAGTGAAAACAGAGGGTTGAGGTCTGGCCATATCTATCGATACTGTTGGTCAGGAAGAAATGCCAATTTTCAATGGCGCTCATTTTCAATGGCGAAATTATACCTAAAATTTGTGGTGGAAATCATTACAGGTCACTGCAATTTGAGGGTTTTGACTTTTAAGTGGGGTGTCGACGACACCGACTGTAGGCTCCCTAACGATAAAGAGGAAACCTAAACGGTCGAGCATTTACTTTGCCAATGTTCCGGTCTCTTCGGTGTGGTGAAACACAGGCTTATGAGGGAGGAGATTTTGCACGCTCTGTCTTCATTCTCCGACACTGAGCCAGCAATCATTCTTCAGTAACCGAAATATAACACAAAAAAAAATAATTTTCTAAATATTTTAAGTAATGTCCCGTTATCATTTTCTGTTCCCGAGTACATTACTCTTTAATCCAATAAAAATAAAATTTCTCATGGGCTACCTACCGCTTTTAATATTCGATGCCGACACTGACGACGACGATGCCGAATTGGATGGACGCGATTCCGATTCCGAGCCAGACTTGGAGGAAGAATCTGATATTGTACAGACGGACGATTCCGAAGAAATGGAAATAATCGATATGGTCGATGAGGCCGATGTTAGAATTCCATGGGTAGTGCTGGTGTTGGAATTATTACGCGGCAGTGTCGAGGACGACGGTGATGTTACGGCGGAGGTGTTGATGTTACTACTACTGCTGTTGTTTGTTGTTGTTGATGATGATGATGCATTTTGTTGTAATCTTTGTTGCCGCACCTGTTGCTGTTGTTGCAGGCGTTGTTGTTGATTTGTATAGCGGGGTTTGTTAGTGTTGCTGTTGCCACCGCCACTGTTGCCGCTGCTGGTGGCAATAACACCACCGGCACCACCACCACTATTTGCAGTGGTGGCTGCTGAGCTGGTGGCCGAACTGCTGGCAACATACTTGGCATTTGAAGATGAAGTTGTGGCGGCTGCATATTGCTGTTGATATTGTTGTTGCATGGGAGGTGGAACATAGAATTGTTGGCGATAGTAGTGCTGTTTTGATGATTGCTGCTGCTGTTGGGGTTGTTGTTGTGGTTGCGGTTGCGGTTGGTGATGTTGTTGTCGCGGGGGTGAAGGTGATAATAGATTTTTCTTATGTTGCTGCGGTTGCTGCATCTTAAATTCATGGCTCTGCTGCTGCTGCTGTTGTGGTTGCGACACCACATGCGGCTGTTGTTGCTGTTGCAGGTGTGTATTTGTTTGATTTGATTTTGTTGTTGTGGCGACATTCCCCACAATATCCGAACTTGAGGAGACAATTGGCGTTGACGATGATGATGATGGTACATGTATATCGGCATGGAACGACTTTACGGCTAATGTGGGTGATGTTGTGGTCGATGATGGCGTGGCCGCCACCACGGGTGACGACGCCGCCGGTATAAATGTGGTTGTGTGTGCTTGTGTTGGCGTTAGAGGCTGCGTGGTTTGCTGCTGCAACTGCATCTGTTTCAGCATGGTTGTCGCTGCCGACACTGTGAACGCTGAGGGCGTTCCAGCTGTCTGCATCTGGACCATTTGTTGCTGTTGTTGTTGCTGTTGCTGCACCAAACCTGCAACTATTCATCATGTATCCATCCGGGCAGCTGTGTGAATATTCGCGGATGTAGCCATATTTGCACCAGCTGGACCACCGGCCATAATAGCCGCACCACCACCGCCGTCGCCACCCACGACGTGAGTATTTGAATGGGAGGTGGAATCGGCATCACATTCTTTGCTATCCTCGGAATCATCACCGGACGATGTGCTCGCCGCCGAATGGTGCTGCTGTTGTTGCTGCTGTTGTTGGTGATGATAGAGATGGGATATAACGTGTATCTGCTGCTGTTGGCCGGCAAGGGCCCCAGCTGGCAGCATTGTGGAAGGCAACAATTGTATTTGCATGTACTTGGGATTCGTCCCCACAACTGATACCGGTGAGTGGCGGGCAAGGACCAAGTGTTCGAAACGTTCTCGTATCCATTCGCGATGGTCTATAACATCGTCGGTGATACGTATGATGCGTCCTATGGGCAACAGAAGAAAAAAACAGGACATGAAACATTTTTTTGAAAAACAATCTTCTCCGACTTACCCAATATTGAACGTTTATTGCAGTCATTGGCCCAATCATTCAGTGGACTCACAGCCTGTGACAGTATTTGGCAGGCATACTCAAATACCGTCTTAACCTGCAGCGCCCCATAAGAACTCCGGCCAATATCATTGCCCGGCGTTAGGGGATCCTCAATGCACAACAGCGAAGGTCTATGGCCATCAATCATATCACGTTGTAAGTCTTCTTTGGGTATGTAGCGGCCGCCATTTTTAATGGAAATGCCGATTTTCATGTAGTTGAACTTTTTACCGTACAGCTCGAAAAATTCCAACAGCAGAACGCCCAAATTAGCAGTCTCTTCATCGATTTGACGCGGATGCAATTGTAGAAAACTAATGCACATCAAGATCAGTGAATAGGAAGAAATGCCACCGGTGAAAACTTCATTGAGATCACGTTGAAGTAAAAACTGTTTCAAAACTAGCACCAATTTCGACAAGAGCGGAAATTTCAGTTTGTATTTTTTAATGAGTTCTGCGGACTGGACACCGGACTGCATGTTAAATGAAATGTCCACCTTGACTTTGGTCTCACGATCCGTTAACTTGATAATCGGCACAGAGGCCTTGTCAAGTACCCGAACCGAGGAGGGTTCAGCGATGCCACGGGCAATGAGCTCGGTTTCCAATGTCCTCAGAGGCATTTTATCCCAGAGACCTGGGCGAAAGAGAAGAAAACAATTAAAATTATATTTATAGAGGTAACTTAAGGCCAAGCTCACCCAATACCACCAGGTCAATATCAGAGGTAGGCAGGAATAGACCAGTACGGAAGGAACCAAAAATCTCAACAATGGCCGATGGCCATATTGAATGGACAACGGCCTCAATACGATGTACCACCTCGTGGCGTATGGCATGCTCGGTGGGTGTAGGCAGTACATATTGATAGAACTGTTCAATTTCCTGATGCAGACCCAAAACCCCGCGCCCATAATTACAATCGGGCACACGCCACGGACAGCCCTTGTACTTGGATATCAGCTTGTCCATGTGCTTGTTCAGATTATATGTGCTGGCCTTATTGTCAACAATGCGGCCAATTTTCCTGCGTGATGGATTGTAGTAACTGGGACGTTCGTGTGAGGGCATTTTGCCGCCGGCTATATTTGCTGTGTTGGTATTGGTATTAACCCCACCACCGCCGCCGCCGCCGTCTCCTCCACCCGGTGTTGTGGCAGGTGTCGATGAGTCGTTATTGGTATTTGAGTCGATGGAAGTGTTGCTTGAATTGTTGCCGCTGGAATTGTTGCTGCCTCCGCCGCCGTTATTGTTGCTGTTATTATTGTTGTTGTGATTGTTGCGCAAACCACCAAAATGTTGCAATAGAAGCTGCTGTATGGAATAATCACGTTCGCGTGGTGTGAGATTGGCACCGTTGTTGAACTTATTGCCGCCGCCTGGTAATGATTGCAATTGTAACTGTTGCTTTTGCTGTTCCAGCAATTGGCTCATTTCATGCGCATTGGTTTCCCATATTTTAACCCATGTGCTTAAGGATGGACCCTCCTGTTCCTCTTGAAACCAACCAACAAAAGGATCCATTCAAAGTTGTTTGTGTTGAGGTTTGGAAAGAGTTTGGCGTTTTTTTGTTGTGTTGTGTTTGACACAAAATCTAACCGAGTTTAGCGCCAATCAATGCCGCGCAAATGCAGCGTTCACAGAGAGTTGGCTGCTAAGTGACAATGATCTTTGACTAGAATAATATGCTTGCTGAGAGAGATGACGCTGCTCCTGTTGTTGTTGTCGTTGTAAAGGAACTACCATCAACAACCGTCGTGTATTCTAAAAATTTCTAAAAAGATTCTCTGTGATACCGTCCCCTCTTCTAGTATTTCTTTTGAGTAAGAATCAAAATAAAAACGTGGGCGTGGGGAGTTGTCGATCCTATAAAATTATCCGAAATACTATGGAATGCCAATGATATGGTAGGACAACTTTTTGAAAGTTCCTGCGTTTTGAAAGAGCGAGGAGAGGGGTATTTTTTTAAACTTATCTAATAAGTGTGTTTTCTCTGTAAAGAAACAAACAGATAATGAAAATATACATTAGTAAATTTGTTATAAAAATTGGGAAAAATAGTAAATTAAAAAAAAGTTTCGGATATTCCTGAAAGGGGTAACCATACCAAAGAATGGGCCAAAAACAATCATTTAAATGGAATATACAAGTATTTGTGAAAAAAAAAGTCGAGTTGTTGTGACTTAGCTCATGTTGAACCTGTCAAATTACAGCTACTTTTGAAATTTAGGGCCGACGACTTCATAATACCGAAAGCTATTTGGACCTACATCGAACATTTTTTGCGAGCAATAAACCATCCACAAAGAAGACAAAATAAAAAATTGTAGTTGATTTAGTCGAACATTTAGGACCGACGCCTTTAATCATCATGAGGTACCGTTGTATGGGGTCCATGCCATAAAGTTGACCATTTAGGACCGACGCCTTTAAAATACCGAAAATCATGAGGTACCGTTGTATGGGGTCCATGCCATAAAGTTGACCAACATCGAATATTTTTTTTTTTTTTCTCTTTTTTTGCGAGGAACAAATCAACTCACAGGGAAGCTGAAATGAAAAAAGTTTCAAAAGAAGCCAAAAAACTTAAAAATACCGAAAAAAACCCCAGGAATTACTAGGATCATATGTTAGCTATTCCATAAAGTACACCTGTGCAATGAACATTTCTAGTTAGGAATTAAATTGCCCGAAAATGAACCCGAAATGTTCAATTACAGCTGATTTGGTAGAAATTCAGGACGAAATCTTCGAAATAACCTAAATCAGGAGTTAATATTTTATGGAGGACAATAACATAAAGTTGACTTATAGCCAGTATTTTTGCGAACAGTTAACCAACCGAAATATCAAATTACAGAAATTATGCACCCAAAACTAGTCACTGTTTGGAGAGGTCTTTGGTGGAAAAGGACAATTGGAAAATGAGCTTTATACAGGATGGCCCTAGGTGCCAGTTCTATCGATATATACAACCTGCACACACCGAACATGAAATAACTCGTATTGAGGCCATTGTCTATACAATTTGGCCATCAGCCATCGTTGAGATTTTTGGTTCCTTCCATATTACTGCCTATCTCTGATATTGACCTGGTGATATTGGGTGAGTTTGGAATTAAGAAATTTCCTTGAATATAATGTTAACTGTTTCTGTCCTTTCCCCACAGGTCTCTGGGATAAAATGCCTTTGAGTAAATTGGTTCATTACCGTGACATGGCTGAACCTTTCTCGATTCGGATACTTGATAAGGCCTCAGTGCCGATTATTAAGTTAATGAATCCTGAGACACAAGTAAAGGTTGAAATTTTATTCAACATGCATTCAGGTGTCCAGTCCCACTTTGGTGAAATTGGTGCTAGTTTTGAAGCAGTTCCTATGTGTGATGATGTGATCTCAAGAAAGTTTCCACCGGTGACATTTCTTCCTATTCGCTGATCTTGATGTGCATTAGTTTTCTACAATTGCATCCGCGTCATATCCATGAGGAGACTGATGATTTGAGCGTTCTACTGTTGGAATTTTTCAACCTGTACGGTAGGGAGTTCAACTACATAGAAATCGGCATTTCCATTAAAAATGGCAGCCGCTAAATACCCAAAGAAAACTTTCAAGGTGATATAAATGATGGCCATAGACCTTCGCTGTTGTGCATCTAGCCGGGAAATGATATTAGCCGGAGCTCGTATGGGGCGCTGCAGGTTAAGCAGGCACTTGAGTATGCCTACCTACTGATGTCACATACTGTAAGTCCACTGAATAATTGGGCCAACGGCAGTAATTAGCGTCCAATTTTGGGAAAGTTGATTAGGATAGATAGCCCGATCTCTATAGATATGTTTCATGCTACGTTCCCCCGACAAGGTTTTACACCATCGCGAATGGATACGAAAAGATTTCGAACACACCTTGCTTGCAAAACACTAGTTTCGGTTTTTACTTATCCTGCCGAACCTATCCCACTCACTCCAGAAGATCTTTGGCAGCAGCCCTCGAGTTTTTGAAGCTGGCTCTAGACCTGGATTAGTAGAAATCAAACAAAAGATGTGAAGCTGTTGTAACAACAACAACAAACGGTTTCAGCGCCCTCTGTGGTGGGGATTAACCCCAAGTACATGAAAATACCGTAATAGCTTACCACAATGCAGCCAGCTGGAACCCTTCCCTCCATATCTACCATCACCAAGAGCGATTTCGAGCTCCTACTCAAATGCTCACGTAGTGAGAGGCTGCCCCGATGATGGGTTACATTAGCAATGATTCAAAAACTTGTCCGGATTGATGTATGATGAATAGTGTCAGGTTTGGGCTGATTTGTTAGGACATTTATACCAAAACTTTAAAAATATATTTCACTTCCACCTCTCGGCTATTCTCGAAATGTTTCGGAAGTTCTGAGGCAATAAATATATTGCTTTAATATATGTATTTATTTTGCTACACTTGTAAGTATAAGGCCGCTGGTCTAATTGATGGTAATATGGTTGCATTAGCAATAATTCAAGAATTTGTCCGGATTGATGCATGATGAATAGTGTCAGGTTTGGTCTGATTTTTTTTGGAAATTTATACCAAAACTTTTAAAATATATTTAACCTCCAACTTTCGGCTATTCTAAAAATGTTTCGCAAATTCTGAGGCGATAAAAATATTGCTTTAAAATATGTATTTATTTTGCTGCACTTATGCCCACTACACTTTTTGATCAGAATTGTACTCTGGAAAAATCGGTCATTAAGAAAAACTTTCGATTTTATGCAGATTGATTGATTGGTTATGCGGAATTTTTTGCTGCATCCCCTTCCAAAATTTATACCTGCCACGCAAGAAATCCCATACTTCTGCCATCTTCTCTGGTAGTTCTTCAAAAAAAAAACATGCTTTCAACATCTTCACCAATCCAATCCATATGGAAGAAGATAATTTGAAAGGAGATGGGCAGTTGGTTTAGAAACATTGATATTTTCTTTCCGAGTTAGGTAATGTTTAAAGATGGTGCTAATTAATTAATACAACACCTGTATGAAATGGAACAAGCACAAACACACACACTTACACAAACATGTATATGGAACAAACACATACACATACATAGGTGGCTAACTACAAATCCATGATAAGTAAACTGATTTATTTTGCTGGGTAGCTATATCATCACATTTGAATTAATACATAGCTATTTGAAAAAACCAAATTTAGAAGAAGAAAAAATACAAGTTTGACTGATAATGAAAGTAAAATCAATGACGAGAAAATGTCGTCACTGAAATTCATTCTTGCCGAAAACGTGTTCTTTATCAACAAAGATTAAATTAATAAATCTTTGTTGATAAACAACACGTGTTGATAAACAACAACATCAATGTAATAGATAATTCAATGGTTGTGTTATCTCAACAAGAACAATTACGAAGGGGGAGGGAATGGGTGTTAGCTTCTGTTATAAACACCTTGATTAGATCGGAATGTTTGCGTTCGATTTCTTGAAGATCATTTGTAAAGGGTGCTAAACAATTTGTTTTTTTTTTTTTTTTTTAACTAGGAAATAGCCCCACATGTTTGGGGAATTGAATAAGGTTTTCCAATTAGCTATCTTCTTACAGGGTTAAAATTGGAATGTAGCGAAATCCTACGCATCCAACGAATATGCGACATTGTTGATGTTATTTGCTAGACGAATACCAATTATGGAAAGTTGCATTTATGCTTACATTTTTCATTCCAGGTCGACTATTTCCAAATCATAGTAACCAAAGCAAGACATAAATGAAAGAATTAATTAGTTATCTCTCTCAAAGTGTGCAATGTTTAATATTTATTGAATATTTTCCAAACGATACAATCCCATTGCATAGAATTTATAAAGCACTTGAAATATTTAAATATAGCCTAATTATTTTTTTAATGGAAATTATTTGCAACCCCTTTCGTCAAGAGTGGAAAAAAGTGAATTCTATTGTTTTCGCTTAATACAGCTGATTAAATTGTAAACAAACCAAGTGAGAAGAACAATGTCATGCCATGTGAAGGAAATTAAAATAAAAAATATATATCCTAATGCTTGCAATTTTACGTTTTTTTTTAAACATACACCTGTCATTAAATAAACAACAGGTCAGGTTTTTAAAATAAGCTCTTAAGAGAAAAGTGCAGCGTGCAGCATAACCTGTGTGAAAAAGACAAATTAGCTAGAAGCTAGGCTATAGTATGGCCTGGTCGATAATTATTTTTGGCCAGGGTTTCTGTAGATCATAAATATTTTGTGATCATTTCCCAAAAATATAGGCTCTAACCAAGTCAAAAATTTGAAAAATATTTGAAATTGCGTTTTTCATTCGAATTTTCTTACGAAGCAACAAACAGATAGAGAACCTAAAGGAAAGGTTTAAAATTCGTAGTCTCGACAAAATATATAGATTAAGAGATTATTAATTCACTTAAGTCAAAATCTGGCTGGTGGAGCCACAGGCTGTTATTTGTTCGTAAAGATCTTAACCCTTCAAAAACATCGCCTTTACAATAGCATTCCAAATCATGGCGAATATGTCAGACAAATGGATCTTCAAACAATTTATGATGTATGACTCGGCATACAACTCGCCAGCAAAAACTGCCTAGGCAGCAACACGTTAGTTACCGGACTGACATGATCCTGCTGTCTAGAGGCTGGTCATACTGGTCATTTGTACAAATTCAACGTTTACAAAGTGCTCCACTACGTGTCGCCAAGGAATGTAGTCCAAACCATATCTTTACTCCAGGAGGTACCAGCCAGTTAGTGCTTTGCGGCCTTTATTTGTGGATTTAATTTTCTTGATAAGATAGGTCGCGTAAAATGAGAAATGGAGAAGATATGTTTCAATTATGCACTCTGGGTATACGTCTGTTTCTGATGGATATATCTAGCTCTAGATTTACATCCAGGTAGTGGAGAGTGCCATGAATGACTTTTTGGGAGATAATATAAGATTGTAAGAAATAATATAAAATTTATTGATGCTGGCTAATCAATCGAATATCTAGGCATTTGCAACGTACAATTCTGATGCAATAATAATAGAACAAGCATCAGCGTACATCATTGAGATATCAGGAAGTGGAATGGGCAAAGAAAAAGACATAAATTGTAACAAATTGTTAAGAGAAATCCCAATTCGATCTTGTGATCTTTGGATATTTGGCCTCGAAATTCAACGAAGACTTGCCTGCCATTAAGGTAGTTTACGATCTACAGCTCGTGTTTTGTTTAGTTGTTACATTCGCTGTTAAATCAAGGTTTTAAATTACGTCGTAATTTGAAACTAAGAATACTGGGACTCCTTTGTGGGGAAACTGTAGAGGCGTTAAACTCTGTTTGTTGGTTCTAAACTCTGTCCTTATACATCCATATAATCTCCAAATTATCAAAAAATATTTTATCACGCAGTGGGAGTAGCAATCTTTCTATATGTAAAGGTTTTACTATCAATTTTGAAAGATTCTTGGAATTTATCTATAGTTGAAAATGTTCCTGCCAACAACAAAAGCAATTTGTTGACGCCTAGGATTAGGAATCTCTTCACATTACTTGAGAAATAAGGACCTCAAGGGTTTCACGAATAATAGCAACTTCTGAAGAGACCTTATAAACCTTTTTCGGGATAATGTTTATCACCCTAAAGGACGGTCCAGAAAGAGGTGCTTCAAATTACAAAAGCGAAATTTGTAAGTTGTAAAAATAATAAGAAGAATATAAGTTTGTGCTTACATTACTTTGAAGGTCAATATCACAGGATGTGTGGACCCCAAAAAGCTCTTTTGCAAGAGTTTTCAATATAATTCGCAATGCTCAACATTTTCTAGGAAGACCCATTTTAAACAAAATTCATTATTTCATCTTCCACTATACAATTTTAAGTTCCAATTGTGACCATAACGTCAAATTCATTTTAACAAACAATTAAGACCAAGTTGCTATGACCTTCAAATGTTGTAAATTGTATTCCAATCCAACTACACACTTTTTTCTGGAAATACACACATACGTAACTAAAAAAAAATGATTAAATTATATTTACACACAATTATGATTAATAAACTTACTTTTTGATTTGTTTGTTTTCGATTTCGGATTTCGGTTGTTGTTGGCCAAAAATGGACAAATATATGGTTTGGAGATTATATATTTGCTGTTGTTGTTGTTTTTTGGTGATTGGTGCGTTAACTCTACGTCGTATTAGAACACAAATTGAAATAAAATGACTTGTTAAGGCAAATATTTGTTGTTGCTATTCTTGTTGTCGTAGTTGTGGCTTGGCAGGTAACTCCAAAATGAAAAACAACTATTGACTACTTTGTATTAACTTATTTAGATGGGAACTCCAATGGGTAACGAACGCACCGGACAAACCAAGTGGACTTCTGGATATCGTGGAGTGGAGTAGTATGTGAATGAAAGCAAGGAGACGTTTGCTGCTGCTACTTCTGCCGCTGCTGTTGATTCTTTTCAATGTTTTTTTTTTTCCTTTTAGGCAGCAATATTGTATTTCAATGAAAAGAATTCTTGATCAAAATTGTCGTTTTTTGTCAATTACTGTTGCTACAACAACAACAACAATGTAGTAAAAAACAAGAAAATAATCATCGATTCATTGAGACGAAGAAGAGGTGGAAAAAAATAGCGAGTTTAGACAAAAAATACACCAAACAAACAAACGAACAGTCAGAGTCAGTCTTGTTCTAATCCTCAATCCTGTCTCAGAATTTTGTTGTTGCGGGGGATTTCTTGTTCTTTTTTGTTTGAAATTTCTTTACACAGTTTGGTGCAATTCTCAACTTGTCTCTCACACACACCAGGCGCCGCCTCTCCCTTCTACTTGACGTCGTCGTTGTTGTTGTCGTCGTCGTATATATGCACTTTTATTTTTGCTAGTGTAGAGTACTGTTAGAATTATCGTTGGTGTTGTTATTTTTGTTGTTGCTGCTACTGCTTCTGCTGTTGCAAAGAGTATTATCAATTACAATTGCCAGACATTTCTAAGGCCATTTTGCAGTGTAAATCTGCACCAAAAATTCATTATTTCTTTTCGAAAATTGTTGTTTTTTATTCTTGTTTTTTGTTGCATACACAAAATTCACTCTTTTTTTTGCAGTTTTTCTTGTTTGTTTCTAGGTGGATATATTTTCGCGATAAGTTCTATATGTCCACACCATTCACTTTACTTGTATTTTTGTTTATATCTGCTGCTGCTGCTGCTTCTTTTGCTACACACACACATAAAAAAATTAAAATATCATCAATTTTTTGCTACATCTTCATTATTATTCTTGATAATTTTTGATCTTGCACGATTTTTATCCCGTATTGTAATAATTTGTTTTATTTTATGCACACTTTTTCTCAAAATACTTTTGACAAAAAGAAGTGTACTACTACTACGACGCCAACAACATCCGCGTACATGCGAGAAGAAAAATTTTGTCGTAGTAGTTGTACATATGTCGTAGCGACCAACCAACCGACCGACCGTAGTAGGAACACAACACAAACACACGACAAGAAACACATCAAGTTGAATAAAAAAAAACGACGACGACAGTACTGTGCTTGTGCTGCTGCTACTACTACTGATGATGATTGCGAAGAAGAAGAATCAGTGTGTGGAATAGAAAGAGCAGCACAAAATGAAATTGAGGCAGATCCAACTAACTTTTTACGGTTATGACGAAGTCTCGTCGTTTGCAAATGTGCAAAATGAAAACCGAAAAAAAAATTCTTTATACCTCCACCGGAAAGTTTTAACTGCCGAAAATTTGTCAAACACTTGAATGGGGGAAATTTCCTATTTTTTGTTTATATTCTTTTACTTAATGTTCTTATTATCTTAATAATTTATCACTATAATGAAAAGCTCCATTTTTTCTATATTTTTTTAGTGGCTGCTACTATTAGCTGCTGCTCGTGTTTTTTTCCTTTTATCAATTTGACATATTAGCACAATTGCCAAATGTCAATGTTATAATAAAATGTCAAACCCAGTGTGTGTTGTTATTCGATTACTTGGTGTTTGGTCGTTGATAAATCGGTACTTTGTGAATTCCTTACTTTTTTTTGTATTTTGGCGTTTCTGTGTGTGGCACACGTTCGTGTGTGTGTGTGTGAGTGTTCTATTCCATCACTTTTCCCCTTCCTTTCGTGTGAATCTATCTTGTTCTTGCTTGCTTGCTACTTGATCTACCACACTGTTGATGACAACTTCCAACAAACACAAGTCGCTCAAATAGTAATATTTCACGTAAAATTATAACGCACAATGTTCACTTTAAACGCCATTTTGAGCGTATAGCATTTTGCTCGCAATTTTCCGCAAGAATTATTGCAATTTCCAATTGTAAAATTCGTTTTCGCAGATAAATACCGAAATACCACGCTCTCCACGCTTGTTTGTAAAGTAACAAATGGGTAGTTGGTAATCGATGCGTTGATGTAGCAGCTGAGTTGGTCGGGTTGTTTGAATAACGCCGTCAATGTTTTTTTCACTTGCTACGTACTTTATATTTATACAGTGTTCACATGAAGACTTTCTCGGGAAAAATGCTCGAAATCATTAAATTTAAGTATTTTCAAATAAGTGTTGCTCTTAAAGATTAAGCTGCAAGTACATAAGAAGCTTGAAGTCATGGCTAGGCATATTTTGTAACATTTCATAAAGGAAGTACAGAGCCGCACTAAAATCCTGCCGTCATTATCCATTATAACTTGACATTAATATGCCTAGCCTTGACTTCAAGCCTTTTATGTACTTGCACCCTTAGAAATGTAATAAATTATAGCTCTTTGGTAAAAAATATAATTAATTTAAGCATTTCCTTTTTATTTAAACAAATACTTAACCAAAAGCACAGTTCGAGACGCATAAAAACATTTATACCATGGTTTAAAGAAAGTTGGTCTGTTCCATAACTGCAAGAATGTAAAAGTTTTTGCAACGATAAACGAACAACAATAATAACTAATTTACTATAGATATTTCAATTGAAGTATTTTCAAAAATATTTTTTTTATATAACTGAAGCTTTTTGGTAGTAGTGGTTATCCCCAAGGAGACTCCTATTACAATTTTGGAAACATATGAAAACAAGTAAATAGATTTTAACTTCCACACGGCCGAATACCCTCCACCATTAGACAAAGAAACAAAAAAAATGTTATGCCACCGAATCTAGAACCCATAACGAACTACAAGTACCAATTTTTAGACAAATCCGTGGAAAAAATGTGACTAAAACCATCAAAATACCGAATATCGGGAGGTAACGTTTTAAAGGGGCTATAATAAAACCATGGAACTATACATACAATTTTTCGCCAAACGAGTTATAACCCATTATGACCCCACATATATCAATTGTTAAACTATTCCGTGGAAAATTGTGGCAAAAATCATCAAAATACTAACATCGGGAAGTAGCGTGATATGGGGTCTATACAAAACCTATACGTACGATGTTTTGCCTCCAGAGCGAGAATATATAAACGAGAATAAATAAACGAAATATATTTTTCATATTTTCATTGAACTAGAACCAGCCCCTTGGGTCATTACTTTTCTGATTTAAGCTTCAAATAAACCATTATAAAGCAATAACCAATATAAATGATTGATATAAACACGTTAATAAAAAGCCAAATTATTGAAATATTCTTGTGACATTTCATCATTGACATACTTTATCTTTATAAAAATCACTAAAAACTTGCCTAAATTTTCAACATCAAATCAGCCATCAAACATTTCATACAATCCACGAAATGCAACTCTGTGCAAATCCCTCGACCATTGTGATTGCATTCACAAACATTCCCAATAGCCGCTAATTGTCATCTGTCAAACGCTTCGGAACAAAGACAACCATTCACAATTAAACAATCGTATAAGCGTTCGTTCTCTCGGGCGTAGAAAATTTGTTTCGGTTAGAAAAAACAATAAAAAAGTGGAAAATAATTAATAAAAAGTGTCAAAAGCTTCGTTCAAACATTAAGCGCACAATGCACAATCAAAAAAGTATGGAATATCTGTGATTTACTGGCAGCAATTCGTATCAAATCGTCGAAGAAAAACTTGAGAAAATTTTCAACTCTTCTTTCGTTTTTCTTTTTTTTTTCTTTGCCTTCTACTCTTAATGCATGTTTTCACAGCGGGATGGATTGTGGATGCTCGCTCCTCTAAACCGTGAAAAAAACATACAAGCCCATACGAAAACAGAGAAACAGACAGAGATAGACCTATGTGACGAATGAAATAGTAAATGTAACGAAACGATGTAAGAAATACACACACAAAAAGTTCATATATTTTTCTAACGAAAAGCAAGCAAAAAACGCAAAGCGACGACGATGTAATTAAAAATAAATACACAAATCGAAAAGAAAATTAAAATGGCAAAATGCAAGAAGGCCCACTGAAGATGGGTACGATGTAAATCGGTGTTAAGTGCAAGGATTAGTTGTGAGAAAATAATGAAAAATTCTATGGAAAATTACATTAATTTACATCTGCGGTTGCTCTCCTCACGTCGCGTTTTTTTCTCATTCGTTTTATTTCACTGGCATGTACATGCTGTGTTTGTGTGCGTGTGTGTGTGAAGAAGAAGTGTGAATCTCTGTGTGTGTGAGTTTGGTGCGACAACGAATGGAGTAAAAATGTGTGTTTGTGTGTTGTTTGGCTCATATGTGTGTTTTTAGTGTACGCTTTGGCATAATTTTGCAAAAGGTTGTCGAAAAAGTTGATAGAAGAGAGAAAGAAAAGAGGAAGAATCAAAAGAAACAGAGGAAATAGATAAAAGAGAAATAAAGAATATGTGTGTGCGTGCTTGCCAGTGTGTCGTACATTCAAAGAGAAGGAATTAAGGAACCGCCGTCCTTTATGCCTCAGCCTCCTACTCCTTCTTGTTTTTGTGTAATCGTGTCGTCCTCGGTCCTCTCGTAGTGTATCGGTTCTTTTGAGATATAATTTATGTTGCTTACAATGAGCATGTAAAATGTTGTGTTGTTTTTGTACAACAATATAATGTGAAAAACAAATAACCCAAAAAATTAATGCTAAATTAACTACATAGTAAATTTACAAAAGTTTGTGAAAATGATAAATTGAAAAGAGGAGCCAAAAATAAAACAAAAAAATTAAACCCAAATGACCGGCCCATGTACAGCCAGCTAGCTAGCCATCCAGCAGACACACACAGTCAACATTTAATTTAATGAAGTTTGGAAGTTATTGTTGCTGCTGCCGTTTTTTATATATTGTTGTTCTACGTTTTATTACTATTCCATGATTGCTGACGGTGTTGTTGTAGTATTTCTTTTGCGGTTAATAAACTTGCAATGTTTTTTTTTCTTCTCATCATCTTTCCATCATCCTACTACTCCCCACACCTCCACCGACCAAAACACACACACACACACACAGATCTACACAACACGTTAAAATGTTTTGGCTAAGCTCCTCTATGCCCCTCCGTACGTTCGTACGTGTGTTCTTTGGTTAAATGTGTGCGTATTGTTTATTTTTTCGTGTGTATCTTCTCCAAATGTTTTTTTTTCGTTTCTTTATATTGTTTTATTATTATTGTTTTTTTATTGTATGTATGTGAAGATCATTCTTCGTGTGGTCATTATCGTTTCATTTTTTTTTTTTGTTGTGGCGCGGTTTTTCTGTCGTGCGTAATTCTTGGTGTAAATAATTTGTTGCAAATTTACATTTCTTCAATTCGGAAAACATTGCTCTTTCCAACGAGGACAAATCGTGTTGACATATAACGGAGAGAAGATTCATTGTTCTGTATTGACCCGAGTGATTGATGATAGTATGCTCTTTCTCTGCGAAAAAGAAGAAGAAAAGCCTTGCATTTTTAAGCCCTTAATTGATAATGTTGTGAATTGTCACTATCGATCCCTTGTTTCCTTAGGGATCTATAAGGCCAAAAAAATAAACCTGCAGGAATTATGGGGATATTGCAAACGTTTAAATAATGGTGGAAAATGCAGATTTTAATGGAAAAGATGTAGGGTGACTATTCCTTTTGACTCATTTCCAGCAGATTTTCAAGAAATTCCTAGTGTATTATTTGCCGTCAATCAAATATGTGATTGAAATAGAACCGTCTTTGATGTCATAGCACAAAAAGTATTAGAGATCTCTATCAAGATAAGCTATTCCCAGTAATATGGGGATATAGAATTAGACCTAGACGCTGGAAATCAGGTCATTTTCAAAATCCACCATCCAGTGCTAAAATTTCAAATTATAATTATTTAATTTAGTTTGAAATAGTTAATAATTTCGTAAAAATTCCAATATTGGCATAACCAAGAAAAAAATATCAGGAAGGTTTTGTATCCATTAGGAATAAAAAATGTGGTTAACTCAAAACAATTAAATTAAAAAAAAATCCATTAGAAAAAATTGAAATATTTTTTAGTCCTGATTTAGACTAGGTATGACAGTAAGAGCAGTTTTTTCCGTTTCTATCCTCTTACCTCTCTTTCCTGCCTGCAAGCATGGACTTGCTGCAAGTAAACTTGCCTAATTTGATTCGGTCTTACTAAAATTGGTTCTATGTGCTTCTCTTATCATATGATTCCTCATTATTCTAAAATGCTTGCACCGCCCGGAAATGCTCCAAATATTTTGCCTTAATTTCAAATAATGTTTATGTGGAGGATATACGTACCAAAACAAAATCATCTGCAGGAAATTTTTCCTTTCACTGCAACTTGCAATTCATGAATGAAAGTTTTCAATTTCATGCGACCCTAAATCATCTGCAGGAAATTGTTCCTTTCACTGGAACTTGCAATACATGAATGAAAGTCTTCAATTTCACTTATATTTGGCTTACAACAGAGGGTAATATTTGCCCTATATAATTATTGGAACCATTGATTTAAACCTGTTGTAGGTCATCTATGCAGAAAAGTCCCACTTAATAGCTTCAGTCCCCTATTCATTCTTAAGAAAGTGTGTCTCCTCTTTAGTCGATCTGCCCCACTTCTAATTAAATTTCTTTCCAATTACATCAACATTTTCTAAAAATGTCTAATGTCTAGTAATCTTATATTTGGAACTTTGAATATTTTTACTAAATTTAATGACATTTTTTATCAGCCCCATATTTAAGCAATTATTTAAATATCCCATTGTTTCCCATCTCTGCAACCACACATTCAAGGTCATCTGCGATAAAAATTCGAACCTACCTTTTCTATCCAAGTAAAAATGTTTTCAAAACAAAACTTTTCTAAGTGAATTATTTAGGACCCCAATTGGGAATCTATCCCTTTTCAAAAAGGCAAAACAACAAAAATGAATAACAACGACAATAACAACAACAATACCGACATCCATCTTTCAATCACTACTCTCATTTGGCATACATATTATTTTGCTTCCTTCTTTCAAAGTATGCAACAAAAAGACACACTCACACAACACGGCACAACATAAATACCAATTTACTACATTTTGAGATTGACAACTTGAACTCTCTTGCTTCGTTTCTCTCTGCCTCCTCTCTTACTTGGCGTGTAAATGGTAACTTTTTGACACCGGGCTTTTTGATGTTAGTTTTTCTTTTTTGCTTTGTATATTTCCTATGTTCCTATTATTTTGATTAGAATAGAGTAGATGTTGCTGGTATACAAGAACACCACCACCAAACATCCTCATCGGCACAATAATAAAAATAACAACAATAATAATAATAACATGAGAACTAGAGAGAGAAAGAGAGAACAAAAATTCATACTCACACATGACAGAGATTCATGCAAGCAAGCAAACAAACAAACAAAAAAGCATAACAAAACAAGTAGTGATGTGCTAGAAAGAGACAACTAGAGGTGCTCTATAAACTACGAACGGGCGCTATGTCAATAATAAAAAAGATGAGAAATGCAAAAAAAAAACATACATGAATAAAATGAAAAAATAAACGGAAGAGACAAAATAAAAGAAACATCATAAAATATACAATAAATTATGGAAAAAAGCAGAAAAAGTTTACTAAAACCTCAGTGCTCTTTGTGTGTGTGTGTTTGTTTTATTCTGTTTAATTAGTTCTTCTCCTTGTAATAAAGCAGCAAATGAAAATATGATTAAATTGAAAAGAAAATAAAACGAAAAAAAGAAGAAGAAGAAGCAGAAGCATTAATAAAAAAAGATTATTGTGGTGAATTTACTTACGGCGGTCGTGTAAAGTCAGTGAAAAAAGCGAAAGAAAGAAAAAACATTGGCAAAATTTGGCTGCAGAAGAACTAAAAAAATAACAAAAATTGGAAACTATTTTCCTTTTTGTCGAGAATAATTAAATCAACAACGGGCAGTAGCTGCTTAATACCATTACTTCTCGTCTTGGAAAATATTTAGACGAAAGCCCACAAGAAAATAGAGCGGCTATCAAAAGAAAAATCAGCAGCAGCAACGGGGGCGACAAAGGCACGACGGGAATATTCATCGATTTTTTGTGTCTTCTACTCAAGTGGAGTTCTTCCGTTTGGTTCATTATTTTTTTTGCCTCAACGAGTGTTCCCAGCGTCGTCAGTTCCTGTCCCCTCCCAATATACACCCCGGTGGAACCCATCAACTACCAAGAACATATATATTACAAAAAAGAAGAACACACAGCAACAACAACGTCGATAGAAAAAAAAAGACGACCAACATTGTTGTTGTCGTCGTTGTCTACTTGAGATTGTCTACTTCCTCATTACCTTTGGCTTCGTTGCATCTTCCTCGAAACGACGACAATCCGACCCGACCTCCCTGGGCTGCCTCCCCTTATCGGATTTTTTGTGCTTTTAGGCTTAGGATTGCCATAGATTAGCCATTTTTTTTGCAACCAACCACCCACAAGCGACAGGCGCTCAGGCAGACAAGCAGGCAGGCATACAGCCAGATAGACAGACAACATAACTCATTTGCAAAACTGGGTCTCCATCTAATGACCTATCATGTTGTCTTGTTTCAAAAGCAATAAATTACCTTAAATCTTCTTCGCTCATCATCCCGTTATGGACAGCAGTAGCAGCCAAAAAGATCAAAAGCCGCCTGGGTCCAATCATTTACCACCTAATTCCGCTCATAGTTTGGCTGTGCCGCCGCAGCATCAACAGCAACAGAATGCGGTCGGTGGCAGCGTTGCTGGAGCTAACAGTAGTACAGGTGGCCTAATTGTCACAGGTGGAGGAGGCCAATCATTGGGTGGCGATCAATTGCATTTACCCCCACCAACAGCAGCACAAAACGCCATGAACAGTGGCAGCAATGGCGGCAGTGGCAGCGGCATGGGTGTCCTCATGGCAGGATCAACAGGAAATTTATTGAATAACACCACCAGCAACAACTCATCGAATCTCCAAATAATGGGTGGCACAGGTGGTGCTGGCAATATTGCAGGGTCTGCCGCAGGCTCCAGTGGCTCGGCGGGAGGAAACTTTTTTGTTAACAACATCAGCGGTTCCTCAGCACCAGGTGCTGCTGCTGCTGCTGCCAATAACAGTGACTTCGACTCCGACACTGAGCTTTCAATTGTGGCCGCAGCAGCGGCGGCAGCAGCCGCAAATTCGGCAACAAACGGTTACACTTCCAACACGAACAATAATGGCAATGTGAGCAGCAATTCCAATTCTTCCTCCTCCCTAAATGCAAAACAGCAGAGGCAGCAGAAAAGGCGAAGGGAACGGGCCCTCAGGCTACAGGCTGAACGTGATAATCGCAGTGCGACTAATACGACAGCGAACAGCAATAACTCGGCTGCCAATGCCAGCTCCAATAACAACAACAATAATAATAGTAGTAGTAATAATAACAACAACAACAATGGCAGCAACAATTCCACAAATTCGAACAACAACAACAGTAGTAGTAATAATAGTACACAGTTTCCTAATGCCATTATCAATACGACGGTGGCCACAAATGTCAACAACAGTAGCGGCAACAACAGCAGCAACGCGAACAGCGCCAACAATGTTATTGGTGCCACCACATTAACGTCCTCTTCCTCGTCATCATCATCGTCCTCGTCGTCATCATCCTCATCGTCGGGTATTGCCTCCACAAATACCACACCAACATCGTCGGCCGTCACCGCCACCACAACCGGCACCAATAACCAACATCTCTATCAGGCCAGCAGTGCTAACAGCATGGGCGAAGATAGCAACAATTCTAGTGGCATTTTTACAACAAGTTCCAGTAGTAGTGCCAACAACAATGCCCTACTACCACCCACAGACAGTATTGCATCATTGCTATTGAATCCTCCCCATTCGCCGGATTGCCATTCGGGCATTATGGCCAGTCCCAGTGACAGTGAAGGTGAATCGTTGGACGAAGACCTATTGTCGACATCATCCTCATCGACACTGTTACTGCCGCGTGATAAGCCAATACCACGACCACCGCCGCCAGTGCGACGACGTTTGCCCCGATCACCGGTGCTGGAGGAGGAAATCATTGATGGTTTTGCAATATTGGAATTTAAATCCTATGAAGATTTGGAGGTGAGTAAACATTAAATGGGGCAGTTTGTAGTTTTTTTTTGTGAATGAGTTTCGTTGTACATTTGACCTATTTTTCAATGGGAATTTATTGGGGACTTGTTTGCAATATTCAGGATAGCCAATTGTGGCATATTATAGAATAGTTCCAGCGATAGGTCGCCTCCGCAAAAATTGGTTATTAGACCGTCAGGACAAATTTCTCAAATTCTATATCAAGGGATGTCACGATTCCCTAAAAATCAGTGTAGTAGTTTATGGGCCTTTGGGACTTTATCGCAAAATATGAATATGACTATTTCCTCTTTCTTCTTTCTTCATCCTATATGATCCACAGGGATCTGAGAACATTAGTGACCTAAATTGGTCCTGTATATCTGAGCTTTTTTTAGATGAACATTTTATGACACTTTTATGGACTTTGTGATTAGCTCCCTTATGAATGATCTCATTCATCTATTTACCATTTATTTTCGGAGAATCTGGAATCGCTTGTCGTCCCCCGGTAGGTCTTCTTGCCAGTAAAGGTTTTCTCAATTTCAATAGCTTTGAGCACACTCGATGCTCCACTGTTCATTACCAGAAGAAATTTAATTTTAGTCTCAATTTTCTTCCAGAATGGCTGGTATGTGTCCCCAACAGCGTCCCGAAAGATCTTCTGGTTAAGGGAGATCTATCGATGATGGGTGATTCCGCAGGGTACCTCGTACCCAGAGTTCCCGGTAGTATCGACCTGCTTCTGAGCCAAACTCTTCTTCGAGTCCAGTTGCTAGAATGCGCTTATTCAATATTTTTGAGGAGTGGATATTCTGTTTAAAGAAGTCATACTCTTTTTTTTCGTTCCCATAAACTCGGACTTTTGATAACCTCAGTCTTGAACGGCTTCATTTCAAAGTTGCAATTTTTCCACTGGATATAATTGTCACCTCGTTTTTCTGTAGCATGGGGAAGAAATCGGAAGCCATACTGGACGGGATATGTTCTTCCGTCATCTTTTCGATAAATTCAGCCTTGGAGAGTTCCATTACTTGGGGCAATATATTTTAAACATTTTTCACCTTCCGCTTACTTCTCCCCTGCTGACCCCGAAGCTAAGACAATAGCCATCAGGGGAGCGGTCTTCGTGTTTCATTTTCTCCACGCATAAATATATCCCTCATCGGAAAAGCTGTGAGATTTTTTCGTCGCGCTAAGAGAGAAATCCGTGTGACATGATTGACCTTTAGGTATATGGGGGTACATCCCCTCGTACTTCCCCAATGTACCCAATTTGAAAATTTGGGTCCTTCACAAAGAACGGCTCTTTTGTCTTCGAGGTCTTCAAGTAATATTTTTACACTGCGACGAATCGTTCCTCATTCCAAAGTCCACGTCAGTTTGGTTTATCGGAATGTATTTTCTCAAATTACCAATTTGCGAATCTGATCATCCCCAATTCTATATAAGACAAGGGATGCCTGTTAGAACAAGACAAAGATTTTCATGTTCGCATTATTTCACTTTTACAAATAATGTAAAAAAAACGCAAATTCCTTCCCAAGGAAGGGCTTCTTGGCCTTTGAGATCTTCCTGTCGAAATTTTACTTTTCCACAATTTCTTCCTCATCGGAAAATTCGTGGTGAAATTTTTTTCCAGGCTGGGAAGAGAATCCTTTTTGATCGAAACATATATTGGCTATATGTTGATACACCCCTTCGTCTTTCCCCAAATGTAAGATCCACTCCAAATTCCAACAGAAAGTCATTGTGAAAGAAACAATCATTTAAACAGGACAGGCTTCATCAATTCGCAGCGTTGTTTCAACAATATGATATCCCGAAAAGGGAGAGTCGCACGAGAGCCATCCGTTTCATCGATATGCCCCTATGGGATAATTTGGGGTGCATCATCTGCCTCCTTATTAGAAGTCCTTGTCCAAGAAAGGAATGTTAAAACTGCACAGATTTTATTTACCCACATCGCCTGCTCCTGGGACTTTTCCCCTCGATTTTTTCATATTTTCAGATTTGCCGAGTACACCATGAACATTTTTCAAGTGTAATATGTATAGAAATCTGGCTTAATTGTATATATAGGGTATATCTCGTCGAAACGGTCACTGATGATTTCAAATTCTTTTCAAAGATCTCAGTGAAGATCTTTTGAATTTCTGCTTTAACATTTGACTAAAATTCTTAAGGTGTCCTTGTCGAAGAAGCGTCTTTTACGATTGGGCAGAGACAAAATTGTTCCACTGCAAATTCGGTGCACTATCGGGAGGCCCCCGATTATTTATTTTTTTGGCAGTCTGGCTTTAGCCATAGGGAGGCGGAATCTGTTTGATGAGGTTGGCTCCATTGGACTATGGGCTATATCTCTTTGAAGGCGTCATAGATGCCTTTTTCTTTTTTCAAGGATCTCAGAGGGACCTTGTCGACAAAGGAACAAAGGAACCTTAGACATTTTGTTTTATTTTTGTTTCCGGTTTTTTTTTTCGTTTTTCTATTTCGGGGGATGTTCCCCCTTACACCCGTACACTGGCTCCAATGGATATATGAGGAGTCTTCCTTGGAAGGGATCTCCGATGACTTATCAAGGATCTCAGGGGGAGGTGATTGCTATACAGGTAGCAACTCGGTAGACCTTTTATCGTTTTTATACCCTACACCACATAGTGACATGGAGAAGGAAGCTAGATAGACCCATAGTTACTTTTGATGATCTCCATAGAATCACTTTCTGAGTTGATTTATGCATGTCAGTCCGTCTGTCCATGTATTCTTGTGAACAAAATGCAGGTCGCATTTATTATCCGATTGAGATGAAATTTTCCAAACAACATTTGTTTGACCCAAGGACGGACCCTATTGGAAATTGGAGATAATAGGTAAAAAAATATATATAGCTCCCATATATATCTTCGTCCGATTTGCCCTTTATTGTGCAACAAACGTGTAATATCAGCTTGAATAGCATGGAATTATGCACAAGCAACCAAATTAGGCCTGAAAATAAGTATGCCAAATTTGATCGAAATCGGTTCAGATATAGCTATAGCTCCCATATATCTTGTTCATCCGATTTGTTATTTTTGTACTCCACAGCCGTAATATGCATTCTGTAACAACAGTATTTGGGGAAATACATGAAATGCAGCTCAGAAATACCTTTGCTAAATTTTATCGAGATCGGTTCAGATTTGGATATAGCTCCCATATATAACTTCGTCCGATTTACCTTTTAATGTACACCAAACGTCTAATATTTGCCCAATTGGGATGGAATTTGGCACATGCGACCGAATTGAGTCTAGAAGCTAGTATGTCAAATTTGGTGATGTCGGTTCAGATATAGCTATAGCTATCATATATATTGTTCATTCGGTTACGGATCCACTTGCATTTCATTATTAGTTCGAGACTTTTATCCTTAATTCGCATCTATCCCCAATCTTGTAGTCAAGAATATATTCACTGCTTTTCGAGCAGAGGATTTCTTATCATAACCGGAAAGGCTTTTCAAACAAACCCAGATGGGTCAAAAGGTCAGAAGGCCCTTCCTTTCATAGAAACGAAAGGGACACATTACAGAAAATCGGAATATCTTATTATAGTGTAGAATACCAGATTTCCTTGTTATAAGAGAACCGACAACTATCTCATAGAAAGCCAGAATCTTAGGTCTTTTTATAAAATACAAACAGAAAATGTATTATGGCTGGAGGAGGGTCTCATTATACTACTAACGCATTTATGCAAGGACAGCGTTTCTAATTGTGACCACTCCAGGGCATAAACAGCTTTTGAAGAATTGACAATTTGTCATTGTTGAGTAAATTCCCTTCAAGTGCTCACCCAACATCTATGTGGGTGATGGGCTGAGCCAATTTGGATGATAACCCTTTGAACCATATTTACATGTTATTAACCTTGCCCCATGCAAATTGAACTTGGTAATTAATTAATTGTTTTTTTTTTCTCTTCCCTTTTTCTTCTTCATCTGCTTTTCTCTCTGTGCAACTTAACAGTTTGCAATTAAATTGGGCCAAAAACGCAAAGAGAAACGTCTGTCAGCGCTGGAGGAGCTGACATGCACGTATAGCATTGAGGAAATCAAAATGCCAAAGATCATTGATACAGGACAGCCGCATCCAATACGAAGTGGTGGAGGCGTTGGAAATATCAACAACAACAACAACAATAATAATAACAGCAACAACAATAATGGTGGTATTGGTGCTACAGTTACGGCTGGAGTTGTCACTGGTTTGGGCTCGTTAAATCTTAATCACAATAATAACAACAACCATCATCATAATCTCCACCATCATCAGCAGCAACAACTACAACAGCAACATAATTTACAAAAAGAAAACCCCATGATGATGACGACACCGAATAACAATAACAACAACACAAACAGTACTACCGGTAGTCATCACAAGGATAATAACAGTACTCGTATGGCCACAATGAATGCCAATAATCATTCCATGATGATGGTTAATAACAGCAGCAGCAACAACAACACAAACGGCAACAGTAACACCAGTAGTGGGAATAACATTAGCAATAATTTAAGTGTTTCCACAGATGTCAATATGGCCAGCGTTGCAGCAGCAGCAACACCAACACCACCACCAACAAGTGCGGCGACACCTGACACCAACAACGGTGCATTGGCGAAAAGCACAGCTTCACCCACCCCACCCATACCCATGGATACCACAATAGCATCCTGGAAGGATGGTAGTGGCCAACAAGCATCCACAGCGTTTAGTCAACACAATGGCGATGCCGGTGTCTCGGATCGGACCGGTAGTGAAGATCACAACGCATCTCCTAGTGCCACCGAAAATGGCAACGATAGCAGTATTATGATGGATACATGTGATGGCAGTAATGCTGTCGATCTGGGACAGCAACAGGTATCATCTGTTGTTTTGGGCTCAGCCACACAGACACAAACTGGAGCAATGGGTGCAACACCAACAACTCCTTCCTCCCTACCAAATTCCAATGCCACAAATTCCATGGATACCACCACCACCACCTCCATATCCAACACAGCAGTGGCGACTTCTAAAGTCTCCATGAATAGCAGCAGCAACTCAAATGATAAAAGCACAAAATCCCAGGCGGCGAATATCTCGTCCGCTGTGGCAACTGGAAGCCAGTCTCACCTGGGGACGCAAATACCAGCACCAGCAACGTCCTCGTCATCATCTGTGATGGTTGGTGGTAGCACAACTCCTCTAACACCAAATATGGTAAACAGCCCCTCCATGGCGGCCAACTCCAGTCAAGGGCCCACACCTTCCTCCGCTGCTGCCTCACCGGCAATGACTGGCAATTTAATGGATAAATTGACAGCCAGCCCTGGCCAATCACCGCAGCAACAACTGCATCCGCATGCAGCATCCATGGGCCTACATCCCAGTCTGGGTGCCACAGGCGCAAGTGATAACTTTAAATCAAATAGTATACATCCACATCCTGGACTGGGGCCACCTTCCTTTAAGTCAATGTCTTCATTGGCCGGCAGCAGTATACCAGGAGGAGCATTTAATGTAAGTAACCCCACCTGGTGTTCAAAATCCCAATCTACCAGGGATTTTGAACACACACCCAAAATGAGATATAATTTTTAGAACCCCCTTTTTAATGCATTCCTCTCTCTTTTGCAGAAATCAAACGCACATTTAATGGATCAAAAGATGCACAATAATAGTAGTAATGAATTTATAACAAATATGGCTGCAACACCGCCATCGACGGGCAATGTCGTTTCACAACAGACGCCACACTCTTCAGCTTCCCCGGCAACAACAACATCAGCACAGCCTCCGCCGCCGGCAGCAGCAGCATCGCCAACAGTGGCCAATTCGATTGGTGCGCAAATAAATCAAAAAGATTTACATCACCATCATCATGCCCTGCCACCGCCACCTCACGGCCATCCTCATGGACATCATATGCTGCCGCATCATTTGGCAGGAGGTCCTGGCTCAATAGGTCCGCCGCCACCCCATTCGACGAGTGCTTCACCCATGGGTGCATTAATGGCTGGACCAACGGCTGGTGGTAAACATCCAGGTCATCCGCATCATACGCCGTTGCAACATCATCATCAGCAACAATTGCAACAGCAATTACAGCAGCAGCAACAGCTGCAGCAACAACATCAGCAACTGCAGCAGCAACATCATCATCAGCAACAGCAGCAGCACCAACACCAGCAGCAGCATCTTCACCACCAACATTCACTTCATTCACATCTTCAACATCAGCATCAACTTCATCATCATGCACAACAACAACAACAGCAGCAGCAACACCAGAAGGATATGTTGTCTTCAGTTGGTGGCAACAGCGGCGGCAGCAGCAACAGCGATCACAAGGATCGTTTAAGTGATGTAAGTTTTTTGTTTTGTTTTAAGGGCAACGACACCATCCCGTTTACGTTTGGTTTTTAATGGAAGGTATTTAAAAGCAATCCAAGCTCGAGGTAGACAAGAGATGCTTCTTATAAAGTAGAAGAAATGCGAGAAGAGCTGTAAAGAAAAAGGTCTTCGTTGAGACATAGAAGACCTCATGCTCTTTTTTGAGGCATAGAAGACTTTAAGGTCTTCTTTGAGATATAAAATGCCTCAAGATCTTCTTTGAGACACCGAAAACCTCATGGTCTTCTTTGAGACATAGATGACCTCTAGGTCTTCTCTGTAATATAGAAGACCACAAAGTCTTCTTTAAGACATAGAAGACCTCAAGGTCTTCTTTGAGACATAGGAGAACTCAAGGTCTTCTTTGAGACATAGCCCTCTTTGAGACATGGAAGACCTCAACGTCTTCTTTGGGACATAGAAGACCTCAAAGACTTCTTTGAGACGTAGAAGACCTCAAGGTCTTCTCCGAGGCTTTCCAGACCTCAAAGTCTTCTTCGGGACATAGAAGACCTCAAAGTCTTCTTTGAGAAATAAAAGTCTTCTTTGTGAAATATAAGACGTCAAAGTTCTCTTTTGAGATATAGAAGACCTCAAGGTCTTCTTCGAGGCTTTCGAGAGCTCAAAGTTTTTTTTTTTTTTTTTTTTTTTTTTTTGAGGAATAAAAGACTTTAAGGTATTCTTTGAAACATAGAAGACCTCAGGGTCTTCTACAAGACTTAGAAGACCTCAGGGTCTTCTATAAAACTTAGAAGACCTCAAGGGGTTCCATAACACATGGAAGACCTCAAGGTCTTCCATAAGACATAGAAGGTCTTCTTTGAGTCATAGAAGATCTCGAGGTCTTCTTTGAGACATAGAAGACCTCGAGGTCTTCTTTGAAACATATAAGACCTTAAGGTCTTCTTTGAGACATATAAGACCTCAAGGCCTTCATTGGGGCATAAAAGGCATCGAGATCTTCTTTGAGACATTGAAGACCTTAAAGTCCTCTTTGAGACATAGAAGATCTCAAGGTTTTCATAACATATTCGGACTGAAATTCTTCTATAACGTAGGACAGACCTCAAGACATATAGATGACTTTAAGATCTCTTACAATATATGCCTCTATAGCACGTTGAAGACTTCTACAGATTATAGAATACCTTAGGTTGTAACATAGAAGACATCTATAGAATATACACGAGGTCTTCTATGGTAGACGTTTAGGTATCTATCTGGGTATAAAACATTAAATAGCTTTGGGTCAACTATTTTGGATCTCAGGGTCTTCTATAACATATCGAAATCCTTTATTACTTCTATAAGATATTGGAGAACGCATGGCGTTATTTAACTTATAAAATATTTGGGGGTCTTCTATTTAATAAAGACAACCTCAAGATCACATATTATACGTCTAGGTATCCTCAAGTCTTAATAAAAGAATTCTTCCTTTGGAAAAAGACCACAAGGTATTTTAATGCCGAAGAAGACCGCAAAGTATTTTTATTTCAAAACAACCAAAGTCTTTCTATTTTTAGGGGACTATAAGTTATTCTAGTCTGAGGTGCCGTGAATGTCTTAAATCGATTTTTGGAACTTCGAAAAAGTCACGAAATACCTCCCATAGATTGTGTTGAATGAAATGAAATAACAATTACATAATATTTCTTATCGCACTCCAAAGAAAATAATTATTTTACGATTAATAAAAGAAAAAAAAAAAAAAAAGCCGCATGCGAACAATATCGAAAGAAGTTTACTTAAGGCCGGTTGGTTGATTGTTTGGTTTGGTGACACTCACATTCGTTCCATTAAATTTTCAATTAGCCGTAAAAACAGGCGGCTAATTGACAACAATTTGACTTGCATTTGTTTGAAATCACCTTAGTAAACGATTTTCCCCTTCTACCCTCCCCGTTTTCCCCCCCACAACAACTCTCTGTGTAATAGACATGTCAAATTAGTTTAGTTATGTAGTTAGTTTATTGCTACACGCTAGTTATTAGCTGATGATGTTGTGTACCGGACGTGGAGGAGGATGGGTTACTACTTATTATCTGATAGTTATCTGCCACGCTGATGACTGTAATATTTCAATTTGTTAAGTATATATAATTAAATGAATTTATTGTCATTGACTTACTAAATTGATAAATTAATTTCAATACTTTTCACATTTTTTGTGTGTGTTCTCCCCCCATGCCATTCGTGTTACAGGGGTATTATTTATTCATAAGCTGATAATTTTGTTTAATTTTTTTTTTGCTTGTTCTTTTTGCTGTTGCTATAGATAATTATAATTATTACATTTTAATTGGTCGCTTGTTGCTCATAAATATTTACTTGGCTTTGTTTTATAATTTGTTTCGTATTTGCTTCCTTTTTTTTGTTTTAAAGAAAGAAAATTGATTTTAATTAAGTGGTGTCACCATTGATAAGTGACACGTTGCGTCGTCGGCGGCTTGAGTGACACTTTTAATTTGTTAATGTCAGTTATTATGAATTGTTTACTGTGACAATATACAAATATGAACAAAAAATACTTGAATGTATATTTTTATTTACTTATTTATTTATATCTACAAATGTGTGTACAACGTCTGTAATTAGGTATTTCCATTAGAAGAATTCTAAATTTAATCTCAAGAAATTATAAAAACCATGTTTGTATGTGATTTTGTGTGGTTTGGAATTCAAACACACACACATACAAGTAAACAAGGGTTTTTTTTACTAAATTTTTATCTGGAATTTCCATAGACTCTAGTATATAATGTTAGGTTGTACTTGAAAGCAGGACATAGGGTACATTTTTCAAGTAAATCAAATCCAGATGAATAAAAATACTATTTGACATCCATTATACCCTCTACCTTGGAAAGGAGGGTATATTAAATTTGTCATTCCGTTTGTAACACCTCTAAATATTCGTCATAGACCTCATAAAGTATATATATATATATTCATGATCAGCATAAAATTCTAAGTCGATTTTTAAATTCCGTCTCTCTGTCCTTCAGCCTGTTGAAATCACGATACAGCTCACATTATTTGATGTAGAGCTTTAAAATTTGTCGCAGTAGTTTGCATTGTGTCTAGGATGGATGGTATTGAAAATTAGATATATCGGTTCCCGTTTTGGGATATCCCCTCCCGATATTCGGTATTTTTATATTTTTAGCCAAATATTTCCAGTAATTTGCCTAAAAATTGGTATTTGTAGTTCGTTATGTGTTCTAGCTCTAGTGGCGGAACATTGTACATATAGGTGCACGTTTTCTTTTAGCCCCCATATAGGGGTAACTACCGATATTTTGATTACTTTTGTCACATTTATCAACGGATTTGTCTAAACATTGGTATTTGTAGTTTGTTATGTGTTCCAGTCCCAGTGGCGAAACACTGTATATATAGGTCCACTTTTTCGTATAGCTCCCATATAAGGGTACCTCCGGATTTTCGGCATTTTGATAGTTTTAGCCACAAATTTCCACCAATTTGTCTAAAAATCCGTATTTGTTCGTTATGAATTCTAGCCCGGGGGGAAGAATAACATTGCATATCTAGGTACACGTTTTCGTATAGTTCCCATATAAGGGCACCTTCTAATATTCGGTATTTTGATGAAGGTTTTCAGGTTTTGGTTATTTGATTATTTCTAATCCCCGGTGACAAAATGATACATTTTAATATATTTTCTAAATATTTTGTTTGGAATTCTATATTTTTTTTCTGTTGGACCTTTAGCACCTCCTCCAAAGAAGAGATTCAGTACAATCTATCCACATTGTTATTTGATATTGACATGAGAGGAATTGAATCTATCTAAAAAATATGTTGGCGTCTTCTATTACATATTGACGACCTCGGGATCTTATATTGTAGGAATCGTCAAGGTCTTAGTAAGAAAAAAATATGCAAAAATGAAGACCACAAAGAATTTTTATATCATCAGCCATATGACCAGAGAGGGTATATACAGGGTGAGATGAAAAAACTGCAACCAACTTCAGGCTGCTCTCATTTCTAAGCCACTCGTCCGACAGCTGTTAAAATTATTCCAGTGACAGCTCATTACATTGTTTACAAGCTTACAAAAGCATTTTGGTGAGAATTTGCCAGAAAAAAAGTTATTTGTAATGGAATTCAAGCGCGATAGTGTGATTTCTTTATATTTGGCTTGAAAACCACAAGTGGCTATCGTTAGAGCACTCCAGCATTTAAATGTGAATAAATCTTTTGCTATTAAAAGCCATTAAAATTCCAAAAAGTGCAAGAACTTACACTGCAATAGAAAGAAAATAGACTCAAAAGAGGTAAAGAGTTGCTCCGCTTGGCTGAAACTCGATTTTGATTGTGTTTACTTGCCAAAGAGGTCAGCTGAAAATGTGCAACTTCGGTTGGCCACCAGAACTCAAGCGCCGGCCATGGTGATGGTGTGGGCCGCCATAACACCGGTGGTCGCTCTCCGCTCGTGTTAATCGATCGTGGCATCAGAATAAACGCCGAAAATTATCGCGAAAATATTCTGGAGGGTGTATTATAGCCTTGGGCACACAAACATATAACCTTGGGCACACAAACAGACCTTGGACATTCCAACAGGTCTCAGCACCATCGCACTCAGCACGCGCCACCCAAGAATGGTTACAAAATTAGGTTCATTTCTAGCACACAATGGCCATCAAAATCTCCGGATACCAATCCGTTAGACTATTGTGTCTGGTGTATTTTGGAAACCAACGTTGGCACTAAAAATACCAAAGTGTCGATCACCTCAAGAAAGCGCTTCGCCGGGAATGGGCCAAAATATCGCAGAGCAACATTCGGGCAGCGTGTGACGGTTTCATTGGCCGTTTGAAGGCCATAATTCGTGACTTAGATGACCAATTCGAACAAATCGAAACTTATTATAAAATTTGAACCTATTTCCGACATTTTTTGCTTTCCTTCCGTAAAATTAAAAAAAGGTAAAAATTATGGTGTTTGACTTTGTTGCAGTTTTTTATCTCACCCTGTGTATCATTTGATGCGGCCAAAACGTGCCGCATCGAAATAACGGTTTTAGACCCTAGGTCTTTTTGGACTCAATCTGTTTCAGGACACTTGGAGTCGATCTAGCGATGTCCGTTCGTCTATCTGTCTGGCTGGTGCGCACAGTAACTCTCGATTTTGTTCAAACTTGGTACTTCGTAATATTATCGTCAAACTTAGATCGAGTTCGGAGATGAACAATATCGGTCCACTCTTTCTGGTACCTCTTTCCACAAAAGATCGTAATTTCCAAAAAAGAAAAAAATACTGTACAGGAAAAGAAAGGATAATCCAACTGTGCTCGACCTTTGCAAATCCCAGTATTTGCATCAGTGGTAGCTCAGGTGCGAAAATGGACAATATCGGTCCACACCATCAAGTACCTACCCCACAAAGTGTCAACATTTTGGATAATTATAACTCTTACAAAATTTGATGTAAGAGTCCGATTGTCTTCAAATTACACACATAACAATATTTTTACTGACCCAAGGTAAATCCGACGGGTACTATTTTACTTGTTTTCTAATATTTTTTGTTTTTATTTTAAGGTTAGGATTTTTTTATTCAATCTAACCTGAAATGTTGCTCTTAATATTTTGCAACATTCTATTCGTAAGGCTTTAAACTATAATATAATATTTTTAGAGTCGTTTCACCTGTTTACCAGTTTTTCATTCATTTTGAGGTTTGATATTGTATTTTCCGTTCGACCTAACCTAACATTTTTAACATTTAAATTTGAACGTTTTTCATCAACATAAATTTAAATATTGTTGTCTAGTGTGTGCACCCATTGTCGGTGTCGAATAAAACACTTGAGAACAATTTGTGTTTCTTCTTCATATCAAGTTTCAAGTGGTGGAAAAATAAACCACTACTAGCCAGTACTACAACAACTAGCCAAACGAACCCCATTCCCACTCCATTCACTCATTTGCTATTAATATTCTAACATTGCTATCACCCGAATGGAAACCAAGCCCCCCAACGCAGTGTACAATCAGCTAATTCATAAAATGTAGTTAAGACCATAATTAGCTGATTTAATCTGTTTTTAAAATGCTTTCCATAAAAATCGTTTTAATTACCACCTATTTTTTCTGCTGTCATTAATCTAATCGTTAATTTGTGTTTTTTTCTATCTCTCCCAACAACAACAACAATAACTAAACCAACTGGAACATCAAACTCAACAGGCGGCAAACAGTAGAGTTAACAATATTGGCAAAGGATTTAATATCGTAAGTTTTGAAAACGGAATTCGCTTTAATCTGTTTTTTTGAACGCAACTAATGTTTATCTTTTCCCCCCCGCCTCTCTTTTTTTTGCAGTGTGATAGCGGCAATGATGAAAATAAGGTAGGTGGTGTTTGTTCAATTATATTTCAGTACTTTTTTTTTCTTTTTCGAAATTATCTTTATGAACTTAACGAAAGATCAAGAGTTTAATTGTCAGGTATTTATTTTTTTTCTGTACGTAATTAATTTATTGGCATTTTAATATTGACAACTTAATATGGACTCGTATGACATTTAAATTATGAATGAGGAATGGTTAGGTGGATTTATGATCGCGACAATTTTCTTCCATTTAAATATTTTAAGCGCTAAAATGATTGATAACCCATGAAATTTATATATTCCCATATTGCATTTATTGTACGATTATTTTTTTTTTTGAAAATCTCGGCAAAATTTGTTGTGCCTTTGATAAGAATTTTTGCTGTTGTTTTTGTTTGTTTTAAATTTATGACCTCAATTTATTTGGGGGGTTTTGAAATTCCACACGTTTCTAATGTTTGTTTTAGCGCCATGATTTTTTTTTTGTATTTTTTTTTGAGTAGTGAATAATGGAATTTCCTCTTTTGGGGTGATTGTTGTTTTTATTTTTGTTGGGTGTTTGATAACATTGTTGAAATTTGAATAAATATTGGCGCAAACAAATTCAAATCTCCCGCGCAATGAGTATACAGGAATTTGTTTTACATATAGGAGCTATTTCCAATAACCAAAGGACTTTGGAGGGTATATATCATGGAATCGATCTAGCGTTGTCCGTCCGTCCATCTGTCTGTCTGACTGGTGCTATAACTCTCGAAGGGAGTATCCAATTTGATCCAAACTTGCCACATCATAATATTATTATCAAACTTAGATCGACTTCGGAGATGGGCAATATCGGACCACACCTTCTGGCACCTCCCACACAAAGGGCCGCAATTTTCAAAGAAAATAATTTACTGCACAGAAAGAGAAAGGATAATTAAAAATTTTGCTCCAACTTTGCGAATCCTAATATTTGCATTAGTGCCATGTCAGGTGCGAAAATGGACAAAATCGGTCCACTCCATAAAGCACCTGCCCCACAAAGTGTCAAAATTTTGAATAATTATAAGTCTTATAAAATGTGATGTAAGTGTCCGATTGCCTTCAAATTACACACATCACAATAATTTTATTAACTCAAGGTCTGGTATGAAGATGGGATATATCGGTCCACTGCTTCGGGTACCTCCCACACAAAGGGCCGCAATTTTCAAAGAAAATAATTTACTGCCCAGAAAGAGAAAGGATAATCCGATTTTGCTCCAACCTTGCGAATCCTATTATTTGCATCAGTGGTAGCTCAGGTGCGAAAATGGACAATATCGGTCCACACCATCAAGTACCTACCCCACAAAGGTTCAACATTTTGAATAAATATAACTCTTATATAATATGTGATGTAAAAGTCCGATAGCCTTCAAATTACACACATCGTAATATTTTTACTAGCCCAAGATCATGTGTGAATATGGAATATATTAGTCCACTCCTTGTGGTACCTTCCCCACAAAGGGTAAAAATTTTGAATATCCATGAAGCTTATAAAACGCGAAATTAACATCCGATTCCATCCAGACTTGGTACATCTCAATATTTCCATCAACACAAGATCTGTTATAAAGATGGTACAGATCGGACCATTTCTTCTGGTACCTCTCCCACAAAGGCACAAAGTTTCGAATAACCAAAATGATTATTAAATCCGAAATAAGCATTCGGTTCTCCTCATATTTCATACATCCCATTATTTCTACTAACACATGATCTGCTGTGAAAATGGGATATATCGGGCCCCTCCTTCTGATACTTCCGCCACAAAGGGTCAAAATTTTGAATATCCATGAAGCTTATAAAGCACGAAATTTGCATCCGATTCCATTCAGACTTGGTACATCTCAATATTTCCATCAACACAAGATCATTTAAAAATGTGGTAGAGATTGGACCATTTTTGCTGATACCTCTCCCACAAACGGTCGATGTTTTGAGTAACCAAAACAATTATTAAATCCGAAATAAGCATCCGGTTCTCTTCATATTTCACACATCCCATTATTTCTACTAACACAAGATCTGCTGTGAAGATGGGATATATCGGTCCACTCCTTCTGGTACCTCCCCCACAAAGAGTCAAATTTGTGAATATCCCTGAAGCTAACAAAAACACGAAATTTACATCCGATACCTTTCAGACTTGGTACATCTCAATATTTCCATCAACACAAGATCCCTTAAAAAGGTGGTAGAGATCGGACCATTGCATCTGGTACCTCCCTCACAAAGGGTCGAAGTTTTGAATAACCAAAACGATTATAAAATCCGAAATAAGCGGCTAGTTCTCTTCATATTACACACATCACAATATTTTTATTAACCCAAGGTCTGGTATGAAAATGGGATACATAGGTCCGTCCACTCCTTCTGGTACGTCCCCCACAAAGGGTCAACATTTTAAGTATCCATGAAAATTTGTTCGATTTTCTTGTAATTCAGCACATACCAATATTTATATCTGTATTAGATGAAATATGAAAATGGTATACTTCGGTCCGCTATAGCTGGCATCTCACGCCTATTTCCACATTTTCAAAAATTTGCACATATCTCATATAAAGTCGATATAATTCAAATCTGGCACGTTGTAATATTTATATCAGTCTTAGTTCAGATATGAATTGGTCAATATTGGCCATATGCTTCGAAACCTCCCCCATAAAGGGTAAATCATAACTCAAGGCTGGAGATATACATCTGTTGGAAACACCGACTGATACTGTTTTTTACTATTTATTTTGATTTTCAAAAGAAATTTGAAAATCAAATTTTGAAAGTTTTGGAAAGTTGTCCCAGTGTAGACTTTTCATATTTTTTTTCCGAATGCCCGTTTTATAACGGCATCTATTGTTAGTAGTACTTTGAAGAGCCTAGAGGGGATGACCCATATGTTTTTATTTTGGTTTCAGGTTAACTGAAAGCATTCAATATTTCTTGGCATTGTCTATCCTCCCCAAATTTTAGCGATTTTATGGAAAACCAATTTGTCCATTATTCCAATATTCCCATGGTGGTGGAGTACATAAGAAGTTCGGTACGCCAGAACTGAACTCCATTAATACTTGTTTATGTTTTTCTTATTGATGTTTTTTTTGGAGCCCCTAAATCTCCCGCGACAATACAAAACAAAAAAAAAAAAAAATATTTTATAAATCATCCACCATGTTCCGTGAACAGCAGGTTATTTTCGGCCAATTCTAATTTATTGGCCCCGCTCATATTACGAATACGAATGATTAGCATTCAACAAAATTTATTTCGTTGATAAGACCAGACCACCTTCGTCGTAGTCGTCGATGTTTTATGTCTTGTGAAGTTAACAAAAATAGACGCTGGAAGCTAAATATCTCAAATAGTTATTAGCATAAAGTTCCTCTTCTTCGTGTTTTCTTCAATAGATTTTGCCGCCCAGCTTTTGTTGTGGTTTGTGTTGTTGTTGTAGCAGTTTTACACGTTCTGTTGTTTTTTCCGACTAATCTGGTTCTTCCTCAATGTCCAGGTTTAGGAATTCTGCTACCTTTATGGGCTGTAGCCATAGATCCTCTGGACGGAGTTGGGTAGGCTTGGCAGGACAATTAAACAAATGCAGCGTGTTGTGCGGGCCTGTATCACACGCTGGGCAGGCGTTCCGCACATCCTCATCAATTCGTGCCCAATACGAATTTAGACGGCTGCACCATCCTGAACGTAGTTGGGCCAAAACTACCCTGGTTTGCCTAGGCAGCCGACGTTCTTCAGCTGCAATGGATGGGGGGTGGACTCCGAGTATGGCATTCATACTGTAATTATTAACTACCTCTGCGACTGCATCAGTATGAATGCTATTCAGACCTGCTTGATAGGCTTCATGATCTAGAGGCTCTCTCTTATATCGCTGGACCTCTCTCTCTAGATCGTGCAGGTCCTTCCTGACACGCCTGGGTGGGGGAGTTCTATCCACCATATGGTGGTTAGGGTGACTCCCGCGATAACACCCAAGCAGGTACTGCAACGAAAGCATATGATTATGCTGACGTAAGGGAAGAACCTTCGTCTCCTCATGTAAGTGGTCCACAGGCGTCATGAGGAGGCACCCTGTTGCAGTTCTCAGGGCGGCATTCTGGCAGGTCTGAATACATTTCCACTGCGTTGCACTTGTATTCGCCGACCACACTGGAGCCGCATAGCTAACCACAGACCGACCTATCGCTTTATAAGAGGTCAACAAGGTTTCTTTATCCGCACCCCAAGTGCTGCCGGCTAGCGCCTTGAGGACCTTGTTCCTACTTTTCATTTTATCGCAAATAGCTGTGGCTTGCGCGGAAGACTTGAACATGCTATCGAATGTGACCCCAAGAATTTTGGGGTAGTTGGTGGTCGGAATTATATGCCCCTCGACCTGCACATTCAGCTGTGTTCTCATCTCCGCAGTCCATGTGGTAAATAGTGTGGCCGTCGATTTAGTGGCGGATATTTTCATATTCCTCGCGTGGAAGAAGGCGGCAAGCTCCGCGAGATAATTATTCACCCTGACACATATGTCATCAACTACAGGACCCGACGCCATGATCGTACCATCCGCATAAGTTACGATCTCGATGCCGTCTGGAGGGCGCGGAATTCCGGAAAGGTAGAGGTTAAACAGTTCCGGAGATATCACCCCACCTTGGGGAACTCCCTGTTTCACTCTACGAGGCTTGGACTTCTTATTCCGGAATTCCACGTACGACTGGCGTCCACACATATAGTTGACTATCCAACGTTTCAAACTTGGCCGGAGGGTAGTGTTCTCAACGTCCTCGAACAGCGTGGCATGGTTGACCGTATCAAAGGCCTTTGATAGGTCGAGAGCCACCACTATTGTTCTGTGGCACGGCCTGTTCTGGTTGAGTCCTCGACTGATATGTGTGGATATGGCGTGCAATGCTGTTGTAGTGCTATGTAGTGGACGGAAACCGTGTTGATGGTTAGCAACTGAATAGCTTCCTCTGATACTGGGG